TCATCGTCATAACCCTCCCTTTAAGGCGGTATTGTCTGCATTCTGATACGTCATTCTTAGTCTAAAGAGCCCCCTCAAATGTACTCAAAAAAGCTCCTATACTTTAACATTGCCTTTTCTACTAATTTTGAGGTCACGGTGTGGGTCACAGGAGGGATGTAGAGGGTCTTAAATCAGGTCACTTCATCATCATAACCCTCCCTTCGAGGCGGTCATGTCTTTATTCTTATAAGTCATTCATACACAAAAAAAACCCCGAAATGTTCTTCAAAAAGATCCCATATTTTAACATTGCCTTTTCCACTAATTTTGAGGTCACAGTGTGGGTCACAGGAGGGATGTAAAGGGTCTTAAATCAGGTCACTTCATCATCATAACCCTCCCTTCGAGGCGGTCATTTCTAGCATATTTTCCCATAACTTCTTATTTTTTGTCTGTTTGATGTCATCATTTTAAAAATATTAGATCAGATGATACTGGGTACTCAAGTAGCCTTCTAATCAGATACTTTTTTTTACCCTTACTTGAGTCATAAACCCTATATCAGGAAAAAATTGTCCTCGGTTTGTGTCCTTCCGGTGAGCTTTGCAGATTTGGGAAAATGTCATCAGGCAGTAATCATTGTTAAATTCATAATTATTCTAGGAGAGAGACCAACTCTTAACTGTCCCTGGGAGCCCCGTAATGTATAGCGTCATTTTAAAATGGGGATGTCCGCGACACGGTTTACATGCAGGTAGCGGTGCTGCAGCTGCTTTATATAGTCATTCATGCGCAAAAAATTCCCCCTTCCTCGTACTTCAAAAAGATCCCATACTTTAACATTGCCTTTTCCACTAATTTTGAGGGCACGGTGTGGGTCACAGGAGGGATGTAAATGGTCTTAAATCAGGTCACTTCATCATCATAACCCTCCATTTGAGGCGGTCATTTCTACATTCTGATATGTCATTCATGCGCAAAAAATTCCCCCACCCCCGTACTTCAAAAAGCTCCTATACTTTAACATTGCCTTTTCCACTAATTTTGAGGGCACGGTGTGGGTCACAGGAGGGATGTAAATGGTCTTAAATCAGGTCACTTCATCATCATAACCCTCCCTTCGAGGCGGTCATGTCTTTATTCTTATAAGTCATTCATACACAAAAAAAGCCCCCGAAATGTTCTTCAAAAAGATCCCATATTTTAACATTGCCTTTTCCACTAATTTTGAGGTCACGGTGTGGGTCACAGGAGGGATGTAAAGGGTCTTAAATCAAGTCACTTCATCTTCATAACCCTCCCTTCGAGGCGGTCATTTCTAGCATATTTGCCCATAACTTCTTATTTTTTGTCTGTTTGATGTCATCATTTTAAAAATATTAGATCAGATGATACTCGGTACTCAAGTAGCCTTCTAATCAGATACTTTTTTTTACCCTTACTTGAGTCATAAACCCTATATCAGGAAAAAATTGTCCTCGGTTTGTGTCCTTCCGGTGAGCTTTGCAGATTTGGGAAAATGTCATCAGGCAGTAATCATTGTTAAATTCATAATTATTCTCGGAGAGAGACCAACTCTTAACTGTCCCAGGGAGCCCCGTAATGTATAGCGTCATTTCAAAATGGGGATGTCCGCGACACGGTTTACATGCAGGTAGCGGTGCTGCAGCTGCTTTATATAGTCATTCATGCGCAAAAAATTCCCCCTTCCTCGTACTTCAAAAAGATCCCATACTTTAACATTGCCTTTTCCACTAATTTTGAGGGCACGGTGTGGGTCACAGGAGGGATGTAAAGGGTCTTAAATCAGGTCACTTCATCATCATAACCCTCCCTTCGAGGTGGTCATGTCTAGCATTGTCACGGTGTGAAAATTTAACCTCACGGTTATTGTGACGTAAATTATCACGGTTTTCGGTATTATCGTGGTATTTTTTTAAACGTGTTACATTTTCAGACAACTACATAAACCCTGAATATCAGGAAAAAATTGTCCTCGGTTTGTGTCCTTCCGGTGAGCTTTGCAAATTTGGGAAAATGTCATCAGGCAGTAATCATTGTTAAATTCATAATTATTCTCGGAGAGAGACCAACTCTTAACTGTCCCTGGGAGCCCCGTAATGCATAGCGTCATTTCAAAATGGGGATGTCCGCGACACGGTTTACATGCAGGTAGCGGTGCTGCAGCTGCTTTATATAGTCATTCATGCGCAAAAAATTCCCCCTTCCCCGTACTTCAAAAAGATCCCATACTTTAACATTGCCTTTTCCACTAATTTTGAGGTCACGGTGTGGGTCACAGGAGGGATGTAAAGGGTCTTAAATCAGGTCACTTCATCATCATAACCCTCCCTTCGAGGTGGTCATGTCTAGCATTGTCACGGTGTGAAAATTTAACCTCACGGTTATTGTGACCAAAATTATCACGGTTTTCGGTATTATCGTGGTATTTTTTTAAACGTGTTACATTTTCAGACAACTACATAAACCCTGAATATCAGGAAAAAATTGTCCTCGGTTTGTGTCCTTCCGGTGAGCTTTGCAAATTTGGGAAAATGTCATCAGGCAGTAATCATTGTTAAATTCATAATTATTCTCGGAGAGAGACCAACTCTTAACTGTCCCTGGGAGCCCCGTAATGCATAGCGTCATTTCAATATGGGGGTGTCTGCGACACGGTTTACATGCAGGTTGCAGTGTTTCGGCTGCTTTATATAGCAACTCGTTGCATTCTCCCTCAACCCAAATCCTCGGATCACGCATTTTAGTTAAAACGCTAACGTTAACTTGCCTTGCGTTTACTGTAGAGTTGTGGGTGATGGTCACGCAGATGTGTCATGAGATCAAAAAGATCCCATACTTTAACATTGCCTTTTCCACAAATTTTGAGGTCACGGCGTGGGTCACAGGAATGATGTAAAGGGTCTTAAATCAAGTCACTTCATCATCATAACCCTCCCTTCGAGGCGGTCATGTCTTTATTCTGATATGTCATTCATACGCAAAAAAGCCCCCCCAAACGTTCTTCAAAAAGATCCTATACTTTAACATTGCCTTTTCCACTAATTTTGAGGTCAGTGTGTGAGTCACAGGAGTGATGTAAATGGTCAGAAATCAGGTCACTTCATCGTCATAACCCTCCCTTTAAGGCGGTAGTGTCTGCATTCTGATACGTCATTCATGCGCAAAAAATTCCCCCACCCCCGTACTTCAAAAAGCTCCTATACTTTAACATTGCCTTTTCCACTAATTTTGAGGTCACGGTGTGGGTCACAGGAGGGATGTAAATGGTCTTAAATCAGGTCACTTCATCATCATAACCCTCCCTTTGAGGCGGTCATTTCTACATTCTGATATGTCATTCATGCGCAAAAAATTCCCCCACCCCCGTACTTCAAAAAGCTCCTATACTTTAACATTGCCTTTTCCACTAATTTTGAGGTCAAGGTGTGGGCCACAGGAAGGATGTAAAGGGTCTTAAATCAGGTCACTTCATCGTCATAACCCTCCCTTCGAGGCGGTCATGTCTTTATTCTGATATGTCATTCATACGCAAAAAAGCCCCCCCAAATGTTCTTCAAAAAGATCCCATACTTTAACATGGCCTTTTCCACTAATTTTGAGGTCACGGTGTGGGTCACAGGAGTGATGTAAATGGTCAGAAATCAGGTCACTTCATCGTCATAACCCTCCCTTTAAGGCGGTAGTGTCTGCATTCTGATATGTCATTCTTAGTCTAAAGAGCCCCCTCAAATGTCCCCAAAAAAGCTCCTATACTTTTAACATTGTCCAAAATCCAAAAACTCTCCATGTCCAAAATGTGCGTAAGCCAGCTCCTTAGGTCAACTCAAAGTTGCCCTCATTTTCCCACTACTTTTTCCTTTATAAATCCCAAAGTTTGAATGGCAAGTTACTTTTGCAGTTTTGCAACCCCATTTTGTGGGTAAGCAAGCTTTATAAATGACACCCCAGGCCACTATAAAACTTACTGATGTACATCTGCAGCATGCAAGGACCATTTACAGGGGTTGATTTTATTTGTCACAGTTTTCACCCCTTCAGAGTTTGTAGGTATGAATGTTCTTGTTCTCTGCACCATCACAGTTGATTCATTGGTTGAGCCCCAATACATAAAAAATAAATTAAATGAACAGGATAAATATTATATATATAATGTGTGTGTATGTATGTATGTGTGTGTAAGCTGTTGAAATATATGCTCATATATTTATTAATAAATATCTAATATATACATATGAGACTCACATGGTCAAGTGTGATTTTAGTTTTCAGCAGAAACAGACTTTTTTGGGAGTGGGGGTGGGGAGTGGCTCTGCACCTGCACTGGACAGGGGAGCAAAAGTTCATGATGCATTCAGGGAAAATTGGTGTGTCCAACTATACTGAAATAAAAACATCTAAAGAGGTTTATTTGTGAATGCTATGAGTTTTCTGTAAAATGATTATTGCTTAAATATTGCACATGAAATTAGCTCATGCCTGAAGTCTGTTAAGACATTATCAGCTGGAAAACCCTAAATTTTTAATGTATCAAGTTTGCAGTCTCATTGTTCGTGAAAGCAGCATGTGCATTGTAGATGGAAAGTACCGGAGCTGCCCTGGATCTCTCCAACTTTGTCAGTCTTTGACTAATTCTACAGAGGAAAAGAGGAATAACTCCACAGCCCAAAAAGGTAACATATAATTTAAAATATTCCATGAAATCATTTACACTTTTTTTAATAAGACAATTACAGCTCTTATCATGCTAAAACAATTTGAACTGAATTGAGCTGTGCTTGTGAGTTTTAGGTAATTTTCTATCAGAGACTATTGTTTTCTTTCAACTTTAAGGTATGTTTAAAGAAATAAAGACACGCTTTACCTACTTACATTTTTAAAACTTATTTTTAAATTAAAACAAAGTGGCTGTCTGCATGGTAAAGCTACGGGGCCTGAAGTGAGCTGTATTTGTGAGGACTCAAAGTGTAGTTTTCAGCAATTTTGTATCAGGGACATGGTTTTGTCTTATGTAACATTAATAATGCTGTACATTTCAACCAGAGCAGTGTTGTTCTATTTTGTGATAGGGTTCATTAACATTATAAAAAGGATTCAGTGTGATGGAAGGTGTACAATGAAATCTAAAAAGAGAGAAATATTATTTTGTTGGGAAATCTAATCTTTCATAGGCAATGTGGATACAATAATCAGTTTTTGACATTAAAAAAAACCCACTAGTGACGTGTTGGCCACGAACGAAACGGCTCTCAGAGCCGACTTGTTTATGTGACCGTTAGGAGAAAGGTCCCTTCTGCAGGAACTGGCTCCCTCTTGGAGAAGTCAAAGTGAGTTACATAGACTGTACCCGCAGGCCCTGGAGCCACTAGAACACAGCAAAACTTGAGCGCACATGTGCAGCGGGCCTCAGTGAAGCTGACCTCCAGTAAAAGCAAATAGGCTGTGCGGTTAGTTTCTGAGATATTACACTTTATTTTATAGGTTATTCTTAACCCTAACCCAGACTGCACCAAAACAGTTCAAAGTAGTCTACTTTTTAGTGCTATGTTTGTGCTGGTTTGTGCTGTTGAAATATAATTTGTGTTGCTATGGTTTCTGAGATATAACAAGTTTTATTGTTGTGTGATGCTCCAAAACATTCCAAAATAGTCTACATTTTAGTTCTTCGTTTGTGCAGTTAAAATTGGGGCGACAGTGGCACAAACCTATTTGCTTTTACTTTTCAAGTGGGGGAGATCAGCTTCACTGAGCTCCGATGCTGTGAAGGCAGGGAGAGGGGTGGCATGCACAAAATGCCTGTGAGACAAATTACATTAACTGATAAGACCTGTAAATATTGGTGGGGACAAATCTGTAAGAGGAGAAAGGAAAATCAAACAAAGCTTCAGAAAGGTGAGGACATGAGTGAAAACAGGACAGGCACCAAGGTTTGGACAAATTTTAACTACAGTGACAATTAAAAGACAGAGTGTAGATTGTGCAAAGGGTAAATATATCCAAAAGGCTATAATAGTTCAAAACTAATACAAATTTTACTTGCAGAGTTTGTTTTTGTCATTTAAAATGTGTTTATGTAGCTCTCTGCTTCATGTTGAATAAAATAAGTTATTTAAACAATAAACACTTGATAAAATGTATATTGTAGATTAGTAATTCAGTTTACATACAGTTTTATATAATTTCTGGTGATAAATTCATTTAGGAAACGAAAAATATGAGGAGCTGTTTAAGAGCCGAAAGAGCCGGTTCATTTTAGTGAGCCGAGCTGTAAGACCCTAACCTAGCAGCAGCCAGATCTCTATGTGTAGCCTCGTGTAGAGTCTACACATTTAGATCTGGACTCTCTGCAGCAGAAACCGGCTAAAAGAGGGAGGGCTGTGTGGTAGAATATTTTGAACTGACTGAAGGACGCGCAAGGTAGTGCCCGGCTGGCACTAGCTGGCTGCTGCCAGGATAGGGCTCTTGATACGATCTTCAAAACGAACTCCCACCCTACAGCAAAGTGCTGACACACAATTGGATTGACCCATTTTGGGCCGGATGCCGGACGCTTTTAACTAGTGATGGGAACCCTGGATCTTTTAAGAGAACCAGTTCTTACGGCCAGCTGTAACACACCAAACATGGCTTTTTTGCTAGATTGGTTATCTACACTGAACAAAAATATAAACGCAACACTTTTGTCTTTGCTCCCATTTTTCATGAGCTGAACTCAAACAGTTGAAACTTTATCTACATACACCAAACACCCATGACCCTCAAATATTATTCTGAAATCTGTCTACATGTGTGTTCTCGAGCACTTTTTCTTTACCAAGATAATCCATCCCACCTCAAAGGTGTGGCAAATCAAGGGGCTGATTAGACAGCTTGAATAATGTAAAGGAGTGCCTTAGACTGCCCTTCATATTTCAAACTTTGCTAACTTTATTAATAACTCTGCTAAATAGTCATAGCCATAGTTCAAATTATTGATAAACTTGTGTTAAATCATCTAATCTGACATCTTTCCAGACATGCAGAGCCAATGCCCCTCAGGAGCTGGGATTCCAGAGGATTTCAATGAGAAAGAGAAAACAGGTGAGTGACTTCCACATTCACGTGATTGTATGAGTTGTTGTGACTCCTGGTCTATCCACTAACTATATTGGCAGACATCACTTAAAGAGCAAGTCACCCCCAAATCAACTTATTTTTTGCTGATAAACTGTATCAATGAGTGTCTAATAGTGCTGTAGAAATGTGTGGTCATTATTATGGCTTTTTAGTGCATCTTATTTAGAGTTTAAAAATTCAGCCTAAGACAGTCCACCAGTCAGCAAGCTGGGTTCTCTGTCGGAAACCTACACTCACCCTTTCCCTCTGTGATTATGGGAAATGTCCATTCTCTTCTCAATAAGATGGACAAGCTCACAGCACTGACCAGGTTGCAGCAAGACTACAGACAGTGTAGTCTGTTATTTTTTAAGGAAACGTGGACGGATGAGCTCATAGCTGACTGAGGTTTCACTGGGAGAATTTAAACTCACGTGGGCCGACAGGAGCGTGGAGTGTGAAGCGCAAGAGTGGGGGTCTGGTTGTGTTTAATAATGAGAAATGGTGCAACCCAGCGTATGTGACCATTAAAAATAAACTCTGCACAAATGACATAGAGCTACTGGCTGTTGGTCTCCAGCCCATTACATCCCGAGAGAGTTTTCACATGTAATTGCGCCAGACGCCCCTCCCTGGGTTGCCACCTTACCGCGGTGAGAGGGTTTGTGTGTCCCAATGATCCTAGGAGCTATATTGTCTGAGGCTTATGCCTCTGGTAGGGTCACTCATGGCAAACAGGTCCTAGGTGAGGGATCAGACAAAAAGCAGCCCAATGACCCATTATGATGAATAATATAAATTGACACAGTGTTCACTCACCCGGATGTGGGTCACCGGGGCCCCACTCTGGAGCCAGGTCTGGAGGTGGGGCACGTCGGCGAGCGCCTGGTGGCTGGGCTTTCACCCAGCCCGGCCGGGCACAGCCCAAAGAGAAAAGGTGGGTCCCCCTTCCAATGGGCTCACCACTTGTGGGAAGAGCCAAAGGGGTCAGGTGCAATGTGTGATGGGTGGAAGCCGAAGGCTCAGATGCGGTCTGATCCTTGGCTACAGAAGCTGGCTCTAGGTACGTGGAATGTCACCTCGACTAGATATAGTCGGACTCACATCAATACATGGGTCTGGCTCTGGAACCAGATTCCTTGAGAGGGGCTGGACACTCTACCACTCTGGAGTTGCCCCCACTGAGAGGCGCCGAGCGGGGTGGGCATACTAGTTGCCCCCCATCTTGGTGCCTGTACATTGGGGTTTACCTTGGTGGACGAGAGGGTAGCCTCCCTCTGCCTACGTGTGGGGGGACGGGTTCTGACTGTTGTCTGTGCTTATGCACCAAACTACAGTTCAGACTACCCACCCTTTTTGGAGTCCTTGGAGGAGGTGCTGGAAAGCACTCCTTCTGGTGACTCCCTCATTCCGCTGGGGGACTTTAACGCTCACGTGGGCAACGACAGTGAGACCTGGAGAGGTGTGGTGGGGAGGAACGGCCCCCCTGATCTGAATTTGAGTGGTGTTTGTTGTTGGATATCTGTGCTCGTCATGGCTTGTCTATAACTAACACAATTTTCAGACATAAAGGTGTCCATATGTGCTCTTGGCACCAGGATACCTTAGGCCGCAGCTCGATGATCGACTTTGTTGACATTTCATCTAATCTGCAACCGCATGTCTTGGACACTCGGGTAAAGAGAGAGGCGGAGCTGTCAACTGACCACTACCTGGTGGTGAGTTGGCTTTGATGGTGGGGGAAGATGCCGGTCAGACCTGGCAGGCCCAAAGGTATTGTGAGGGTCTTCTGGGAACGTCTGGCAGAGTCTCCTGTCAGAAGAAGTTTAAATTCTCACCTCGGACAGAACTTCCAAAATGTTCTGGGGGAGGCGGGGGACATGGAGTCCGAGTGAGCCATGTTCCGTGCTTTCATTGTCGAGGTGGCTGACCGGAGCTACGGCCGCAGGGTTGTTGGTGTCTGTTGTGGTGGCAACCCCCAAACCCACTGGTGGACACCAACGGTTAGGGATGCCGTCAAGCTGAAGATAAAGAGTCCTATAGGGTCTGTTTGGCCTGTGGGACTCCAGAGGCAGCTGATGGGTACCGGCAGGCCAAGCGGAATGCGGCCCAGGTTGTCACAGCATGCTGCATAGTGTTGGAACCCAAGTTTTTTTCATTTTTATTCGTGTTTTTTTAGTGGTCGAAGGTTACATTACTAGATTACTGCCTATGTGTATATACATGTACCTATATCATAATTTTCTTCTGATTATCCCCTTAAGTGTTGGTGCTGCTGTAACAAGTGAATTTCCCCACTGTGGGATCAATAAAGTGTATTCTATTCTATTCTTCCTAAAGGATTATTAGGAACACCATACTAATACGGTGTTTGACCCCCTTTTGCCTTCAGAACCATCTTAATTCGACGTGGCAGTAGCCACATTTACATGCGCATATTTCATCAGATTGAACGCCCAATCAGATAAAAAATTCTGCATGTAAACATGTCAATCAAATATTCTGATCCGATTTGGCCCGATCGGATTGAAATTTCAATTCGATTGAGGTAGGTGGTTTTGTCCGATCATCATTCTGATTGACGTGCATGTACACAGCTATTCGGATTGTTGGGGTAAAATAATGCCCACTGCGCATGTGTGCAACAGCGAGCGGGCCTCTCCGCTGTCATTTGGACTGCCTGACTTCAAAAATGACAGCGTAATCAATGAGCAGAGGCTTTTAAATTTGATAACAAGCCGTCCCGTTTCAGTAATATTTAATTCAGAACTTGCATTTTGTAGAAGTAAAATAAAAATCTGATTATTGCACAAATCACTCGACAAACATTTTCAAATCTGTACTGGAAATACCCAAGTTTATTGCGGAGGTTGCAGCGCACAGATCCCCGTTTCTGTCAGCTTTGAACGCAGCAACTTCTGCAGCAGGTGATGGAGACGCCAGAGACGCTTTTAAAGAAGACAGGATAATATCAGTTTTACAGACCTGATTGGAGGCTGATGTTGGGTAGGAAAACATCCTCGGTTAAATATTCTGGACAACAGTAAAGTCTGTGTTAAAAGCACATTAACGCAGATGACCTGAGATGCGGTTCGTTAATGATGAACACAGGCTTCTAAACTTTCTGAACGTCTTCTGTTGTTTTATTTTAAACAGATTTTTCTCAACAGTTTCAGCTGATTGTCACATGTTAAGAATAATAAGCCACAACAGAGCTCAGTAATAAAACATGAGTCTAAACGCCCCCATCCCCACTCTGCGCCACAGTGCAGCGCAACGGCATATCTGTCACTTCAGACCCACGGACCAGCTGATCAAGAGGCAGAAACATAACCCTCCCTTATTTTAATCAACAATAAAAATGCAGCAAAGCATAGATCTGCAGTTATTCACTGAAGAAAACGTAACTTCTATGAGCAAAATAAAAATATTGAAGTGAATAAATGAATCGGGGAAAGCAGGAAGAATTGTTATTTCTGTTTTTACATTTTTCATTTCGTTTCATGGTGTTTGTTTACAATTTTTCTTCCGGGAAAGGCAACTTTCTGCGCATGCTCAACCTATTTAATCGGATTAAATGCTTGATGCATTTATAAGCACGGCATGATCAGATCATTTCAGTTTGTGTCCATGTGAACAGTGATTCAGAAATTCCGATCAACCAAGATTTGAATTGGATTGAGGAAATTTGGTGCATGTAAACATGGCTACTGAGTCAACAAGTTGCTGAAAGCATTCTTTAGAAATGTTTGCTCATATTTATAGGATAGCATCTTGCAGTTGATGGAGATGTGTGGGATGCACATCCAGGGCACGAAGCTCCCGTTCCACCACATCCCACAGATGCTCTATCGGGTTTAGATCTGCTGACTGTGGGGGCCATTGTAGTACAGTGAACTCATTGCCATGTTCAAGAAACCAATTTCAAAAGATTGGAGCTTTATGACATGGTGCATTATCCTGCTGGAAGTAGCCATCAGAGGATGGGTACATGGTGGTCATGAAGGTATGGACATGGTCAGAAACAATGCTCAGGTAGCCTGTGGCATTTAAACCATGCCCAATGGGCACTAAGGGGCCTAAAGTGTACCAAGAAAACATCCCCCACACCATGACACCACCACCACCAGCCTGCACAGTGGTAACAAGGCATGATGGATCCATGTTCTCATTCTGTTTACACCAAATTCTGACTACCATTTGAATGTCTCAACAGAAATCCAGACTCATCAGACCAGCAACATTTTTCCAGTCTTCAACCATCATATTTTGGTGATCTTGTGCAAATTGTAGCCTCTTTTTCCTATTTGTAGTGGAGATGAGTGGTGCCCCGTGGGGTCTTCTGCTGCTGTAGCCCATCCACCTCAAGGTTGTGCATGTTGTGGCTTCACAAATGCTTTGCTGCATTCCTCGGTTGTAACGAGTCACTTCAGATATTAAATAAATAAATATCATAATAATAATAATAATATACGGAATATTAAACATTGAACTAAACTGAATACGAGTTCAACGTACCATTACACCCCTAGTAATGATTGTGGGTTGAGACACCTGAATCAGAATGCGAAAACATTATGACTCAGTGGATTTAAAAATACACACAGATGATGGAAAAAATCAGAGTATGGGGAAGCTGGCAACTCCTCCTTTTGTTGCATTTTTAAAATGGGAAGTGTGGGTGAAGTTATACTCTGGGGTGACTTGCTCTTTAAGGAAATTATTACTGTTATGTCTATAGCTTGACATTAGATCTATTTTTCTTTTCTTTGCAGCATCTTTCAAAAGATAAAAGCTGAGAAACAAAAGCAATGGGCTCGACCAAAGTTCTGAAGGTCAGTCAATGATCAATGGCTTACTGAGATTGGCGTGCCTCCGTTTCTTTTTATAATGCTTTAAGTGGATTTTTTTTTCATAAATTTCATATCACTCTAGATGAACCCACCTTGTGCACCCAAAGGCCTACAGGGAAATCAAAGAAGAAGCAGACCAACAAAGGAACACCCACCCATTCCCCTTCCCTGCTCACTGTCCATGGTTTTACTCAAGGTTTGGTTCAGATTTTCAAATATTTAAGTAACTGAAAATGGCTAACATGCAATTCATTCTCCCCATAAAAGACTGAAAGAGATTACCTTAAAAAAAGAAACTGAGGTTTGACATTTTACAACAAGTATGAACAACTTAACTACTTAGGGGCAGCAGTAGCTCAGGAGGTAGAGAGGATTATCCAGAAACCGGAAGGTTGCAGGTTTGATCCCAGCTCCAACCAGAGAGTGCTGCTGTCGTGGCCTGCTGAACACTGGCGCCACCGGTCCCTCTGACCACCACCAGCAGGCAAAGCGAGTTAAGTGCCTTGCCCAAGGAAACAACAGCAGCAGATTGTGTTGTGAAGCGCCTTGGGGGCCTTAGAAGGCGCTATACCTATACAGGCCATTTATTCCCATTAATTTCACATTGTTGTCCTTATTATAAATACAGAAATGTATTTGGGATGTTTGAGTTCACATAAACCTTTATAGAAAGATGGAAGTTCATCAAATCATTACCATATTAACATTTTAGGCACAAAGATACTTGACTTCAGTTTTCCTTCAGTTAGATGCTAAACTTTTTCTGTTTATCAACAACAATTATAGATCTGTTGATACATTTCCTAGCTACAGTTCAGAGTCTAAAAAAACCTTGTATTAAGCCATATAATCTAAAATGTTTTTGTAGATCATCCAGATATGATGAGCCAAGAACCTTCAGGAGCTGAGTGGTCTAAGGAGTCAAATGGAAAGGACAAAACAGGTGCGTGGTTTCCACATTCACACACACGGACAGAGATGTTTTGCTTTCGGAATTCTCAGTCTCCTGGGGAGTGTTGTAAAGCAGTTCCCCGCCAGGACAACAGGGCGTAGCACTGCTCTGTGTTATCCTGCCCAAGAGAGTGCATTTAATATTATATAATAAACACAGAAACTGTGCAAATAACAAAAGTCAGCAGGGATAAAAAAGCTGTTTACTTGGTTTGTGGTGATCTTGGTAGTTATAAAGTTTAACAGCTGCAGAAAGGAAGGATTAATGACAAAATGCCTTCATACACCTAGAATGCGTAAGTCTGCTACTGAAGGAACTCTCCAGCTCCGTTGTCAGCTTCACGCTTGGGATGGGAAACATTGTCTAACCCCCAAATTCCACTACCTCCGCTCCGACACGAACGCCGGAGCAAAATCGGTCCCGTTGTAGTCAATCAGAGCAATTCCACTACTGCGGCTGTGCTCCGGCAGTGCGGCGCCGTGCGCCGTCCTCTGTTCCGGCGTCCGGCAAAAATAGAATCGATCCTATTTTCGCCGGATGCCGGAGCACCTCCGCAGTCAATGGACAGAAATCACCATCGCCCAACAGGAAAAGGAGCAAGCACAACTTCCGTTTTTCACAATAAATCGATAAACAAAAGGCGTTTTTTGTTTCATATGCACAGGTTTAACAACTTTTAACAACTATCAGTGGCGGCTGAAGTTTAAATGCACAAAAGTTAGCCATAAATACAGTTTTCACTATCAAACACTTTGTTGATCCAAACACTGCTGATCTCTACACAAATGATGGGCAGATTAAACAGTTCATGCCGATGCTTCTCCAACACAACGGGTGTTTGGATCTAACTTCCGCGTTTATTGCTCGGACTGTATCGCAAGATCTTGAAAATCCCACGCATGCTTGTTTGCCCACCTCAGGTCTCCGCACCGGAGCGGAGCCGTTGTAGAGCGCATACCGGTAAAAATTGAGTTCGGAAGCGAGCGGCTGCGGAAGGCGGGGGCGGACCGCAGCGGAGCGGAGCGGAGGTAGTGGAATTTGGGGGTTACAGACGTTTGAAAAACTTGTAGTAAGTAATTTAATTTCAAATATTTCTGTAGGTCCAACCACGCTGAACCAAGGTCCTTCAGGAACTGGAATCTAAGCCCAGATATAAGCCCAGTAGCTATGTATTTGTGTTTATAAATGTAGGTGTCTTTTTGGGGTTGCTGCGTGATGTTCTTGTGCATTGCAGCAGCGCCATGCAGCAGTTTGTTGTCGTAATGTAGTCCCCGGTCTAAAATAACTCCTGTATTCCTTCCTGTTATTTCATTTGCAGGCTGTGATTATTGAGGTCACCAAAAAATAGGATCCTTACAGAGTATTTTTCATCACTTTTTAATATGAAATGCTAGCTAAAGCTAACCAAATATTGCCATCTTAGGAAATTGACTGGGCTGGTTAGAAAAGGGGTTTTCCCACTGATCCAAGTCTGTAACCTTGCACTGCAAGATGAATTTTTGCAAGATTTGGAGTTTTCTGGATGGACCGGACACGGACTGAGCTGTGAGCTCCCGGCTGCTGAGTTTTGTGTGTAGGGAGGGGCGGGTGCTCTATTTGACTGGCCAATCACAGAGCGTGAAGACAGTCAGTTACCCAATGAGGATTTTCCTTCAGCACGATTACAGATATTTACGATTTTTACTCGTTTCACTTGTCAAAAATGCTTTATCCGTACCGGATACTCTTCTGAAACGAGTATCCGGCTCATCCCTAATCCAAACAGTCAGAATTGAAAACACAACCTAAACATGATGTCATGACTTTAACTAATAAAAGCATGTTTCTTTTTTTTTTTTTTTTTGTTACAGACATGGATCAACAGGATTTAACCTCTAAGAAATTCAACCGAAAGATTTGGAGCAAATCTGGGAAAGAAGCGGTTTGGCAACAGCTTGGTCGGTACATCACTCTTGAAAGAGTTCCTGGTAAAATGCTGTGTGTGAAAGCACTCAGTACAGAGACAGCACTTTAGAACAGAAGTTGGGAAGATGTAAAAAACTGCATCTATAACCACATCCCTGATCAAAAAAGAAAAAGGCTGTAGTTTTTGCGTTAAAAGCAGCAGGAGCTGAGTTAATGCATGTAATGTTACAAGCAGAGCATTTAATGATACCTAGTTATTTTTATTTTATGAGACATTGGAAATATGTTAAAAACTATAATTATAACAGCATTGCAGATCAAAAATGTTACAAGCAGAGCATTTTATGGTACCTAAAGATATTTAAATTTTATTACATGTTGGAAAGATGTTAAAAACTATAAGTAGAACAGCATCACAGTAGCATTGCAGGGATTAATCGTTTTGACTATTAACCCTGGTTAACCCCAAGTAAATAGATCTTCAACACCATCAAACTAAAACAAAAAGACAATAGCGTAACTCGTAAGTACAAAAACAAAACTGAAACTGAACACGCGCCCGCAGCAAAAGCATGATCAGTGAAAACAACCATCGGGACTCCTCCATTTCTACCTCGGAAGAGGTTGAATTCTCCTGTGTGGGAATAGTTTAGATATATTAGATATCATCCCACACAGGAGACTTCAACCGCTTCTTAGGTGGAAATGGAGGAGTCCCGAAGGTTGTTGTCACTGGTTCTGCTTCTGCTGCGTGAGCACGTTCAGTTTCACTTTTGTCTTTGTCCATGAGGGTCATGCCATAGTCCTTTTTTTATTGTTGGTGTGGTAGACATCTTTAAGGGGGGTTATCAGGGGTTAATAGTCAAACTGGTTAATCTCTGCAAGCCTACATCACAGCTCAAAAAAGAAAAAAAACTGTAGTTGATATGTTTTATTTTAAAAGCAGCAGAAGCTGAGTTAATGCATGCAATGTTAAATGCAGAGCATTTAATGGTACCTAAAGTTGTATTAATTTATTAGAAGTTAGAAATATGTCAGAACTACTAGTAGAGCAGCATCACAGCTCAAAAAGAAAATAAAAACAATATTTGAAAATTTTCTTTTTCAAAGCAGAAGGATCTGAGTTCATTTATGTAATTTTATGCACCGTGTTTACTTTATTTGGTATCTAAAATTTATATTTTATCAGCAGATGAATTAGAAAGATTTTAAAAACTGCATGTATAACTGCATTTTAGCTCAAAAAAGAAAAAAGTAAACATATTCAATTTTAAAAGAAACAGGAGCTGAGTTCATATATGTATGTAATGTTTAAAGGTGCCTAAAGTTTATTTTAGTTCAACTGTTGCAGTCACAATTGCAAAGTTTAATGAAATCCTTTTTACTTCAATAAAATAACTACTTTGTAGTAATTTCTGTCATGTTTCCTGTTATTTATGTTCTGTAACTAAGATTTACAGGGAGCTGCACGGCTGAATGCAGTTTGAATCCAGCTTAGTCTTTATGGTGGTTGCATATTTTTCCTATGTATGTCTGGGTTCCTCCAGGATAATTTGATACCTTTCACCATCCAAAATCATTCTATGTCTATTAGTCGATGAGCCGATACCAATATTTGATATTAATATCACTGCTTCTGCAGTACTGCAGACGTTGTACCGATCTGTCGTGGTGAAGAGAGAGCTGAGCCAGAAGGCAAAGCTCTCGATTTACCGGTCGATCTATGTTCCTACCCTCACCTATGGTCATGAGTTTAGGGTAGTGACTGAAAGAACGAGATTGCAGATACAAATGGCCAAAAATAGTTTTCTCCGCAGGGTGGCTGGGCTCTCCCTTAGAGACCCGCTGCTCCTCCACATCGAGTGGAGCCAGTTGAGGTGGCTAGGGCTTCTGGTTAGGATGCTTCCTGGACGCCTCCCTGGTGAGGTTTTCCGGGCACGTCCAACCGGGAGAAGGCCTAAAGGAAGACCCAGGACACGCTGGAGATACTATGTCTCATGGCTGGCCAGGGAACGCTTTGGGATTCCCCCGGAGGAGCCGGCCCAAGTGGCTGGGGAGAGGGAAGTCTGGGCTCCCTTGTTTAGGCTACTGCCCCCACGACCCAACCCCGGATAAGCGGACGACAATGGATGGATGGATGGATGATATCACTGTTATGGCCGATAGCTGATATTTGCTGATACAGATATACTGACATGCTTCTAAAATAAGCAAATTTTGTACTGATTGAAAATTATTAAAGCTGAATTTACGTTGTTATGTACACACACCACACACATTTACGCTTATGAGAATATTAAAATAACTGTCACATGGCTAAACAAATACACACCACCCCCCTAACCATCTGAAACAGATAAACAAATGGAAACAAAATGGAAAAAAAATATTTGTTGTTAATATTGACCAAGTTTTATTTATCGGACCAATACCAATATGTTAAAAATAACTTATTGATGCAGATTGTGCATCCCTAATGTTGATGATTGTCTGTCCTTTTAGTTTGCAGCATTTGTGTGGTGCCTCGATGAACTGTTACCTGCTCAGACTTCACCGCACAACTTGGAATAGGGAATTACAGAAAAAATCCTTATCTAATATTATTTAAGCTAAATCCTGGTGAAGGTTCTCTGAAATGCAGTTTGTGTTATTCCTTGTAGATTTGGGTTGAGGCAACTGAGTTGTTTTGGTTATTTGAATATGTTTCACTTCTTATTTGAGGAGCTTTGTCAATTCTGACCAGAATAAGGAGAGGGATAAGCTCCAAAATCACACTACAATACTTGGGCTTGATGCTCCACTCATTCCACTTTAATATTACAAAGCTCTTTGGATTAGAAGCAAAACATTTTGAAAGTATAAAGAAAATCTAGCAACTTACACACTCAAACAAGAAAATAATTAAGCTAATATATTTTATTTTTTCTTAAGAAAAACTAAACAAAAATTTTAAACTGATAGAGTACTTTATAGGCAAACAAAAGCTTCTCTGTGATTCAAGATGTTAAAATTTTACTTTGCTATTGCCAATTTGATAATAAACAAGTGTTACATATTTGTAAAAACAGTTTGATTAGTTAAAATTGCTTTGAAAGTTTAAGAATTTTTAATTTTTCATGTGGAAATTTAATCAAAAATTGGTTAGGGAGGAAATACAGAATTGTGAGGACATCACCTAATCTGCCTAGCAACGGTTGTGGGTCCTCACAAGTACACCAAATAAATATTTTTTTTACTTTGATTTTTCAACAATTTGAAGTGAGATTCTGACTCTTCACTCACATCTAGTGTCAGATTTTCATGGCCCAACACTACAGCTATGCAGGAAGTGGATGTCCTCACAAAGATAGGTAGGGTCAGTGTCCTCACAAGTATATATATACATGTATGTGTGTGTGTGTGTGTGTGTGTGTGTGTGTGTGTGTGTGTGTGTGTGTGTGTGTGTGTGTGTGTGTGTGTGTGTGTGTGTGTGTTTATTGTATGTAGGTGGGCATTTATTGGTCTTGAAATAATAACTAATAGTTTATATCTGACAAGGTTGATTAACTTATGTAAACTTAACAAACCTAAGCTAGTCAAATTTTGTAACTGATTGTATTTAGTTATATTACCTATTAGTAACTTAACTTAATTAAATTTATTATGAGAAAAATCCCTCTAAGTCTACAGTGGATATAAGTTGCCCTCAGATGGATCTGTTTGTTGTGCCATAGCTCACTGCTAATGTTTCCTGATTTAAGTTGTTGATTTTAATCTTTTTTACACAGTTAAGTAATTTTTATATGTGAAGATGTTCTGGCTTTCCCGTTGTCTATACTAACCGTGCTATTAGCAACTATTTAAAAACTGTGGAAATTTTAAAGTGATCTGCTTTATTTTGAAATAATTTACAGGAAAAGCTAATCAGTTATTTCTTGTTTAGCTTTATGTAAATGCTGTAATAACAACTTGCGTCCGCTAGAGGGCGGGAAAGTCCTTGTTCTTGAACATAAACATGAATAATTCAATGTCTAACCCTGCACTTGACAGTTATGTGTTCTTCATCTCATATTCTCTAACTTTAACTTGTCTTATTTACTTTTAGGAGCATCAATGTGTTTATAAAGTTGTTATTTCAGAGCTAGCACCGCGATAATGCGCTTTTTCACCCAGCACTCTGACCTCGGGCACGTATGGAGCGGTTCCTCTTGTTTAAATTGACGATCTTCGTGAGGAACCGGAACAAGTCAACCAGCTGCTTCCGTCTCCCCCGCCCACAGTCAGCTGTTTCTGGGCTGTTTGCAAACATAGCAGTCCTCTGTGGTCCCGCGGTGTCCTCCAGACCTGCACGATGGGAGAAAACGACGACAGCGACATCATAGAGCACCATGTTGAGGAGGAGATGGAGAAGAAAGGTTCGTTGCTGGAGAGCGTGGGTCCGTCCGACAGAGAGGCCCACAGCAGCACCCAGTCCTCCCACAGACTGCTGGCCTACAGCGATGCCCTCATCTCCATCATCGCCACAGTCATGGTGAGAATTCACATCAGATTTAACGAGCAGCGGTGTGGGGAGGATACGCAGGAAGCGCGAGGTAGACTTACAACGATTAATCCAGCAGCATGTAAACGGAGACCACTTTAAAATCAGATTATTCTGATCTCACACAGGAAGCTGCTCTCTCAGCAGCAGATTACATTTGATTTCACTCACTTTGTTTTAAAGCGCTCTGGTTGTGAATTCATCCACGTGGAGCTAAAGATTATTTTAGGTTTTAGAAACTGTTGCACGTCTGTTGTTTGGTAGATTTTGATTTCAGTAGATTTTCCAATTCTAAAAAGTCAAACTTAATATGAAATGTTCAATGATGAAATATCAAGAGAAGCTCGTGTGCCCATGTATTTATTGGGTAAATACTGAGTGTGACCTTTTTCTACATGGGTGTCCCCGGCCTCTCGCCTGATGACTGCTGCAGGAGGACACAAGCTCCCCGTGACCCCAATGGGTTAGATGACAGATGGGTGGCTCTTCCCGAGCCATCGTCTCTTTAATCCATTGATCATGTTTGGCAGAATTTAATGAAATCAGACTTCCTCTTAAAATGATGAAAAGGCTGCTGCTCTGCCTTGTTATGAGTCTATGGTCCAGTTAGGCCGCACTAACAACAACATACAAAACCAACTCTTGTAGAACACAATAAACCTGTCCCAGCTGGGGAATTGATCTATTTTGGAGCACTCGTCTGAAGATTGATTCTGATTATTTTACATCTGACTCAGATGTAAACTTCTCTCAGAGACCTGCAGGATCTGGATTGAGAGCCTCTGACACATTTTGCCAAACTTATTTCTCAAGTGACGTATTTGTCGTTATCGCTCTCCAGCTCTACGCACACTCAGTTTTACGTTAATGTTTAAAAAAACTCTTGCTACTAGCATGGTCGGTCAAACAGACTCAACAAGTTAATCATTTGTAGATAGTGTAATAATGATGTTCTGAGAGGCTGATTAAAATCTGACCAGTGACTCATGCATGGACGTAATTCTCACTTTAGAAGTGTGTGTGTGTGTGTGTGTGTGTGTGTGTGGGGGGGGGGGATCTTTACAGTATGTTCTAATGGGAAACAGGCTTCAACACAAACGGTTGTTTTCTGCTTGGTACTAGAGCTCCACCAGAGTCAATTTAATATAGCGTAATATTGGTTTTGGATGGTAAAAAGTGCAGAAGTCAAAACTTGACTTTGGAAAAAGTGGGGGGGGGGGGGGGGGGGACATGTCCCCCTTGTCCCCCCCTCTCAAAAAAATTACGTCCATGGACTCATGAGACGTTTGGCCATCGCAGAGTCTACAGGCACACACACACACACACACTGCCCGTCTCTCTGCTGCAAGCAGTAAACAACTTTGCAGGATTTTAAAAACGTGCGCTCATGTTTTGATTGAATCTTGGAATTTCAAACTAAAAGATATCAGCAGTTATTGGATCTTAGATGTTTGCTCTGATGTCCCGTTTCCTCACAGATCTTACCCGTCGCTCACACCAAGGTGGAAGACAATGAGGTAAAGCTAAATCCTAATTATGCTGGTTTAGAATGGTGCTGATTCTGTTTAGTGACATTTTAATGGAGGTAACTTTAAACCTGAAGAACATTTTTGTGTTTTTTTAGGAGTTGAGGGAGAGTGTTCAGCTTCTGTTGACCACAAAGATAGCCGTTTACTTAATGACCTTCCTGATTGTGACGGTAGCGTGGGCAGCTCACATCAGGTCGTTATTATGACCGTCACTAGTACTTCTACCTATGTTGTCCTCGCTGATGTTTTCAGGTCATCTCGTCTTTTTTTTTTGCAGGTTATTTCAAGTGATCGTGCACATCGATGACTGCCTGGCACTGCTGAACCTTGTGAGTTGTTTTCTTTTGTTCTTTAAAGGGATACTTTGCAACTTTGACATATTTTTAAACTATTTTCTTGAGCCAGTATGTGCTAAAATGACCCTTTACAGCACATATGTCAGACTCAAGGCCCGCGGGCCAGATGCGGCCCACGGAGCATTTTTATGTGGCCCGCGAGATAAATATCAAAAATATATTAAAGCTGGCCTGCTGGCCGATTTTACAGCAAAGACTTCAACTCCCATGATGCTTTGCGGCGTCAGCACGGAGCCGATGTGCCCCCTCCTTTGTGTTTTTTCCAGCGCCTGCTGCCGGTGTCTGCAGCTCCGCTGTCTCGGACAAACTAAACACTCCTCTCACTCAGCGCCGAGTTCACTCAGCTATTTCTGACGTTGAAGCCCAGAAACGGAGATTCTAGCCGCTCAGTAATGTGTTCACGACTGAAAGAGAAAGTTTTCCAACTAACGTCCAGACAGAGCCGATATAACTCCAGCGAGCAGCGACACGCTCAAACCAGCACGGCTCTGTGGTTGTTTCCTCCCCGACACACAACAACGCGGTCAAGCTGCTCAGACATGTTCATCAGCACAAACCTATGTGAGCACCTGTTGTCATCTAATGTTGTCATTATTATGATGAAGATGAACAAAACAACAGGAGTCTCCTCCTCAGCTCAGATCAACCCCATGATGCAGGTATCTGGCTGGAACAGGTGAGCATCATTCACAGTAAACCAGTGGAGCAAACTGAGCTTTAAATATGTTGGTTTTATGCTCTTTTTCTGCTCCAAAACATGAAAGTTAACAGGTGAGATGTTGCATTTTCATTTAAGATAAAATGATATCGTTATTTTGTTGTTGGCCCGTGAGAAAAGATTTAACCTACAGTAAACAGGAAGTGGAAAGGCTGCAGATAGATGAATAGAATAGAAAATCCCTTTATTGTTCCTCAGTGGGGAAAGCTAGACGTCACCGCAGCGATGACACTTATTACAGGAGAAAAAAATGAGAATAAAAAATAAGAAAAATGAATAAACAAGAAAACATAAATCCTGAATAGATTTTAAAAATGCTGATTGTACCACAAGTAATGAATACCACTGATGCATTTTATTTAAAACTGACTTGCTGGTGTGTAATTTGGTTATTCCACATTCAGTGTTAATGCAGAAATAAGTTTGTTTCCAAATTTAAAGGTTCAAAATTGCATATATGTTGATAAAGAAAATGTGCAAATTTGCCGTCACTTTTTCAAAAAATATTAAGTTTGGCCCTCGACTCCGTCCCAGAGTTTCATTTCGGCCCCGTGTGAGTTTGAGTTTGACACCCCTGGTTTACAGGGTTAATGAAAGGCCACCCAGCCCCTGTGGCCAGAATATTTCACTTCAGACTGGTGGGCTGCTCTGTTGGGAGCTGACATACCTGGCGCTGCAGTCTGGTTTCAGCACGTTTCCTGCATGTTTTAGATCATGAACACAGCTGATTTGTTGAATTTAGCGATGAGTCGCTCCTGTAGACACTAAGGAACACTGGGAGATGTTTCAGCTGTTAGATTAAGGTGTTAAAAAGACGATCGCACAGCGATGAGATAAGTTTTGCTTTCGGTTCTACAAACAGACACTAGGGGGTGCTAAAACCATTCCTAAACTGCCTAGTTCCACTTTAATGAACTAAAACACTTTGCATCTTGTATTTTAAATTCAGAAGTGACGGCTGTTTTGCATTTCTGTTTGCATTCTGTAATGTGGATGTCTGCTTTGCTTCTTTTTCAGGCCTGCATGATGCTGATAACATTTCTGCCCTACACTGTGAGTATGAGTCTGAACCTCTGACGCGTCTCATAATGAAACGCATCGACCTCCAGTTTGATTCGGCCTCTGATTCCAGTTCTCTTTAATGGCCACCTTCCCTGAGAACATCCTCGGGATTTTACTGTTCTGTGGTTGTGTGATGGTGATCGGAGTCATCCAGGTGGGGAAATGAAAACACTTCACTGGTCCTGCGTCAGTCCTGCAAACACCAAACCTCGTCTTTCTGTTTCTGTTGTGTTGTAGTCCGTGATCGTGTTGTATGCCTTCAGCCGTCCCTTTTTGCTGAATGAACAAATCCAGATCTCAGAGAACCGGGCCTTCTATAAACACCACATCCTCAAGGTCATCATGAGGGTTCCCATCATGTGCTTCTTGGCCAGTGTCTTCTCCTTCATCTTCTTCCAGCTGGTTAGTAGAATTATTATCATTACGTGGTTTAACTGTAGCTTCGCTGCGAGGCAGCCCTCATTGAGCACTGCTGATTAACAATTTCCCACAAAGCCTTTATAACCTCGACTACAGTGTTGGGAGTAACATGGTACAAAAGTAATTAGTTACTGTAATGCATTGCTTTTTGCTGTAATGTGGTAATGTAACGCATTTCTTTCCCTGTAATGTAAGGCATTACAGGGAAAGAAATGGTAATATTTACTCGGTACAAGTGTCAGTAACGCGGTAATTACAACGCATTTTTAAACCCAGAATCAAGATGTGGGTTTCCTTAAAATTCAAATTGCAGGAAGCCTGAAAAAAGATCCAGTATCCACATATATGACGTCATTTATGGACTCAGCTTTGCGGGCATTCTATGAGCAGAGAGGACGCAGCGGTGATGGCTCAAATACTCCAGCTGCGTCCTGCGTGTGGCCGCTGTTTAATTCTCAAAATCGCTCCACCAAAACAAAGTCATTCGTTTGCGATCACTTATATCAGCCCATATTCTCTGGTACTTCATGTACTTTTCAGCTGAGTTCATAATCTGTTCCCCGGTGATTTCAACTCATTGCTGCTGGAGCGCAGCACATATGAAGCTTTTTTTTTTTTTTTTTTTTTTTGCATTCGGTAGATCCTTTTGGCTGATTAGTTAGAAAGTAGGAAATCTAGGGAACAGTTTTTCTGGAAGACGGAGAAAACACGCAGCATGCAGGAAGGTTAGAGAGAGAAAGGACGGGGATTTATTCACATAAAACCAAGAAAAAAGTAGGTAGATTTATCCCCAATACACATTTTTACCAGTGAAAAGCAAAATATATAAGCATCTAATATTTATACATGTGATAGAATCAGATCACCCCAGAAGTCAGTCCCACATCCAGGGCCGTATCAAGGCATTTGGGGACCAAGGCAAATATAGGCTTGGAGCCCCCACCACCTCACTCGCTGCTCAGTTAATATAAGATGGCAGCGTGCTGAGAGTACAGATTGTTGTTGGTTTTATTTAATAAACAATCATTTTAAAGCACTGTTATTATATCTGACTGTTTTTAACAGCAACCCTAGCTCAGACACCACATCACCTTCCACATATGTCATGAGCTCACTGAGCGTCACATTACCAGATTCATGTTGAAGTTGTTTTGGTGAAAGTAACTTAAAGTAATGCAAAAGTAGTGTAATGTCTTACATTTTAAAATCAGTAATATTGTAATTATCGAATTACTTTAAAATGAGGGTAACAAGTAATAAATAATGCATTACAGTTTTGAAGTAACTTGCCCAACACTGCTCGACTAATTCAACCAATTAGGGTTAAATTCTTTTTGTAAAAGTGGATGTTGACATATTTGTTCCATCAATTACTTCTACTTAATGACAAATTGTCTTAATAATCAACAAGAAGCATCATAAAAACAAACCAGTGACTTCCTGTCCAGGATGTTATTTATACATACGTCACAAAAATGACCTAATTGGGAAATTCGATGTCTTACACATTTATGACATTGGTTTAACGACTCGAGTCCAAACTGGGGTGTTTTATCAAAGAGTTGATTAAATGTCTGAACTGAAGTTTCATGCTTATTTTGGGCTTTTCTCCCATTTCTGCTTTGCAAGCATCAACCACCACCGTTCTGTCATCTGTTCCTGTAACAGAAACAACAGTGTGCATGAAGGATGACTTTACTGTGGAGTTGTGTGCAAAATAACCTCCAAGCTCTAGTTTTTCATCCGTTTGATTCAAAAGTTTAAAAAAAGCCCCGATCTCCAAAACTGGCTCCAAAGTTCATGCAGCTATTATTTTCTAAACCTTTACATGGATACCAGTTGTTTATCTATTTATTTAAGATGAAATAATAAGTCATCTCTGCAGGACGCTGTCCCTGGGTGCACCAGAAGTGCTGCTGCTGCTGGAGAGATTCACGCTTGTTGTCTCGGCTAAACTCAAACTAGCGGTTAGTTCAGGAGCACAAACGGTTGTTTCCCCGTGCAGAGATGTTTTATCGCAGCGGATAAGATGGTCATTATTTATTATTGCTACAAACAAAAATAGCCCCAAAATCCTCTTAGCCTCCTGCAGCCACGTGCCCTCGTGTGAACTAGAGAAAATAAAATTATACAACAACATGTCTGCGGGTCCTTAAAAAGTCTTAAAAAGTCTTAAATTAGCTTTTCCAAATTTAAGGCCTTAAAAATCCTTAAAAATTACAAATAATCCTTAAATACTGTTTCCAAAGGTCTTAAATTACCAAAGACCCAATAAACAAGATTCTTTGATTTCTATAAAATTTTCGTGATTTTCTAGTTAGTGTTCAGCATTTTTGGTGTACGATGTTGGCGTAAGCGGAACCGTGCACGTTCAGTTTGTTGTGAAAGGGGGCTATTTTTAGATGAGCACATTAGCTGGTTAAGCTAGTGGGAACTTGCGCCATGGGGAAGTGAGAGCTTAATGGTAACTGGATGGCTAATCCCACGTTCGCCACATGGTTAGCACCGCTTCCAGGCAATAGCTGGAAATTATAGCTTAAATTTAATTAAAAAAAATAGCTTAAATTTGGTCAAAGTGGCCGTAAGAGCCTATATTGATTTGGTTTAGATTATATTATGGTCTAAGTTTATTTTGATAATGTTTTATGTACATTTCAGTTTATTGCACTATGGTTTGTATTTCCTTTGACCACTGGTGGCACTGCGGAGCCTATAAAGGTGTTGAGGTGGCAGTGCACTGGCGTTTTGTGGGTGACGGGAGGTCACACGGTTTTTACCGCTTCATTTGGTTTCATATGCCACATCTAATTTGCCGTTATAACTTTAATCATTTACATAAACCTGGACAAGAAATAGCCATTCTGGACCCAGCTTGTGATCGTCAACATATTCAATAAATGGGACAATAAACCCAAACCCGCTTTCTGCCTGGATAATATTGTTGAAGCGAGTCATTGCCTCCACCCGCACCCGAGGGTGACTAAAAGTGGGACTTGATAGTCACTACAGTGGCCTTAAAAAAGGTCCTAAAAAGTCTTAAATTTGGCTCCCTTAAACCTGCAGATACCCTGAACAAATAAGATCTCAGAAGATATTGAATGAAGATGTTTTTTTTTTCCAGTCTTACGCCCTCCTGGCCATCGTCGTCTTCCTGCCGTACATCTCCCAGGGCATCAAGTGGTGTCGTAGCAAAGCCATCGGTTAGTTACCGAGTTTCTGATCCTTATTGAGACAAACTTTCTTCTGATCGTTAACTTTTCCGTTTCAGGTCAGGTAGCAGAGTCTCCAGACTCGATGCTATTTTACACCTACCTTCCTAATGAGCCCCTCAACAAAGAACGAGTGGAGGCCTTCAGTGATGGCGTTTATGCCATCGTAGCAACCCTTCTCATCCTGGACATTTGGTACGTTTAATGGCACTGACGTCATGTTTTCTATGAAAGTAGAACAAGTAACGATTTCTTGGCCTTCTTTTCCTTAAGTGAGGACAACGTTCCAGACCCGGCGGTCGTGCAGAAGCAGTTCGGTGGTAGCCTGATAGCAGCTCTGCAGGTTTACGGCCCAGAGTATCTGGCCTATTTTGGCTCCTTTGCCACTGTGGGCCTCCTCTGGTTTGTTCATCACTCACTCTTCCTCCACGTCACCAAGGCGACGCGCTTCATGGGCTTGCTGAACACCTTCTCTTTGGCGTTTGTTGGAGGTTTGCCTTTAGCCTACCAGCTAACGCACGAGTTCCCGCGCGACTCTCAGAACGAACTGGAAGCCATCCAGATCAGCTGTGTGATCATTTTCTTCGCTGGGATTTTTCAGCTCACCATTTGGGTGGCGGCTCTCTACAACGAGCAGGAGACCTTGCACCCTTACGTTTGGTACAGTGGACGCGAGCATGTGTTCATGCTAGCCAAGCTAGCCCTGTACCCCTGTGTTGCTTTGGGGACGTTTTTCCTCACGTGTGTTTTGAGTAAATTTAGTGCTCCCATTTTCCACCTGATGGAAATTACAGTGCCTTTTGCTTTCCTTGTGCTGAGGCTTTTGGTGCGCATCACGCTAGCAGTTGTACGGTTCATTTTCTGTCCAAACCGGGCTGATCTGAGAACTGTTGTGGAGGAGGAAGTGAGTGAAACAAGTGTGCCGTTTAATGCTGTAGTTACCTAGAGCTCTGGGGCGTTAGTGAGGAATAGTTCCAGCAGAGTTTAGATTAAAGCTCTCATCCGGAGCTTGGTGGGTTTAAATGAGCATAAATCAGCTCATGTGGGATTGACTCCAAACACCTGTGATGAAGGGAAAAGATGTGAGCTGCAGAGGTTAAAAAAGCACTTGGTGACCCATTATTTCTTAACTGATGCAAGTTTGTTTAGCTTAAACTGTCATGACATCAACAGGCTCTTATATGCTCAGCTGCGTCTTTCCTTTGATGTGTGCACGGTACCGTTCGCCTGCCTGTTCTGTGTTACTGATCTTCCAGTCACCTGGAGGGTTGCTTTAGCATGGTCAGAGTCGCTTTATTGTGAATAATCACAAATAAATAATCACAGAAAGAGAAAGCTAATCTCTTGTTCTCTAGAGCGCGGGCGTCCAAGATAAAAGTACTCACGGGCCACAAAAAAATATTGCACAAAATTAGGTTTATTGGTGAAAATCTGAGCATTAAAATGTTGCCTGCTGGAGAGGCATGAGTCTGCTATTCTGGAATGACAGTTGGGGGCCACTAATGGCCCCCAGGCCACATTTTGGACAAGAGAATCAGCAAGTCCAGAGTCTGGGTGGCTTATCAACTGTACTGAGCTCATAAGGCCATAAATATGTTGTTGAAATTTTACGGTCAAATCTGTGCAAAGCTACCAGGAACGTACGTTTGTCAGCTCCACGTTCAGTGAGAATACCAATGTTTAAAGGTGTGGAACACTCGTTTAATCAGTTTGCGAGGAGATGCGTCACCAGGAACCGCCAAGGCGCGCTCCAACGTCCATGTTCTACCAAGGCGTCTGTTCTCGGTTTGTTAGCCGTTTAGCTAGCTGACCAAGGATACACGGGAGGTGTCTTGTAGCCTAGCCTTGGTTAAGGATGGCAGATCAGTTGCCGGCAGCTACTTCAGGGGCAAATTTCCAGTTTAAATGTAACTAGTTGTAACTATCAGGCTGATATCTAAAATGTTTTTAGATCCAAAGCAGTTGTCTATGATTTGGTTCGTTGTTAGTAGTTGCAGCTTCAGTGGCTAGCGGTAACTCGTTTACGTATTTATTTTAACCAATATACAAACAATTTAAAAGCAAAAGGCTAGTTATACATTTATGTTGAAACTTATACGTATAAAATATAACTTTACCTCACGTGTCAGGTGACATGATGTGACCGTCGCAGAAGCCGTGGTCACGTGAGATAAGTTTGTTCTGTTTAACCGTTTTCTTTGACTGGGACCGCAGGGTGAGTTCCAACTACGGGGGGATCACACTCCTGAGCCTTCCTGGTAAGGTCTATTCAGGGGTTCTGGAGAGGAGGGTCCGTCGGATTGTTGAACCTCAGATTCAGGAGGAGGAATGTGGTTTTCGTCCTGGCCGTGGAACACTGGACCAGCTCTATATACTTAGGGGGATCCTGGAGGGTGCGTGGGAGTTTGCCCAACCAGTCTACATGTGTTTCGTGGATTTGGATGAGGTGTTCGATCGTGTCTCTCGGGAGGCCCTTTGAAGGGGTATGTTGGGAGTGTGGGGTACCAGGCCCTCTGATACGGGCTGCTAGGTACCTGTATGATCGGTGTCAGAGCTTGGTCACCGTTGCCGGCAGTAAGTCGGGCTCGTTTCCAGTGAGAGTTGGACTCCGCCGAGGCTGCTCTTTGTCACCGACTCTGTTCATAACTTTTATGGACAGGATTTCCAGCCGCAGCCAAGGTGTTGAGGGGATCGGGTTTTGGTGGTCCGAGGATTGAGTCTCTGATTTTTGCAGAGGATGTGGTTCTGTTCGCTTCATCAGAACGTGATCTCCGGCTCTCTCTGGAGCGGTTTGCAGCTGAGTGTGAAGCACCTGGGATGAGAATCAGCTCCTGGAAAGCCGAGACCATGATATTGAGTCAGAAGAGGGTAGAATGCCTTTTTGTAAGGAAAATTGGCTGGCTCAGCCATATTGTAAGGAGAAACTGTCTTTACTCAGTTATATTGTAGCGTTGTGGTTTTATGCTCTTTTATGAAAGAGGAACCATGCTACGTATTAATTCGGAATATTAATTTTTAATAAATCAATAACCAAATTTTATATTGTTCAGAAGACTCAAAGGTTGTTTTCATCAATAAACTGACGATAATATCTGTGTGTCTGTGTTTCAGTTCAATGAGGAAACCAGTTTGACAATTAAAAAGTTTTAATTCTTCAAATTAAACTAATGATTTTGAAATTGACAAACAGGAAATAACAATCAACATTGGCAACTTGTGGGACAATCTTTAACAGTTGATATGATCAAATAGACCTTGTGGTGAATTTATGAAGATTGAGAATGTTGTGATATGAATGCGTGTGTGAGTCTGATTTTGCTTCAGGAAGAAACAGGTGTCTGAGTGAAGTGATGGTTTGGATAAACTTAGGTCTTATCAGAGAACTGCATCAAACGCTAAACACCGTGCTCTGTCTCACCGAACTCTTGTGGACCCTCTTTCGGATCCGGGCCGTGGAAGATGTTGTGGTTCATCCAGATGACACCGACGGCTGACAGGAGAGACGTAGGTGTCGAACGGAACCGGTCCAAAGTTGCCCTCGGTACACGTTGATGGTAGAGCGTTTTGTCGATGCGCTTTCTTAAGTTAATTCACTCAGAAATCAAAGACTGTATGAGTCTGCGTTAGAAGTTGCGATTCAGCTATTCTGTCTGGCTGACAGGAACAGCGTGAGAGGGGGAAGAACGAGCCAACCGGCTCTGCCCCCCCTTTGGTTTTCAGGTCCTCTCTCTTTCGTTGTCCAACACGAACTGAAATCATAAGACTGAAACTTACCAAAAACCTTTCTCCTCTCAAAGCAAACGTGTGCGTCAGCATATGTGTTTGGAGTTTACTGTGAGAATCTGTGTGTGGGTGTGTGTGAGTGTTTGTGTGCTTGAGTGTGTGTGAAGGTCAGTAACAAACACTCTCAACATTATCTAATTATGGATTCATTAATCCATTATAATTACACAAAGCATAAGAACCATTCATTTGATTAAACACATTTATAATGAGCAAAATGATAATGGTTACTTTAACATTAAAATCAAGAAACAAAGTTTTAAGACTTGTTATGTTATGACTACTTTTATGGGAACAACATCTTCTGGCACGAAGCTGCAGGTGGCAGATGTTATGGTTTCCTCCCAGACTCTCTGGCGTTCAGGTCTTAATCTGTGGGTGAAAGTTCTCAACGACCCAGCTTTGACCCAGCTGAGTCCAACACCACCTTTGTGACAGAAAACCCATATTTCCTCACATTACACGGGTCAGGGATGAGGTCCTGCCCCAAGTGGAGGAGTTTAAAAATCGCAGGGTCTTGTTCACAAGTGAGGGAAAGCTGGAAAGCGAGATCAACAGGCAGATTGGTGCTGCATCTGCAGTGATGCAGGCGTTGCAACGATCTGTCGTGGTGAAGAGAGAGCGGTCGATCTACGTTCTTACCCTCACCTATGGTCACGAGCTTTGGGTGGTGACCGAGAGAGTGACATCCTGGAAGCAAGCGGCTTTACTCCCCAGGGCGGCTGGGCTATCCCTGAGAGATAGGGTGAGAAGCTCGGTCATCTGGGAGGGGCTCGGAGTAGAGCCGCTGCTCCTCCACATCAAGAGGAGCCAGTGGAGGTGGCTCAGTCAACTAGTTAGGATGCCTCCTGGACGCCTCCCTGGTGAGGTTTTCCAGGCACGTCCAACCGGGAGGAGACCCAAAGGAAGACCCAGGACCCGCTGGAGAGTCTTTCTCACGGCTGGCCAGGGAATGTCTTAGGAGGAGCTGGCCTAAGTAGCTGGGGAGAGGGAAGTCTGGACTTCCCTGCTTAAGCCTGATTTATACTTCTCAGTGAGCTCCACAACAGAGAGATGCATACGGTGTGTTCGAAAGACTTTTACATGCAAACTTCCACGCAGGCAGCGGAGCAAAGCAATTCCCCGCCAGGACAACAGTGGGAGTAGAGCTTTTCTGTGGTATCCTGCCACCGTAACACTCATGTATCTGGTTCACGATAGTGTATTTATCAATTAGTTTATGTTTCAGAGCCTTCTTAACGGGGACAAATTTGTCCTTCATTCTCCTCCACCTCTTCATGCGGTCGCCACCTCTAAACCCGCGTTTCCCGCCATTTCCGTCCACGTTTGCTCCGTATTTTGTTTTAGTATATTTAAAATTTTGAGCATGTCTCTGTCACCGTCGGTGAGCCCTTACGCCGACGCATAATGGCGTTGCGTGTCTCCACACTGATGCAGACGGAGACGTATAAATCAGGCTTTAGGCTACTGCCCCCGCGACACGACCCCAGAAATGCCAAAAATGGATGGATGGATTTCCTGATATTTGGACATCTTCTCTAACAGCAATGCGACTCTACCACTGGCTCTGTTTGCTCTCCAATGTTGATGTTTTATCTCCACAAATAACACAAACCTGAAGGAGTTCTGCTCAGAGCCCTGCACGGGCCTAAAATCTGAGCCCGTGTCCGGCCCAGCCCGACCCGGCCCGAAAAGGTTTTCAGGATTCTCTGGCCCGGCTCGAGCCTGAGCCCGACTTTTTTTAACCAACTAAATGAAAACAAAGTGCGTCAATCCTGACCAATGTGTTAAAAGATGTGCAGGATCCGATCAATTTGTTTTTCCCTCGTTTACCGTCACGGAGATGACGGCACACTGGCTCTGGTGTTTATCAAGTTAAATTTTATCAATTTTTATACAATTTTTATCAAAGTTCCAACAATTTTCACAAGAAAACAAAACAGTCAAAAGCAGCGCTTGTGTTGACCGGATAGTTCCCGTATTTGACCGTTTATTTTGACGGAGAAAGAATAGAAAGAATTACCCCGACGCATGCAGACGAACTGACATTTTATTCATTACGCACATCGCAGATGTAGCTAAATCACCCAAGAAAAGATTCCCATCTGAACATCTGAGCTGCTCAGCGCAGCTCGCTGTCAGCGCATATGTGCACAGCGAGCTGAAGTTGTGGAGATTGGCTTGGAGCGCTTTGTTGAACCAGAGCGCATGCGGGAAGATTCCTCCCACTGAAGCGAGCGTTTTCCAAACCCTGTCTCTCAGAGAGACTTGTCACTTAGAAAATGTCCCCTGATTATGAAACTTTGGCTGAATAGCGCTTGTTCCTGTCTCCAATGTGCGACACATCCAGGAGCCGTCTGAGGAGAAGCCCAGAATCTCACATCCTCTTCAGCTCAGAAAGCGCATATGATTACGCACAAGCGTGACGCGTCAACCCGGTCTCACAGTAAGACTGGGTTGGACCTGTTCAGGTTTACGCAGACAATCTTTACATAGAATTGACTTACAGATATAAAATTAATTCAGTAAAATAGAAAACATTTTATTTAAATATCCATTCATTATTTTACAAGCACAGAGAGCCGCATCAGATGGATGGAAGAGCCGCGGGTTGTGACATGTTTTCTCCAGGACCAGAGAGGACGCAAACTCAATACATCTCTTTTATTGTGAGGTAATAATTTCTCCGAGTTTTGCGGTTGCGGGCGGGAGTAGACATGCACGGTGCGGGTGCGGGCAGGAGTGTAACACACACGTTGCAGTTGCAGGCGGTAATGGTCAGAAATTCAGCAGGAGCGGGATGAAGAAAACAGTCCCGCGCAGGGCTCTACTGCTGCGTTTGTGTTTCAATTTTTTTTATGAATTTGATTAAAAATAAAGGCGCCCGGCCCGTGTCCGAGGTAAATGCACAGTCGTTGGCCCGAAGCCCGGTCCGAGGGCCGTCGGGCCGGGCCGACCCGAGGGCCTAGGGCTTCAGTGCAGGGCTCTAGCTTCTGCTGTGTGGTGGAGTTGCTAATGCCAATGGTTTTCTTCTACAATCCCAGATGTTCTCTGCTGTTTCCTGGATGCTAAACCAACAGCCTTCCCTGTCATTAGTCAGGATGGGTGAGTCCATGTTAAGTGACAGTGTGACGTAGATCTGTCAGATCCTAGAGTTTCACGTCTATGTTCTATTAGAAGCTAATGTAGGATATAGGTGTACGAGACTATCTTCATATTCAGTCTTCATAATCGAAAATAATCATTTAAAAATGTTTTTCAGTCTTCCACACCTTTAATATGAGTCTTATGTCATAAATGTAGGAAAAAACAAATTACTTATAAATTAATTAAAGCCATTATTTAAGTAAATTAGATGAAAACGTGTCAAACTGAAGTAAGTTTAGGAGATTGTTGCTGCTAGTGTCTTAAACCTAAATCAGGAAAGAGACGTGTTGTCGTTAAACTGCTAAATGTTTCCCATTCTTCCTCACAGTAGAATAAATCTTTTTCTGTGTTTAGGGAGGTCTAAAAAACACAAAAATACTGAACTCCTTCTCTTTATGATTTAAAAGTAATTGTGTTTTAATACTACTGACTGACACTGGAGTAGACTCTAATGCACTTTAACTGAAACCTGCCAGATGATGATGAAAAAGGGGACGTAAAGGTGAAAAGTTTGTGTTTTTAACTGGTTTCCTTTTGTTCTTGTTTATTTTAGTTCCGCTTTGGTTGTAGTGTTTCTATTTGTATTGTTGCCAATATAGGAAGGAACAATTTCTTTGTTTTTTTTTAAGAGGAATTAAAGCCACAAAAGCTTTATTGTCAGAAATCACTGTTTAATGTAGTGTTTGTCTTAATTGAGGGTTGAATGTGTGTAATGGACCGCTTTTGCATTCCCTAAATAATCCACAATATATATATGTTTTTTTAATGTCGGTAAAACAATTACTATGTTCAAGCTTTGACCCGTGAATAAACCTGCATTTTAAAGTGAATGGTCTTAATTTGTCAATGCTCTGAAACACAATAAAAAATAACATCATGATATCTGAATGTGGCTTTTGTGTCATTTATTCCATTGTGTTGTTTATTATTTATTGTGTTGTTTATTTCATTTTATCACTGCTGCTGTAGGAGAAGCTTATTCTTTACTTTATAAACACATTTTACAAAGATTAATATAAGAAATTCATATTTAATGATTTAAATAAGGAATGATTGTGTCCTCCGGTGGAGCGTTTTGGAACTTCTCTTTGGATTCGGCTGGAAAAAACGAACTCATTTTTGCATTTTTGTAAATGGTAAGAAGTAGGTATGGCAGAGGGGGAAGGTGGGTTTACATTTATAACATTACAATAGTTAAACAGTAAAAAAAAATCTAAATAAAACATTTTGAGTTGGCAACAGGGAAGCTCGATCAAACTATTTTTCTCTCAATATTTAGCTTAAAAAAACAACTTTTTAATGTAACGTGTTAGACATGATGGTTGTTTTGGGTGAAAAACTCAGCTAGCTAAAGAGCGAGTTTCTTGACACGAGAACGTCCATGTTTTAATGAGAAGATTCAAGACCCACCTTTTTAGCTTAACTGATCATTATTTATTAGAATATATTGTTTGCTTTGCACATTTGCATATTTTAATATATAATAATATTTCTACATCTGTATGTGGTGGTGGTGGTGTGTGTAGGGGTGGGGGGTTAATGTGATGTCACATGATGTTGTTACCTGATGTTGTTTGACTGTGCAGTTAAAATATGTTTTAGTGTTTAGCCAGCCTCTGCTGGCTGCTGGCTGCTGGTTGTGGCCCCCGGGGCAATCCTCTGCACCTCTCGGGAGGGGGCTGGGGCTTTTCTGGTTACAGTCTCCCTGGGGTACCTGCGCTCTGGGGCAGCTCCTGGATCTCTGGGGCTTGGAGCTCCCTCCATCTTCTAAGCATCTTTGTGGGCAGATATGTGGCCCCTCACACTCTCTATTGGATGCTTTTATAGAGAAACTTTACATATACAAGTGCGTGAACGCACACAGGTGCTCACATAAGTATGGACTTGGGCATTTTCAACACATGTCTTAAGGCAGTGGCTGGCACTAAATGTACTGTGATTTATTATCGTGTTATTGTTCAACAAAACAATGTTGATTTTACATTTCCTCATCATGCTGAAGCAGTGATAGCTTTTTTCTCCTTCTGCAGGTCTAGAAGCAGACTCTTGTTCATCATTGATTGTTTAATTTTGTGGAACCCCCCCCCCCCCCCTCTTCCTTTTGTCTCTTCCTTTCACTTTCGCCTCTGTCTGGTCAGATTTGAAAAGCATCCCAAAAACAAACACAATAAAGTTTTAAGTATCAGGCCTGACATTAAAGCAGAAGCTATTTGATGCTCCACCTGAGAGTTAGGCCTAGTCCACACGTAGCCGGGTTTTTTTTTTAAATGAATATCCACCCCTCCAAAAACTTGCATCCACACTACCTCGTTTAAAAAAAAACTGTCCACACGTACCGGATAAATACGTTGTTAAGGACATGCCAGACCTGTAGGCGGCAGTACTTCCCCCAAATTGTATCCAGTCAGCGTCGTCCGTGGTCTTCCGCAAGGAGCAGTAATTCCGCTTGCAAAAAACAAACAAGCAAAAAGCGCTTGGACAATTGATAAAGTGAGCGCAGCTCTGAGGGCATCCATGCTGTCGGCTAGTGTAAACACAGGTCGCACACGTGATGTCAGCATTTTTTGTCGCGGAAAGTGACGTTGCGGACCTTAAAACTCCGGTTTTGTCTGTCCACACGCAGACACCCAAATCGGAGAAAACGCAGATCTTCACTTTGGCCGGAGTTTTTAAAAAGATCAGTTTTCGTGTGAAAAAACTCAGTTTTCGTGTGGATGACAGGCCAAAACGTAGAAAAATATCTACGTTTTGGCAGATCCCCGGCTACGTGTGGACAGGGCCTAAATCTGTAAGGCTTGTCACCAGCATTCAGAAATCAATTCTGTTCGCTTCACAGCCAGACAGGACACGGGAAAAAAAAAAAAAAAAAACCAAACATGTTTTTACGTTATTTCAGCTCTGTTGTCTGGCTGTTTCCTTAGCCTATCTGGTGCCATTAAGCAAAAAATAAATAAAGTCTAAACAAGGGTGATAATACATTAGAAGACCCTAATATTACAGCAATACAGACATTTTTAATAAAACAAACGTAGTCAAATATAATGACATGTTATCCATTAAAAATATTAACCCAAATGTCAACTCACTTGTGCAGTGAACGTATGAACTAGAGAAAGACATGGACAATAGTGATGTGTCGGTCGCGAACGAACTGGCTCTAAGAGGCGGCTCTTTGAAGTGAATGACGGGAGCCGGCTTGTCATTGGGAGCCGTCCTCTCCCCTCCCCCCTCCCCTTTTGCTTTGATGAAAGCCAGGCGATTGGTCAACCTGTGTAACTGCGTGTCCAGACTGTCCACACACAGAGCAGTAGGGGTGGGGAAGAGGGAGGATAAGACTCAGACACACAGCAGAGCACATGCGGGCGGAGGGAGACGAGAGGGAATGAGGAGGAGGAAAAAGGAGAGAGAGAGAGAGAGAGAGAGAGAGAGAGAGAGAGAGAGAGAGAGAGAGAGAGAGAGAGAGAGAGAGAGAGAGACGGTGAGAAAATGAGCGCCAGCAGTCGGAAAGTGGAGATTTCTGAAAGTGTTCAGTTATTAAATCCATAGAAATGATAAATATTTGATATATAGCATTTTTTTACATTAGTAAATTATTTTACAAATAGTTTTGCATTATTTTGGTTATAAATGTATTCTACGCAACAGAAAATCTGAGGAGCCACTTGGGAGCCGAAAGAGCCGGCTCTTTTGGTGAGCTGAGCCAAAAGATCCGGCTCTCTAAAAAGAGCCGGAATTCCCATCACTACTGGAAGAATATTCTGGCACATTTGGAACCTCATATTGTTCAAGATTACATACCCAGCTATGCAGGAGCAGAATGCAGTTGCTGTTTTTTTTTTTACACTGACTCAGAGTTTATCGTCTTCTTCTCTTGTCTTTGACAAGGTAGCATCTCAGCCACATACCTGTTGTATATATTAGTAAAATATAAATCTGGGTCAATAATGAAGACGTAACCTCTGCATTTGATGTCAGCAGAATAACCCAACACTTATCTGGTTTATTTTTGCTCTGGTGAGGAGATGAGGAGTGGCTCTGGAGGGTGCAGTGACGCGCTGTAATCTAGGAGTGTCGCTGATGTCTCACTGCTAACATGGCTGCCCAGGATGAACTCAGTGAGTTTCTTTCTCTGATATTGGTTATTCGTATTTTGTCAAATTTTACTTTGATAGCTGCCATAAATAAATGTGTCAGTACAGTTTGTCCTCCCTGCTAATTTATATGTATGTGGAGTGAATATAAAGCTTTAATCAGTTTAAAACTGGATCTGGGAGGCTAGCTAGCTAGGATGCTAACGATAGGAGGAGGCCGCTTGCCCAGTCATGGTCAAAACGAAACCTTCACGTTCGCTGTTCATTTTTATCTGTTCATCAAACTTTTCAGTTGTAAATTTGCAACTTGAATACTTGGGACAGTTGGGGCTGAATACACGAGGTGTCATTGGGTGTAAACACGCCGTGATGTTGGTTTTATAAAGCGGTAAAATGCGTGAACAGTCTTGCCAGTTGCCGCTAGCTGCTTGAGCTAAACCAGGAGAGGGTTGACCTCATCGGCCAAATTTGACCAACATGTCAATGAGAATAGTCGAATCTGATGTTCTTTTGTGTTTCTAGATCTAAAGGTCACACGGCGTGACTTTATAGTTTAACTTATAAATGGTAAGATGCTGTCTAGTTAGGTGGTAGAGCTGATCTTAGGGTAAGCCTTGTTATCGGAGTTAAATAGTGTAACATATGTTTTGACAGATCAACTGGAACGCGTGTTCCTCCGCCTGGGTCATGCAGAGACTGACGAGCAGCTACAGGACATTATCTCCAAGTTTCTGCCCCCAGTCCTTCTAAAACTCTCCAGTGTTCAGGAGGGCGTGAGAAAGAAAGTAAGAAGGGCGTCGCTTATCTTTGTGCTCTACAAGCATCTGCAGACATTATTCTGAATACACAGTTGTTTCATACCACCATACCCGTTTTCCACTGACGTCACCATGATAAATCTGATGAATTCCATTTTACTAAGTTTCTTTATTCGCTTTACAGTTTCACACACACACACACACAGTACACACTTGCACACACACAAACACACATATACACACTACCACACGCATACAGACATATATGCATACATATGAATTTACACAGACATACATAGACATGTGCATACATACACACACATGCACGTACACAGACAGGCATATATCCATCCATCCATCCATCCATCTTCTGAACCCGCTTAGTCCATGTAGGGTCCCGGGGGGGGCTGGTGCCTATCTCCAGCAGTCAACGGGCAATTAGGCGGGGTACACCCTGGACAGAGTGCCAGTCCATCGCAGGGCAACACAGAGACACACAGGACAAACAACCATGCACACACACACTCACACCTAAGGACAATTTGGACAGACCAATCAACCTAGCAGTCATGTTTTTGGACTGTGGGAGGAAGCCGGAGTACCCGGAGAGAACCCACGCATGCACAGGGAGAACATGCAAACTCTATGCAGAAAGATCCCAGGCTGGGAAGTGAACCCAGGACCTTCTTGCTGCAAGGCAACAGCTCTAACCACTGCACAGCCCGACATGCATATTAGGGATGTAAGAAAATGTTGATTATGGCAATATATCGTGATATTTTTCCCAGCGATATTATATCGATATTCAAAAGCTGTGTATCTAAAATATCGATATCGCAATATATCGTGATATTTTTGTCTTGCAAAAAGTCGTGTATCTAATTGTTGGAAGAATTTACATGGAAACATTTGTGTATTTTCTTTTCTTATGGTGCAATTCAAATGCTGACCACTAGTTGGCAGCAGTGTGCAATGGGTTTTGTTTCTACCATTGAAATGCAAATCCCTCTGTTACGGTTAAACATGTTAAGTATCACTTTGGACTGTTAATTGAATTTTCCTATAATAAATTTAGTCAAAAAAAATCGCCTAAATCGTCTGACTGAATGTATCACAATATATCGTGATGTATTGTATCGTCTCCCCTGTATCGTAATACATTGCAGGGGCGGCGTTAGGCCCGGCTACTTGGGCTGAAGCCCCGGATCTTTCATGATAAGCCCCGGATCTAAATCGCGGAAGTAACATGCAGTACCAAAGTCACACAGAGAGGGCGCAGCTGGCAGTAGTTTGTAAAGTCCCATTTAGTCGTCACACACACAGGTGTGTGGTGAAATTTATTCTCCGATTTTGACCCATCCCCTGAGTTGCAGACACGCCGCGCTCGGGAACTATTTGGTGGTTTAATCCCCCAATCCAACCCTGAGTGTCAAGCAGGGAGGCATTGGGTCCCATTTTTCTCAAAATCTTTGGTATGACCCGACCAGGAGTCGAACCCCTGATCTCCCGATCTCAGGGCAGACACTCTACCACTAGGCTACTTAGTCAGTATACAGTTTACCTGAGACTGAAGAGAAGCCCTTCAGCAGCTGGCTTCTGCAGTCTCTGTCTGAAACGCATGAGTGAAGATGGATATAAGGACGTTTTTTTAGACCAAAAGTACAACGACAGAACCCCAGCTCTGATGAGACTGGTGTTGACTCAGGTTTGTGAGTCTTATTTGAAAATATTTGTTGTGCTGCTGGTTTGCCTAAAGTTAGCTTACTATCAGGTAAAGTTGTTGGAGAAAGAAAGGGAATATTCACTATCATCTCACACTAAACACTAACAGGACCAATACTCTGCCCTGAATATGCTGAATATGTAGCTTCAGATTAAACATTATGTGGTACAAGACAAATATATATGATGTTGACTAGTGAGTGTCACGTGTGTGCGCGCATGCGTGTGTGTGCGCGTGTGCGCGCGCGCGCGTGTGTGTTAAGCCCCGGATCTTCTTCAGTCCTAAATCCGCCCCTGATACATTGTATCGCCAGAATTTCACCAATACACATCCCTAATGCATATAGATACATTTATACATAAACACATACATACCCAAGTCCATGTACTCACAGGCATTCAAATACACACGGCCACATGCATGCAGACATAATATGCGAGATACAGAAGTCTCCGCTCCCGCACTACCAGGCTCACCAACAGCTTCGTCCAGCAGGCTGTGAGACTGCTGAACTCTCTTCCCTCACAGATCCCAGCCAGCAGAATCACCAGGGTGACAGAAGTATAGGATGACTAGGATGACAGACTGGACCCTACACACACACACACACACACACACACACACACACACACACACACACACACACACACACACACACACACACACACACACACACTATACAAAAAGGAAATAGTGGTTGAACCAATAACGGGGTAAACATTTCTGATTTTAAACAACTACCTCTGCATTGAAATTGCACACACCTGCTGCTATATGTTTTGTATATTATTAGCGATATTTACCTGTTTAATATTATCTTATTGTATGTTTTTTTTTTTTTTTTTGTTATTGTTGTGCGTCTGCACTTTATGTAAATGTCTGCGCATGGGACAGTGTGAAACGTAATTTCAATTCCTTGTATGGCAATCACATTCGAAGAATTGACAAATAAAGTATTCTATTCTATACGTGCAGTCTTTTTAAAAATGTTGTTCATGTTATTTGTAAAGCCAATCTGAACACTCCGCCTTGTCATACAGGTGATGGAGCTGTTGGTCCACCTGAACAAGAGGATAAAAAGCCGGCCAAAGATTCAGCTACCAGTAGAAACCTTGTTGGTGCAGTATCAGGACCCTGCAGCAGCTTCCTTTGTCACCGTAAGATTTCTAACTATAAGTGAATATTCTTAGTCATCATTTTCAAGTCAGTCACCATTCTGTTATTACATAAGCACCATCAATCAGCACACACAAAACAAAAATCAACATTGGGTATGTAACAAGTTAATCAATGAATTATTGTGCTTCCTGTGTGGGTTAGTGTTTTGTTTACTGTTTCGTTTTGTGTTCTAGGATTTGATTGTTTAGATGTTTTTTTATGCCGCTCCAGATTTGTTTGAATTTTGCTGTGGCCCGATTTAAAGCAAAGAAAAGTGGCGTGTTTCAGTTGAAGCGGGTGGCGTGATGAGCTCATGTCTTTACAGAACTTCACAATCATCTACATAAAAATGGGTTACCCACGTCTAGAGGTGGGGAAACAGTGTGAGCTGGCCCCGACCCTCCTCACCGCCATGGAAGGAAAGCCACAGCCGCAACAGGACAGGTGAGGGCGTGGCCGTGCTTCATTCATTCTTGTGATTGGCTGACGAGCTATATGTGTTAAATTGAACAGGTGTTTGTTGGCAAAAGAAACTTTACTCCAATGCAGCATTTGGCTTTGTGATCCCTTAAAGTAAACCTTAAAGGCGTTGACCTTCTTTATCTGTTTGTTGTTTTAGTTTGAAATCAGATTAACAGGCTAATCTCTAATCCTGATGATGGATTAGAATAAAACTGAATTCAATAAAGTCTGGTAAAAGTATCTATTTAGTGTTATCATACCCACACACACTCTGCTTCAGTCTGGTTGTTTTTGTTTAGAATAAATTGAAATTCTCTGTCTCTGCTTGTAATCTCAGCCTCATGCACCTTCTGATCCCCACTCTGTACCACATGAAGTACCCTGCAGACCCATCCAAGACTGTGTCTCCATTCAATCTGTCTGAGAGGCCTAAGACGATGCACCTCCTGCTAGAGTTCATGTTGGATGTTTTGCTCATGCCATACGGGTGTGTTTCTGCTTTGTTGTTCCATCTGGAGTTTATCCCTGTGTTTCAAACTGGGAGTTAAACTCTTCTCTTCGGGATCCTTCTAGGTTCGTATTGAATGAGTCTCCCACTCGGCCTGCACCCTGCTCCGCTTCAGGTGAAGGGACAGCGGCTGGGAGCAGCCAGGGTCTCCCCCAGCCTCCCCCAGGGATGAGTGTGTATGCTGTAAAGAGAGTGATCGGTGAAGCCCAGTGGAATGCCGAGCAGCTAGAGCAGGTGCAAGCTTCTCAGTTTCTCTTATGAGCTAATGGTCTTGTTGTCCACGACTGTAACTCTTTTATTTATTGGCTGCTTGAGTGTTTTATGTGTTCACAGTAGGAATGCACCGATCAGGTTTTTTGCTGCCGATCACCGATACCGATATCAAAGAATGCCGATCACCGATACCGATCACGTGGATTGGCCAGAAATTTTCTACAACATTATAATGAGTGCTACAAACTACATAATCTGGGAATAAAGGAAATGTAACCTAATCTAAAATGGTCTGGATTAGGGTTGTCACGGTGTGAAAATGTAACCTCACGGTTATTGTGACCAAAATTACCACGGTTTTCGGTATTATCGCGGTATTTTTTTTAAACGTGCTACATTTTCACACAATTAAATAAACCCTGTATGTCAGGAAATATTGTCCTCAGTTTGTCTAAATTTAGCCTAAAATGTGTTATTTTGTAATTATGTTGTTTATTTGTTTACATTTTTTCCCTTTAGTCTTTAAAATACCAATATTTGCACATAACTTCTTATTTTATGTTTGTTTGATGTCATCATTTTAAAAATATTAGATCAGATGATACTCAGTACTCAAGTAGCCTTCTACTCAGATACTTTTTTTTTACCCTTACTTGAGTAATAAACCCTATATCAGGAAAATATTGTCCTCGGTTTGTGTCCTTCCAGTGAGCTTTGCAGATGTGGGGAAATGTCATCAGGCAGTAATCATTGTTAAATTCATAATTATTCTCGGAGAGAGACCAACTCTTATCTGCCCCTGGGAGCCCCGTAATGCATAGCGTCATTTCAACATGGCGGTGTCCGTGACAAGGTTTATATGCAGGTAGCGGCGCTGCGGCTGCTTTATATAGCGACTCGTTGCATTCTCCCTCAACCCAAATCCTCGGATCACGCATTTTAGCTAAAACGCTAACGTTAGCTTGCCTTGCGTTGACTGTAGAGTTGTGGGTGATGGTCACGCAGATGTGTCATGAGATTTGAAGCATTGCTGCCTTTCACAGACACTTTTTCTGCACCTGCTGCAAACAGATAGCCGTCTTCTATCAGCTGTCCCTTGGCATTCCTCAGATATCCAAAAGATGCCCGTACGTCCCACTTTGTCTTCTTTGAGGGATAATAAATGTCCTGAGCGCTGCCGTCTCCTCCTTTGGCCATTATTTCAGCTTTAGCTTCAAGAAAGTTTTGTTTGTAAACATCAAAGCACGCATTTGCTGCCGGCAACTTCAGCAGATGATACGGTGGCTGGTAAGGGTCACCACGCCTACACCGCAGCCACGGTAAATCCAACGAGATAATATAGTTTTTTTTTTAAACAAGGCAGTTATTATTATTGTCAACTTTTTTTACCGGGGTTTACTGCTACACCGGTTACCGTGACAACCCTACCTGATCGGTCTGCTTTGATCTATTTTGAAAACTCCGATCAAAACCGATAGGGGCGCTATCGGCCGATTGGGATCAAATGCCGATCCATCGGTGCATCCCTAGTTCACAGTCTACTGAGTCTTAAGTTTCTCTACTTTTTGTCCCTACAGTGCAAACTGGGCATCGTGAGGTTCATTGAGGCAAAGCAGGTCCCAGAGGTGGAGACGGTGGTTCATCTGGTGGTGGCGTCAAGCGATACGAGACACAGTGTGGCGACTGCTGCTGATCTGGAGCTGAGGAGCAAACAGAGGTGGGTGGAGCAGGTTACTCACTCGGTCATAAGGTAAACCGGTTATGAGCAAACTGCATGGAAGGCGTTTTCTTAGCTAATGCTAGCATACTGGTTTGGCGTGTTAAGTTAGCACAAAGCTGTTTGTGATTTTATTCCAGCATCATCGACTGGAACAATCCTCTAATCATCAACAAGATGTTTAAGGTGTACCTGGGTGATGTTCCTCTTAAATCAAAGGTTTGTGACTCAACGCTGAATTCACTGATTTTTGTGCATATTTACTAATATTTGTACATCTTTGCTTCAGGGTGGCGGTGTGAAACAAGAGCTGAAACATGAACCGGTGAGCACCAGAGTCAAACTGAAGATCCTGCCACATCTCCTCCGATCCCGTCTGGCTGCAGAGTGCTTTCCAGCTAACATCCAGGTGATCGAAGCCGTGCTGCTCGTTCAAACACTCAGAGGTTTTTTGCAGCTTCTGTATTCTCACTCGTTTGCTTTCCGCTGTAGGTCGTGTACGACGGTTTGTTCGGAGCCAACACGAACAACAAACTCCTGTCTCTCACCTTACAGTTTGTCCATCACATCTGCATGGTGTAAGAGGACCTTTTTTTCCACTCGAGTACAAAGTAGCTGCAGTTCTCTTAAGCCGGGTGTACACTGTGCGACTTTTTCACTTTTTTGAGCCGATTTTCCACTCGTGCGAGAATCCACGAGATCGGGGCGAGTTTTGCGCCGAGCGTCGTGTAGTGTACAGGGGGTTACGAGAGGCGATTAACACCACGTGACCAGCTGCCGATCAGCAGTCGTGAGGTCGCACGGACTTCTGGCGTGTTTAATATTTTGCTCGTCCCTCGTGAGGGTATCGCACTGTTGAAGCGGCGCTGCGACCCTAATAACACACGCTGTTCGTTTTTATTTCTACACGTTTTTTTTACTCACAAAGATTGTCAAGAAAGCGTGTTTGTCGTGTTCATGTCAAATTAAACTGATCATAAAACACAGATTTACTTTCTTTATTTCGTTTTCCTCATCCAACCCCCATAAATCCCTGTGTGTCCTCCTGCAGCACTCCCGAAGGACAACAGGCAAAACAAGACAAAAAAGTCTGACGTGTAGAGTAAAAACTGCTATTTTTAGCACATTTTTAGGGCCGACGTGTTGCTACCAGACGTACAGTGTGAGCAGTCAGGTCGCATGCGAGAACTGGGTCGTGCAGTGTGAGCACATGACTCGTGAGATCTGCTCTGCGAGGAAGTCGTACAGTTTGAGCTTAAGCTGAACGCTGCGAGTGAAAAAGTCACACAGTGTCCGCCCAGCTTTACAGTTACGACTGATTTACTCTGCTGTCACTTCCCAGATGCCCCGACACTAACAAACCTTTAGGACTCATGCTGTTGAACGGTCTTACCAAACTCATCAACGAATACAAGGAGGTATTTATTCATCTACCCAAGATGCACTGCAAACCTTTAGTTTATGTGTTTATATTGACTGAGTTTTTGCCTTCGCAGGATCCTAAATTACTGTGTGTTGCCTACTCTGCTGTGGGAAAGCTGTCGAGGTAAAATTGACTTATTTAAAGTTCTGAAAATGCCAGATTAGTGGAATTTGTTTAATACTTCCTGTATTCTGTGTTTCAGTCGCATGCCGCAGCTTTTCACTAAGGACATTGCACTTGTGCAGCAGTTTTTCGAGTCCATGTGCAAGGTGAGTGAAGAAAAATCAGCCTGATGCTGAATGCAGTAAAACTGTGAAACAAGTTCACGTCCGTTTCTCTGCTTACAAACTTCTTCAGGAGGAGCCAGATGTTCGTCTTGCTATCCAGGAAGCTTTGTCCATGATGGTTGGAGCTTATGCAAACCTCCAGGGAGCTCTGCTGAATCTAATGGAGGCCCTGGTGGCTGCATACATTGGAAAGGTAAGAGCACACAGTGAATGTATCTATATCACAACATGTTTGACTCGCTGAACCCTTTAAAACGTCATCACGTTGTTAACGTGAACTGTCACATGATTATTACTCACCCAATCACCCGCTTTGACGTCATTTTCCTGTGAACTGTAGTTCTTTGTAGTCCCAGTCTTTGGGCTTTTTCTTGTGCTTTATTGCAATAATACTTTTAGACAAACACACCCTACACACATCACACACCCACCGCAAACTCCCGACACACTCACACACCACTACAAACGTTTTGATGACTTGCGGACCCGCCAAACGGTACATCCCCCCCCCCCCCCCCCCCTCCTCGAAGCGGTTGACACCTTTACAGCGCCGAATGATGTTTCTGTTTCCTCATGTATATATTCATGAAATATTCTTTATTATTGTTATTATTAGTGAGAGAAAAGGAAAACCATATGCTACTGAAGAATTAGCTACAAATATTCAACATTATTATTTTAGACTGCTGCTTATTATTATTATTATTTATGTTTTTGTTTTTGTTACAGCTTATATAAATGAGTGTATCTCAGAAACTAATTTGTGGACGCACTTCAAATAAATTTGTCGTTGCTTGATAGGATTGTGTGGAACTTTTTGTCGTAGACCAGGGATTCCCAAAGTGTGGTGCGAGCTGCCGCTAGGGGGTGCGCGAGGTGAAAAGTGTAATGGCTGCGGAGCTCAGAGAAGTCTGTCATATGTCACCATTAGCGTAGAAACTCATTTGTGGGTGGGCCAAAGAAAACGTAAGTGGGCCCGATAAATGTAATTGAAAACAAGTATATTTTTGCGCGCGCGCATGTGTGTGTGTGTCCTCCGCATGTGCCCTAGCTTCATAATAACAATGCGCCGAGCTTTAGCGCTCTGGCCTGCGCACGCCGATATGTTCCGTATTTGATCATTTTTAACGGTGTTGGAGAAATCTGACGGTGGCGAGTCATTCTGGCAGATTGTAATTAACACCTGTCTCATGCAGGTGTTCTGACATTGTAAACCTCACACACAGAACATTGTGGATGTAACAAAATAACAAGAAATGATTCCCATTCAGGCTATTAACAGCGCGCTGAAGATCTGAAGTTCAGAGTGCGTCTGTCAGAGGTCAGACGCGGTCCAGCGGAACCACGGCTCATGAGTGCACAAGTGAGCACATCTGGGCTGGGCAGAAGTAATTTTACAATGTTGGTTTAAATAGCGCCAATAACGAGACGCGGTGACATGAGCGGCTCATGGAGCTGTGCCGCGCGCACACACACACACACACATTCAATAAGCGCGCACGCTGCGTAAACTCCGGCTCGCCGTCAGACTGAAGGCAGAAATTAGCGCTGCCTCCTCTGTGGTAAAAACTTTTAACAAGTTTTAAAACATTTTTCATTCAAGGTCACATTAAGATATTAGCTTCTATTTTGGGATGACGTATTAAAGTCGGGTCCGCTCCAGCCAGTGACTCCTCATGAACCTGACCACAACTCCTGTTACTGCAGCATTTGTTATTCCAGTCCGCGTGGCAGCGGATCGCAGATTCAGCCACACCATAAAACAGCAATAAGTCGGTCTGAGGCTAAATATCTTTTCCATATTTTCCCCTATAGACATTTGATTACGCACAAGTAGGTGATCAGCTCAAGTTTACGCAGAGCAGAAGGAAGGAGAGCGCTCTGGCCGCACAGGTTAAACGTTCCTGCTTTAAGAAAACCGTTAAATTGCATTGTTTATGTGCTACCTGGGCACTCTAAATATTTATTTAAAATTAAATCAAAGGAATTTGTAATGGTATCGAATGCTTATTAATTACTATTTAAAAAATGAAAGTGATGGGGAAAACGGTCGATCATATTTTTTTTAACCCTGTCTACTTAGCTTGACGCCTGATATATATATATATATATATATATATATATATATATATATATATACAGTCCCCTAATTACTAAGTACTTACCTGGTAATTACATAGTAAGTTTAAGTGTATTATTGTTTTTAAACAGTTATTACCATGTTATATATATATATATATATATATATATATATATATATATCCATGCCCTGATGTGGGGGCTGGGGGGTGCGTCGACATGGTTGGGACATAGAAGGGGGTGCGCGGCTAAATAAGTTTGGGAACCACTGCTGTAGACAATTCTGAGGGATAAAGCTGTGGCATTTCTGTATGATGAAAAATATGTGTAGAAACAAAAAACGATTTTCAATTTCTGTATGGATAATTGCATTTTTTTTTGGGGTAAAATATTTGGTAACTTCCTTTTACAGTCCCCTAATCACTAAGTACTTACATGGTAATTACATAGTAAGTTATAGTGTTTTATTATGTAATTAAAGGGTATAATTGTAATAGCAGTAAAGCAGAATTTACTTGGAATGATTAATAAAAATAATCTAGAATTGAACATGAGTAACATGGTAATAACTGTTTAAAAACAATAATACACTTAAACTTACTATGTAATTACCAGGTAAGTACTTAGTAATTAGGGGACTGTAAAAGGAAGTCTTACCAAATATTTAGTTGCTATGCACATTTTACATTTGTATTATTAGAATTTAGAATGTTAGGGTTGTATTGATGTGTAGCAAGTTGAAATACTCCAAAAAATGGCACCACAGCATGTAAACATGTAAATATAAGTTCTGGCGAACTTTTTCTATGGCAGGTCTTAAATGGTTAACAGCAGCATTGGGTTTAACACATCTGCTCCTTGTTGTTCTGCAACAGCCGGAGGTGCAAATACGTCAGGTGGCCATGAAGTTCGCCAGCACGGTCTTTGCTCCTGATCATGTGCCGTCAAGATACCTGCTGCTGCTGGCTGCTGGAGACCCGTGAGTGTAATAAAAAAAACCGCGATGATCTCTTAGAAAAGGCTTATTCAACCAGAGTGAGATTAAAAGACCGAATGAGTGGATTTTCTGTGATTTAGGAGAGAGGAGGTCGCTGCAGAGGCCCAGAAGGTGCTGAGGAACTTTCCTACAAAGGGTTCGGAGAAAGAAGGACCAAAGCCGATGCCTTCCTTTCCTGACATGGTAGCCTACGTTCAGGAGAAAGTGAGACTCGGAGCATTTTTGTAGACATCACAACTTTCTTCCTTTGCTCTAAAATAATTTAATCTTGGATTAATTTTTAATCATTGACAGGCAGCTCAGAGGATTAAAACCCCAGCTAAGTACATTATTGGAACCTCAACACTTCCTTTTAACCCATCTGCATTTGGAGAGGTAACTGTTAAACCTGTGCTGCATCAGTTAATCCCGAACAACTCGGCTTTTCCTGAAAACAATTATTTTTTTTTTTTTCCAGATCATGCTGTACCTGAGGATGTGTTTAGCTCACAGCGGCGGGGCCACACCCATTTCCACACGCTCTTCAGACATGCAGGATGACGCCCCCGCCATTGGCCGCTACATCCGCACGCTGCTGTCCTCAGACCTTCAGCCCACAGGATCAAAGGGTGTGGAGGCTAATCCTGTGCACATCTACATGGATCTTCTCCAGCAGCTGGTTTCTGCTGTAGGGGGTGAGACAGGATAACCAAACGATTTATGGCACTAGTGACTGATTTGAGCTTAAATGCATTTATTGTTCTTTCTCAACAGGAATCCCGGTCATGTACTGTTTGCTGGAGGTGGTGTCAGTGTGTCCAGAAAAACTGGCCCCCAGATTTGCTGATAAAATAGACTGGATCAAAGTGAGAACTTTATTCCTGTGCTGGGTCACATTTCTGCAGGCGTCTGTAATGACATGTGTGTTTTTCAAGGGTCTGATGAACACAAATAAAGAGGACATGAGGGAACTCGCTGCTCAGCTGTACGCGTTGGTGATTTCCACCATGACGGGCAACGAGCTGCAGGTCGCCGTGCAGAATCTGGTCAAAATCACCAAAGACAACCACGTAAACAACTTTGTCTTTTGCTTTGTGATTTCAATAGGCTTGTGTTTTATTGGTGTAGAAAGGCTGAGATATTTATTTTTGGTCCGATTTCAGAGTCCCGAGACCCAGCACGGCGCCATCTTGGCTCTGGGCTACATGGTGGGGAGGAACATGAGCAGAAAGAAAGCTGCCACTTGTGACTCAACACAAGACAAAGGACAGAAGAGCATCACTTCGCAGGGTGATGATGAGCTTGTTGCTATGGCTACTAAAACAATCGGTATGTAAATATTTTATGCTAATTAGTTGTTTTCTGTTAGACCATATTTATTGATTTGAGAGCATTCTCTGGTACATTGAAGCAGTTTTACCTAGTCCTTTTGTGATGTATATATATATAAATAAATAAAGAGCGTCTTCTGGTGGCGATTGTGGGTGTGCAGGTTCCTTCCTGGACAGCAGCACTGCTCTGTTGGCCACAGCAGCCTGCACAGCGCTGGGAGAAATCGGGCGGAACGGGACTCTGCTGATTCCTGCAGAAGGAGACGGCTTCACTAAACTCTCCATCGTAGAAAACCTGCTGGCTCGCATCACCTCGGGCAAGGAGAGCACGAAGGTAACCTGGAAGGTTTCAAGTGCACTCTTAAATTTATGCTGTAATCTTAATTTATGGATGCATGGGAAGGCCACTTGCTCACTCACTGGTAGTGGCTACATGAACAGCCTTTGTTTGGAGAAACAGCTTTTACATCATATGTACTAATGAGTCCAACTGCAGTCATGACCTTGTATGACCTTCTTCACCACTCTCTCTTTATTCTACTCTCCCCACCTATTCCACCTTCCTCAGGATCCACTGATTTCCCTCTTTCCTATTCTCTCTCTCTTTCTTAACATTTTTTCTTTTAAATCACAATTGCTTATTCTTGCTCATTTTAAATATATTTTTAAACATTTTCGATATGCTTTTTTGTATTTTTACAATTTTGATATTTTTTGTTTTTGTGAAGCGCCTCATGATTTTTATCTTGAGAGGCGCTATAGAAATGATATTTTCTTTTTCTTCTTCTTCTTCAGGACAAAAATTATGGTTGTGCCTTAAAAAAAGCTAAAATTTCATAAATGCAAACATTTCTTTATAAACTTCTCCACAGTTGTCATCGCCCAACAGAATTTTCAAAATGTCTTGTCGATTGGACCTTTGGAGCACCAGAAATGCTACGTTTGAGTGCTGCTTGTGATGTTTATGCTTGTAAATCACGGAGGAGTTCCTCGTCAATAACTGTTTAAAGGGAAATCCTTGGCAGTGTTGAAGTTTGCAGAAGAAAGTTACAGGATCCGCTATGAACCTTTGCAGATCAGAGCTGTTGTGACACTTTGGTTCTAGTTTCTCTTGCTGTTAGCGCATCAATCCTGTAGGAGCTATTTCTTTCAACGGATGCTGTTCAGTAAGGTTGCTAACAGTGGGTAGGATACTAACTGTTTTTAACCTTTACACAGAAATGCACTACAAAATGGTACATTTTAAAAAAATGTATTTATCCTTTTCTAGATGAAGGAGCGCTCCATTATGACGTTGGGTTATCTACCGGTGGGAGATGCGGACTTCCCACATCAGAAAAAGCTTCTGCAGGGACTCATGGACTCAGTGGAGGTGTGCCGAAGCACTACAGACGTCTCGTAGGATTTAGTCCAGATAAACACAACGAGCATAAGCTCCGTAGAAATCCTGACTTGGAATGTCAAACATCCATTTTTCCATACTTGTACCACAAGAATAAATAGATTTTCCTTTTGACTCCTTGCTCTAGTGTTCACATCAACACAGAACACTCAACAAAGCTACGCTGTGCATTAGCTGCTTTATCTGTGGGATGATTGTAGTGAATTATGATCACAGATTGGCCTCAAACAACACATCACACAGTTTTTTACCAGTTTTATTTTCTGGGTCTGAACTTGGAACTTTTCCCTGCAGGCGAAGCAGGTGGAGCTGCAGTTCACAGTTGGAGAGGCCGTCACTAGTGCTGCTATAGGAACCGGTTCTGGAGCTGCCAGAGACCCGTGGACGTGCACAGAGGACCAGTACAGCCCACCACACAGTCAGTAGTTGTGATCCTAACAGGGTTTCTGTCGGTTTCCTTTGTGTGTAGCAACTAGGGATGGGTACCTTTGACATTTGAATCGATCCGGTACTAATTCCCGGTACCTACGAATCAATACCGGTACTTAACGGTACCAATTTTTGATACTTTTGAGTGTTTATTATTTTAATTCTCTTTTATAGTTAATTATATATTTTTCTCAATATATAACAATATTTGATAAATATCACGATAAATAACATACAACTGTTTGTATTTTAACATCGTCCTTGTAGTTTTATAAGCTGATAATTAAACTGAAGCAAACATCTTTACTGTGAACTAAATTTACTGTGTATCTTCATTCCTTTTGCCGTCCTTTTTCATTTGATTTTTCCTACTGGGAAGTTAGAATTTCCGAGGAGAAAGCGAACGCACCATTAGCTGATAACAATGGTGGCAATGGAAGCTAACATATCAAGCTAACGTTATCTTAAACAGTTTAGTTAACTGCTGGAGCAGATTAAAACAATGATGCCTCACACTTAGATCATTGTCACTGGTTTCGTCTTCACCCGTCACATTTAGTAAAGTGAAGCCAAACTTTAGAGCGCGTTCATGTTCTTCTAGTCTGACATTCAGAGTTCCGAGGAGAAAACGAACGCACCATTAGCGAAACGGAAGCTAACAAATCAAGCTAACGTTATCTTAAACATTTTTTTACCTACCGGAGCTGATTAAGATGAGGATGTCTCACTTAGATCGTTGTCGCTGGTTTCATCATCGCCCAGTTACCCATCACGTTTAGTGAAGTGGACCCAAGCTTTACCGTGCGTTCTTTCTACCATGCTGCTCTGTTTACAACTGGTTCGCAGCGAGCGACGACATAACGCTCTTGCGCATGCGCAGCTGTCTTGGCAAGTTCTCGTTATGAAGGACGGGTACCGAAACGAGGCACCGTTTGAAATGACGTGAATCGGTGCTCGGTCGGTACTGTGGAATTCGGTCGGTGCCTTAAAAGGTACCGAATTCAGTACCCATCCCTAGTAGCAACTAATACATATTAATTATGACCAATAAGATGTGATATTCCATACAAATATGAAATATCAATCTGATTGATCTTTGAATGTTTAATCAGAAGATTCTAGGGTTCTTTGCTTATTCAGGGACCATAAACACACTTCGTATTAATTCAGACAGAGTCGGTATATAGTTTATAAAATGAATTTAATTATTTTTCCTAAAATAATGATACATGACAAGATAGTGGATGTGAGGTGTTGTGATGGAAGCTAGATGTTGTAGCAACTGTTCTTTGTGTCTGAGAGAAATTGTGATATCTGTGTGTAAACGAATATGTTGTTTGTTTTAAACTAGAGAGTTAGTTGTTGATAAAAAAAACCCTCATCAGACACCAGTATGCAGGCTTGTATGGGTTGCTTCCGGCAGTCGGGAGGTTTGCGGTCAGAGTAGTGAGGTCACTGGACGTCGAAACCACAATACTCAGAGATTACCGTAATTTATGGACTATAGAGCGCACCTCTATTTAAGCCGCACCAACAACAAAAAAAAAGGTTTTCTACACACACACGCCGCACTCGAATACAAGCTGCGGCGCAGCAGCCACATGCAGGTCTCCAGCGTACAGCGCATGTACGGCCATAACATAATCAGACAGAAAGACGCTACATGGAGGTTTTTTGTTGTTTTAATTCAACAAAACTAATTTTAAACACGGGTGAACGTGCCTGCAAGTTTAGAAAAGAAAACAGCACTGGTAGCATTCATATTTCTGGATGGTTATAACATAAAAACAGCACTGACACGTTATTACCGGTCATTTGCATGTTTAGAAGAAAAGAACAGCGCTGACACAGCATTAATAAGCCCTGGATGATTAGAAAATAAAACCTGCACACAAAACATGCCTGGTTAGTAAATAAAACACACTTGCCTACCTGAAAAAGTCATTCGCTCTCATCTTCCTCTTGCACACTAAAGCCATTAAAGTCCTCTTCTTCAGTGTCGGAGTTGAACAGCCTCAGAAGAGCTTCGTCACATACCTTTTCTGCGGCGATGTCAGTGTCGCTGTCCGTGTTGCTGTCATCATCCCCGGGTGAAGCTGGCTTGAATGAGTTCTTCCCGCTGCCGTCTCCAGCGCCGAACCATGGATTCATTCATGCCAAGCTTACACTGTTTCCCTCCTTTACTGCCAGATCCATGGCCTTCAACTTAAATGCGGCAACATATGAACTCATACGTGTAGTTACCATGATGAGGGGGAATGGATTTGAAACAAATTCTTCGTTGTTCTTCGTTCAGCTGGAAACTGAATTAATTGGGAAGTAAATCTTGTTTTATTAAACTACTTTGTTATGATTTCTGGCCAAGTTTGGCAAATCAGAATCTGACACGTTTCTGAGTATTTACCAACATCCCTCAGAAAGTCACGCCTTCCTTCAGATACAAAGATGTTTTTAACCTTAATATGTAACTTGTTGTAATGTGTATGAGTGTAAACAATGATGAACTTGTTAAACCCCAGAAACCAAAATTTAGAAAACAACAGCAAAATCTTTTTTAACCTTTCACATGTTGTTCTAGGAGGCCAGATTACACATTTTAACAGCCAATAGTGTTGCAGAACTGAACAATAGGACCTATTAGCAATGTAAATGTGGTTTTAAAAAGAAAAAAAAATGGGGAAGGTTTATTTTTGTAGACTTAAATCTGATGTTGTAATACTACAATCGTGGGTCTCTGGGGGTTAAATCAAACACACAGTGATTTGTGATATAAATGGATCATTGTAAGAACAATATTCATTTCAAATTCATTGATTTAAGCACAGATTATTCAAACATTTCATTTAAACATCTTGTTCATTCATCACATATGATTATTTAACTTATAACTATAAAATCGTGGACTCTTCACTTATTCAGAGTGAAGAGTGTTGACGTCTGCCGTTCACAGAGGGTGCAGGAACCCTGTCTGGATTTTCTGTCTTCTGTATGTAAACACGCACTGAACAGAACCTTCTGGATTCAGAAGGCCAAACAGAAAGTGGATCTATGCTGTAGATGGAAGGTCATTATGTTGGTCAATATATAGGTGAAAATTGACCTTTTTGGTACATTACACATGCTTCTGTCAAATTAATCTGAGTTATGGCCTCTAGTTAATCAGATTATTTAACAAGTTCATGCAACTTTATCTAAATGCTCGTTGTCTGATCTCTCACACCTTAGTTAGCGTTAAACCAGGCTGTCGCCAAGAACTACACTCTGATTTCTGTCCTTTCTTTGGCTTCTCTCTTCCTCCTTCAGATGTTAAAAGCAATGACGTGGTTCCTTGGGTCCTGAACTCGATCCTGTGCAGGTACATACCGAGCCAGAACCCTCACGTGAGGCAGGCTGCCTGCATCTGGCTGCTCTCTCTCGTCAAGAAACTCAGCCAGCACAAAGAAATTACAGTGAGCACACGTCCAGTCCTACAGCTCTGAAGAATAACACCAAAAAGATCTATTTGTGTTCAAATTTTTTAAAATGCATTTATTTCATTTTTATTTTTTGTATTTTTTTTCTCCTGCAGTCCCATCTGAAGGAGATTCAGGTGGCATTCATCTCTGTTCTCTCAGACCCTGATGGTGAGACACGTGTTAGTAGCACTACAAAACACACCACAGCGCCTTATTTATCTGTGTTTTACTTCCTCCTCCATCTTTGTTTCGTGCTTTCAGAGTTAAGTCAGGATGTGGCGTCGAAGGGCCTCGGCCTTGTCTACGAGATGGGGGGAGAGGCTGATCAGCAGGAGCTGGTGTCCACCTTAGTGGAAACACTTATGACTGGTAAAAGGTGAGGTGGTGGTGGCCGGCTAAGCTGGTGAAAGCTGGATTTACTAAAAAGCCGTCATGGGGAGTTAGGTTTCTACACACAGACCCATTTAGCTTCTGTTCATCTGTGCTAACAGGGTTCGACATGCAGTCTCAGAGGATACAGAGGTGTTCCAGGGGGAGGGATTAGGAAAAACCCCTGATGGGTGAGTCTTGTATGTTTATAGCAGATATATTGGTTTTCAATACAAATTATGAGGTAACTAGGGATGGGTACCTTTGACATTTGAATCGATTCGGTACCTAGGAATCGATACCGGTACTTAACGGTACCAATTTTCGATACTTTTGAGTGTTTATTATTTTAATTCTCTTTTATAATTAAATATATATTTTTCTCAATATACAACAATATTTGATAAATATCACGATAAATAACATTCAACTGTTTGTATTTTAACATCGTTCTTGTAGTTTTATAAGCTGATAATTAAACTGAAGCAAACATCTTTACTGTGAACTAAATTTACTGTGTATCTTCATTCCTTTTGCCGTCTTTTTTCATTTGATTTTTCCTACTGGGAAGTAAGAATTTCCGAGGAGAAATCGAACGCACCTTTAGCTGATAACAATGGTGGCAATGGAAGCTAACATATCAAGCTAACGTTATCTTAAACAGTTTATTTAGCTGCTGGAGCAGATTAAAACGATGATGCCTCACACTTAGATCGTTGTCACTGGTTTCATCTTCACCCGTCACATTTAGTAAAGTGAAGCCAAACTTTAGAGCGCGTTCATGTTCTTCTAGTCGGAAATTCGGAGTTCCGAGGAGAAAGCAAACGCACCATTAGTGAAACGGGAGCTAACAAATCAAGCTAATTATATTTACCTACCGGAGCAGATTAAGATGAGGATGTCTCCCTTAGATCGTTGTCGCTGGTTTCATCATCACCCAGTTACCCATCACATTTAGTGAAGTGGACCCAAGCTTTAGCGTGCGTTCTTTCTACCATGCTGCTCTGTTTACAACTCGCTCGCAGCGAGCGACGACATAACGCTCTTGCGCATGCGCAGCTGTCTAGGCAAGTTCTCGTTATGAAGGACGGGTACCGAAACGAGGCACCGTTTCAAATGAAGTGAATCGGTGCTCGTTCGGTACTATGGAATTCGGTCGGTACCTTAAAAAGTATCGGTACCCATCCCCAGAGGTAACACATCCTTTTGTTTATCATATGTAAGCATGTTCTGATTTTCTGACAGGCACAGCCTCTCCACCTACAAGGAGCTCTGTTCTCTGGCCAGCGACCTGAATCAACCAGATCTGGTGTACAAATTCATGAATCTGGCCAATCACCACGCCATGTGGACCTCACGCAAGGTACCCGACACGTTCATGTCTTTACGCAGCTTTTGCAACTGTTCTCCGACCTGACCTTCTCTCCTCAACTCAGGGAGCTGCTTTTGGTTTCCACATGATTGCAGCTAAAGCCGGGGAGCAGCTGGCCCCATTCCTGCCCCAGTTAGTCCCTCGTCTGTACCGCTACCAGTTTGACCCCAACCTGAGCATCCGCCAGGCCATGACCAGCATCTGGGATGCCTTAGTCACTGATAAGACTCTGGTAAGGGTTGCAACGCCTACAGAACTGATCCACGCAGACTCCTGTGATGAGGACAGTTTGCATGTTTGTGTTTGTCCAGGTGGATAAATATTTAAAGGAGATCCTGCAGGATGTCATTTCTAACTTAACCAATAACACTTGGAGAGTTCGTGAGTCCAGGTACAGGAAAAATACACACAATGCCTCGCTTTTACATTTAGATTATTTTCAACTCAATTCCACAATTTTCTAAACTCCTCCGTCAGAAGCTGAGGATTTGTACTTCTCATTGTTCTGCTTGTTCAGATAACAACTAGGGATGCACCGATGGATCGGCATTTGATCCCGATTGCGCCCCTATCGGTTTTGATGGGAGTTTTCAAAATAGATCAAAGCAGACCGATCAGGTAGGGTTGTCACGGTAACCGGTGTAGCGGTAAACCCCGGTAAAAAAAAAAGTTGACAATAATAATAACCGTCTTGTTTTAAAAAAAACTATTATCTCGTTGGATTAGCGTGGCTGCGGTGTAGGCGCGGTGACCCTTACCAGCCACCGTATCATCTGCTGAAGTTGCCGGCGGCACATGCGCGCTTTGCTGTTTACAACCAAAACTTTGTTGAAGCTAAAGCTGAAATAATGGCCAAAGGAGGAGACGGCAGCACTCAGGACATTTATTATCCCTCAAAGAAGACAAAGTGGGAAGTACGGGCATCTTTTGGATATCAGAAGAATGACGAGGGACAGCTGATAGAAGACGACTATCCTGTTTGCAGCACGTGCAGAAAAAGTGTCTGTGAAAGGCAGCAATGCTTCAAATCTCATGACACATCTGCGTGACCATCACCCACAACTCTGCAGTCAACGCAAGGCAAGCTAACGTTAGCGTTTTAGCTAAAATGCGTGATCCGAGGATTTGGGTCGAGGGAGAATGCAACGAGTCGCTATATAAAGCAGCCGCAGCGCCGCTACCTGCATATAAACCGTGTCGCGGACACCGCCATGTTGAAATGACGCTATGCATTACGGGGCTCCCAGGGCCAGATAAGAGTTGGTCTCTCTCCGAGAATAATTATGAATTTAACAATGATTACTGTCTGATGACATTTTCCCACATCTGCAAAGCTCACTGGAGGGACACAAACCGAGGACAACATTTTCCTGATATAGGGTTTATTACTCAAGTAAGGGTAAAAAAGTGAGTAGAAGGCTACTTGAGTACTGATTATCATCTGATCTAATATTTTTAAAATGATGACATCAAACAGACAAAAAATAAGAAGTTATGTGCAAATATTGGTATTTTAAAGACTAAAGGGAAAAAATGTAAACAAATAAACAAAATAATTACAAAATAACACATTTTAGGCTAAATTTAGACACAAACTGAGGACAATATTTCCTGACATACAGGGTTTATTTAATTGTGTGAAAATGTAGCACGTTTAAAAAAAATACCGCGATAATACCGAAAACCGTGGTAATTTTGGTCACAATAACCGTGAGGTTAAATTTTCACACCGTGACAACCCTAATCCAGACCATTTTAGATTAGGTTACATTTCCTTTATTCCCAGATTATGTAGTTTGTAGCACTCATTATAATGTTGTAGAAAATTTCTGGCCAATCCACGTGATCGGTATCGGTGATCGGCAGCAAAAAACCTATCGGTGCATCTCTAATAACAACTTTGGGCTAGAGGTGTAAGTTGATGTAAAGAATTTTAAAATATCTCAAAAAGATTTATTTCTTCTGGCAGCTGCTTGGCCCTCAATGATCTGATTCGTGGTCGTCAGGCTGATGACCTCATCGATCACCTGGCTGAGATGTGGGAAACTCTCTTTAGAGTCCTTGATGACATCAAGGTGAGCAGACGAAAAGTTGCTGTCACTTGTAAACGTGGACGTTAACGTGCAACATGTTCGAATCCACTTGATCGCAGTTGCCTTTGTTCTTTAGGAATCGGTGAGAAAGGCGGCAGACTTGACACTAAAAACACTCAGTAAGGTGCGTGTCTCTGTCCCAGTCTGTAAAGGACCGCGTCTCGTGTCCTCGCCCACGTACTCTCCCTTTACCGTCTTCTGCTCCTGTGCAGATGTGCGTCCGTATGTGTGAGTCTACGGGATCTGCAGCCCAGAAAACGGTGGCTGTGATGTTACCGACGCTGCTGGAGAAAGGCATCGTCAGTAACGTCTCAGAGGTTCGCTCTCTCAGGTAAGGTCTCCGAGTTAAACACACGGCGGACTTCACATCGATAGCTGCGGGGCTTGTTGGCAGCTTTTGGTTTTGTGATTGTTTTTGACCACCCTTCCCCCAGCATTCAGACTCTTGTGAAGATCAGTAAAACTGCAGGTTCCAGACTAAAACCCCATGCTTCCCGGCTCATCCCGGCCCTTCTGGAGGCTCTCACCACGCTGGAGCCTCAGGTCCTCAACTACCTCAGTCTCAGAGCCACCGAGCAGGAAAAGGTAAACATGTGGTTCTTTGGTTCGTCTCAAACGAGACTCGTTCTCATTCTAAGTCCTGTTTGTTCTTTCTAAATCTGCAGAGTGCCATGGATGCTGCGAGGCTGAGCGCCGCCAAGTCCTCGCCGATGATGGAGACCGTTAATATGGTAAAAGAGAAACATTGCATCTCTTATTGATCATCAAGTTTAAACAGTTTCAGGTTCAAGTTCAGTTTGCCAGTTTGATAGAATTAAATACAAGTGTTTTATATTTTTGTGAGCTGTCCTCATAAGGAGGCGGCGGGACATAACGTCTTACTCAGGTGTGTTGCACCTTTCCACCTGATCTGGTGTGTGTAGTGTCTGCAGCATCTAGATGTTTCTGTGCTGGGGGAGCTGGTCCCCAGGCTCTGTGAGCTGCTTAAGAGCGGAGTAGGCCTCGGCACAAAGGTGACACACTTTCACTGATTCATTTATAAATCCTCCTTTCAGTCTTTCTTTTTAATCCGGCTAAATGATTTCCTCTGCCCTGCTGTTGCCGAAGATGCAGCATTAAGGTTGTCTGACATTCCTTCTTAGGGAGGTTGTGCGAGTGTGATCGTGTCCCTCGCGGTCCAGTGTCCTCAGGACATCACCCCTTACTCAGGTACATTACACCTGTCTCCTTTCTGGTCCTCAGACTTGGTTAATTGTTGGGAATCAGCAGAGTGAGTGGGATTTTTTGGTGTTTTGAAGGTAAACTGATGAGTGCCCTGATGAATGGAATCCATGACAGAAGCACTGTGGTACAGAAAGCTTTTGCCTTTGCTTTGGGACACCTGGTCAGGGTAAGAGCGGTTTCTGTCCGTCTGAATTGATGTTTGGTTCAAGACTTCCTCATTGTTGACATTTGGTTTCTGTATCAGACGGCAAAGGACAGCAGCGTAGAGAAGCTACTGCTGAAGCTCAGCGCCTGGTACTTGGAGAAGGAAGGTGAGTCGGTGTGAAACTTGACTACAGTGATCCGTCGTTTATCGTGGTAGATGCGTTCCAGACCTGGCCGCGATAGGTGAAAATCCGCAAAGTAGGGACACCATATTTACGGTATTTATTTAACAGGTACGTATTCAGTATTCAGACTTTTAAAACCCTCCCTTTACATAGTACTGTATTTTTACTTGTTTTTTTATATTTTTATTACAAAAAGTGCATTTTATGATGAAATAGATGAAAAAAACAGGAATTTCTTGATATTTCGCATAGAAAAATACCGGGAATCGGCGAATTTCCCTTGAATAAGTCTCCAAAGAAAAAATCTGCGATAAACGAACCGCGAAGTAGCGAGGGATCACTGTACTTGTAATGGACTGGGTGGTGTTTCCACCTGTTGTGTTAAAACAAGGAAGTGGCAATGAGAGCAGTGGAGGTTTTTAAGCCTCCAGAGAGACCGAATATGTGGTGTGACTTTATGAAGCTGTAATGATTTAAATGCCATGTTATTTAATAAGCCATAAGATGTAGGATTCCATAGGAAATATGAAATCAACCTTATGGATCTGTTGGGTTATTGTAACCAGAAGATTGGAACTTTTTAATGCAGGGGTAACAGCTTCGTATTCACTCAGAGACAACAGAAGAGAGAGAGTCGAGTTTAAAAGTTTAAAAATTTATTACTAAACAAATTAAACTAGACTAACTTTAAACACTAAACGTATGGTGTAACTAAGGTGAATGAGACGGTGAATGGGGTGAGGTGTAATGTTGCTCAGAACCAGCAAATCCGAAGAAGCGATTAGTTCTGATTGGAACTGAAGGTGATGTCTTTGCGTTGAGCTTTGATTAGGAGATTCATAAACACATTCAACGCCATTTGTCGGTCTACATACGCTGAGCGGAAGTCCCCGTCTAGATCAGGAGGTGTAAAGGTCCAGCTTGATCTTTATGGAGCCGGAGCCTGTAGGAAAAGCAGCGGTTGCCGACCAGACCAGTCTTTGAGATACTCCCGGGTCACGACGATTTTGTTGGCGTCTAGCGAGACCCAAACCTGGGTCGTGATGGTTCAGCTTTTATTCTGAAAGGAACCGTTGCAGCAGGTGGAACAGCAACATATTTTATCCAGCTTGTCGTTGGTTCTTTAGGTTGAAGAGGAAAGTTACGGATTGGCCACTCCGACACTTCTCTAGAACGCTTTGAATTGGCGTTAGAGATGACGTGGGCATAGTTTTATACTTTGGATGTTTTGGTTTATGGTCGAATGAAAAGATGACAGATTTACCAAGCACCACCAAAACCACGCCTCCATCAGATCTGGCAGAGTCTGATTGGATCAGTAAAGCAATGTGTCGTCTCTTAACGCTACGTGAGATCAGTCCTAGTGGAACAATTAAAGTCATATTACTTTTTATATTCTATAGGATTATAATAAAGTAATTAATATTTTGATTTCACAGATTGATCACATCTTATTTATTGACTAACACTTTGTTTGATTAGCTTATTAAAATAGAGTTCCTTGATTTATTAAAAGGAGAGAGTCCTTTTCTTCATTCTTCTCTTGGGCTGGAAAGAAGCAGTTTATAACAAATGCATGAGACCTTGAGGCCATATCTCATGCAGACTAGTTCTGTGTCAGAGGAGAGGGGGAAACAGTCATTTCATACCGTTACAAAGCATTGCCAGGAAACCATTTTAACATGGTCTCCTGTACAAAGTGGTGAAAGCACTTCTGTGTGATAAGAATCGGCTAACTTATCGCAGACTTTATCTTTTCTTTTACTCTCAGCTTTCTCATTAAATTCCTGTTGCTGCTGTAACTGGAGGCTGTTTCTGTTTGGCTTCCAGAACTTGTTTACAAGTCATCGTGCGCGCTGACCGTGCACGCCATCAGCCACTATAGTCCCGACGTGCTGAAGGCTCACGCAGGCGTGGCTCTGCCGCTGGCCTTCCTCGGCATGCATCAGGGACCGGGTCCCGACGAGGAGAAAGGAGAGAGTCACGACGCCACGCTGTGGGCGGAGGTGTGGCAGGAGAATGTTCCAGGTGGGCAACGTGGATAATTAGAGTGTCAGTGTTACGACAGTCATTGTAGTTTCCAAGAAACGAAGCTGAGATCTTTAAATATCTCGTAACCCTCCATCTCAGGAAGCTTCGGAGGCATCAGACTCTACATGACGGAGCTGATCGCCATCACACAAAAAGCGCTCCAGTCTCAGTCTTGGAAGATGAAGGCTCAGGGTGCTGCTGCCATGGCAACAGTTGCTAAGGAGCAGACAGGCTCTCTTGTAGCACCACACCTGGGCTTAGTGCTGACGGCTTTAATTCATGGACTATCTGGGCGAACGTGGGCCGGAAAGGTAACGCCTTCTCCAGCTGCTGAAGCCCTCAGAGAAATGAAACCCAAATCCTACATTCATGTCCGTTTCTGTCACCAGGAAGAGCTGCTGAAAGCCATCGCACTAGTTGTGTCCAAATGCAGGTTAGGCATCTAGGAGAACCTTTACCCTGCGAACACTGAGTTAACCTTCATTCAACCTGCTTTCTGTTATTCCTCTGACCTGCAGCACGGAGCTGCAGAAGCCCTGCAGTGGTCAACCCACCATCTCCGAGGTGGTGGAGGCGGTGTTGAAAGAATGTCGGAAGGAGAATCTGGTGTACAAAATGGCCGCTCTGCGCTGTGCTGGAGACGTGCTCCGAAGCAGCCAGGAGGACCACTTCAGCGACATGACGGAGATCCTCTTCCCTCTGATCAGAAAGGTCCAGGCGTCACTCACAGCAAACTTCTTCTTGTTGTTGTTGGAGACAAAACTAGGAACAGGCTTTCTTCCCTTGACAACAGAGCTGTCCGGAGAGTGGCGGCGCGTCCTCCAGGTCACTGGATGAAGACCACGATGACGATTCTGATGATAAAGATGCGAAGGACAAAGAGCTGCAGACTGAAGCTCTGCTTTGTGCTTTAGAGACTCTTGGAAAGACCTGGCCCAGAAACCCTCAGACTCAAGGTAAATCCTCTCCTAGCCTCTTTAAAAACCAACACCTAAAACATACTTTTAGCTTTTCTGTTTGAAAACATCTGAAGTACTTTAGTACTTCTGAAATGCTGCACTTAAGCCTGATTCATGCTTCTGCGCCTGCGTCAGCGCGGAGACACGCAACGCCATTATCCGTCCTTGCGGGCCTGCCGGAGAGCCCCCGCAAGGACGTACGGAGTCGAGCTCTTTTCTAAACATCCGTCCGTCGAGACGGAGAATGCAAGCTCATGATTGGTCAGGACGCCACTGTCGTCTACCAGGGTATCCGCGGGTCCTTAAAAAGTCTTAAATTAGCTTTTCCTAATTTAAGGCCTTAAAAGTCCTTAAAAATGACAAATAATCCTTAAATCCAGTTTCCAAAGATCTTAAATTACCAAAGACCCAATAAACAAGATTCTTTTATTTCTATAAAATTTTTGTGAATTTCTAGTTAGTGTTCAGCATTTTTTGTGTACGATACTGGTGTAAGCGGAACCGTACGCAGTCAGTTGGTTGTGAAAGGGGGCTATTTTAAATGAGCACATTAGCTGGTTAAGCTAGTGGGAGCTTGCACCATGGGGAAGTGGAAGTTTAATGGTAGCTGGATGGCTAATCCCACGTTCGCGACGTGGTTAGCACCGGTTCCAGGCAATAGCTGGAAATTATCGCTTAAATTTAATTTTTAAAATAGCTTAAATTTGGTCAAAGTGGCCTTAAAAAAGGTCTTAAAAAGTCTTAAATTTGGCTCCCTTAAATCTGCAGCTACCCTGGTCTACACCTTCGCCATTGCGCCCTAAAAAACATAAAGAGAGCCGAGGATAACTAGCGGCAGACACAGAGCAGCTTGAAGAATACCTCGTGAAAAAACTCAAAATGTGAACGTTTAATTCCCCCGTGACTGGAGGACTGAAAAGATGCACAGCAGGCGTTTTATTTGTGGACGGAAATGACAGGAAACGTGGGTTTAGAGGTGGCGAGCGCATGAAGCGGTGGAGAAGAATGAGAGACAAATTTGTCTGTGTTAAAAAGTCTCTTAAATACAAAAAAACTCAATATAAACACACTATCTTGGACCAGATACACGACAGGATACCACAGAACAGCGCTACGCCCTCTGCTGTCCTGCTGGGGAATTGCTTTGCAACGTTCACGAGAGCAAAACGTCTCCGTCCGTGCGTGTCTCTCCGTTTTGGAGCTGACGGAGAAGCATGAATCAGGCTTTACTTTGAGAGAAAGGCTTTTACCGTCTCTTGGGCTGAAAATGTAAAAATGGCTCTTATCTGTGTGTGCGTGTGTGTGTGTGTGTGTGTGTGTCTGCAGCACATTTCCAATCAGAGGTGTGCGGTCTGATGTCTGGAAAGCTCAGGCTGAGCACTTGGAAAGTGCAGCTTGCTGTCCTGCAGGCCATGAAGCCGTACTTTCAGGAGTAAGACGCTCAAAAGCAAACATGTCGTCTCTAATCCCAGCTCTTCCGTCATTCATCCGGTAAAAACAAACATTCTTCTCTGTAGCTTGTTGCTGTTGGAGAAGGCTGGTGAAGACTCAAGTGCACTATCAGAGATCCTGACGGAGACTTGTGCTGCTCTCACATATCCTTTAGGTGAGGGCCCGATTCCACTCTAATACACTAAATTATGATTTTCATCACTTGAGTTTGTTTGTTTTCTCCGCAGAAAATAAAAGTTACTCCTCTGTTCGGACAGAGGCCTTGTCTGTTGTGGATCTGATTGTGAAGAGAATCGGAGGTAGGTGATGCAGTCTCCTTGACATGATGACATTCATGTTGTGTGATTTGTTTTGTTTCTTGCTAAGAGATAAAAAAAAAAGTTTGTCTCACAAAAAATACACCCAAGACAATACAATAATTTACATTTATGGGATCAGGTTTTTTACTTCTACAGATTTATTAATAATATGTATTTTTATTTTTATAATTCAAAATAAAAGGGAAAATTTTCAGTTATTTTTTTCCAAATGTGCCTGTATGCAGTCGTTATAAATTAGTGTTGCGTAAGGATGTAGAATTAGAAACACTGTTAAACTGCATAACTGAGCTGAACCATCAGGGGCGACGGTGGCACAGGAGTTAAGTGCTCGCCCCGTAATCGGAAGGTTGCAGGTTCGAGCCCCGCTCAGTCTGTCGCTGTCGTTGTGTCCTTGGGCAAGACACTTAACCCACGTTGCCTGCCGTGGTGGTCGGAGGGACCGGTGGCGCTCTGCGTCCCAGAGCAGCTGTGGCTACATCGTAGCTCATCCCCACCAGTGTGTGAATGTGTGAATGAGTGATTGTGTTGTAAAGCGCCTTGGGGGGTTTCAAGAACTCTAGAGGGCGCTATATCAAATACAAGCCATTTACCATATCAGGGTCCCTCCAGCTTCTACGTGTCTGATGTATTAAGTCCATGGATTTTTATATCTGAGTGTGTTGCTGATTCTCGTGTGTGTTCAGAGAGCGAGCAGTGGGAGTGTATGTCTGTGAAGAGCCGGGAGCAGCTGCAGCGCTCCCTGTCGACTCTGCAGTCGGACGCACGGCCCGCCCTGAGGGATAAAGCCCAGGAGCTGCGCAGACGCATCCAGAGCCAACCCTGAGGAAGATGGGACAACATAAAGGAAAAGGAGCAACACACACACACACACACACACCCTCTGTCTTATAAGCATGATGCCATACGTGGAACTACTGTTACTGATGGAAAAGGAGGTACAACCCAAGAAGACCGGGGCCTGATGTCCCACACACCTGTGTTGTGTTGATGAAAGGGATTTAATAATTCACACGTCTGTCATCAAGTATCCATGATGTCATCGAGCTGCGCCGCGGACTCCCAACAGGAAACCAGACTAAACTCGCTCCTCTGGGCAAAGCCAACGCGGTGAGCTGTTAACTTCTACGTTGTTCACTCAGATGGACTGTGTGTGAGCTGATAAACTGCTTTATAAGTGTTGGGTGTGTGGACACTTTATAGCTAATAGCCCCAAAATGGGGATTTTTACTACTGTTGTGGGTTTGCCTTCCTAATAACTGTCCAAACAGCAGCGGGTTGTTTATCGCAGCCAACAGAAGGTGACGATGCTTTAGGGTATCACAGCGTGTCCTGAAATCTAGAGAGAAACCTGCTGATAACTTCAAAATGACGCTGTAGCTGTTTGAATTTGTCTTTCATGAAATAAAACGTAATCATTTGGACCGGTTATTGATTTCTGCTTTGTAACAGGTTTCTGATGACTGTTGCATCTGAGGTGAAATGTTGAGAACTTATGAGCTCCTTTAGAGTTTAGGAAAGCCGTGTTCAGCTTTAGTCATGGCCAGACGCGATCATTATTGACTCACTTCAGCAGAATCTGTCCCAACATGAAGGAGGCTCAAAGATCTCCAGAACATCATGTCACTGCAGGACTCGTCTGGGTGTGGGTGAGGTCATGGAGCAACTAGAGGGGCATCGGGACCACCAACGCCCATCTAACATTTACCAAAACACGATGATCCACCGGACTTTTAGGCAAATCTTTTGTAGGCCGGTGTGAAGAGAAGGGAACTCTCCGGAAGTTGTGACTCGCGTTCCATCTAGAGCAGGGGTGTCAAACTCATTTTAGCTCAGGGGCCACATTGAGGGAAATCTAGTCACAAGTGGGCCGGACCGGTAAATTAAAAACAACTTCAGATTGTTTTCTTTGTTTTAATACAATCAAAATAAAACAAGGCTGGAGCCTGAGGACAGTGTCTCCAAAATAGTACAACACCTGAAGTGTACTTGAAAATTTGAAAAAGAAAAAAAAAATCAAATTCAAAAAACATTCCTTAGTGATTCAAAGAGCTTACAGATCACATGGCTAGATCAGTTTCATGCAGCACTTAAAGTATATTTGACTCATTTTACTTTACATCTTTTAGCTTTCACCAGCACATCAATATCAGAAGTCACATCCTGAGTGGCAGCCAACTTCAGGATGTGATTCAAGTTCTTGTGTGAGCCTTGAGCGCAGCTTTGTTTTATTTATACTCGTTACAGAGAAAACTTGCTCACAATGATAAGTTTATTTTCACTCTACATTGTAAAGTATCAAAATAAAGTTTACACAAGCATCTCGCGGGCCGCATATTTGACACCCCTGGTCTAGAGTAACACATGGAGGTGAAAGTGTGATGGTCTGGAGCTGCTTCAGGACCTGGACCACTTGATCTAATTGGGACACGAATTCTCTAGGAAATCCTGACCTTTGACCTTAAACATGTTCCCAACCCTCTAATGGGGCTGAGTGAAAACAATCTGTAGTGATGTGGAAGGTTCATTTAACACCAGTTAGACTTTTGGCTGCAGTTGTCACCATCAAGGGGTTAAAATCAAGTTATTTTATTTTAGATTGCCTGTTGAATGCTGCTGCTTGTATTTGCTCAGGCTGTCTTTGACATGCGTTTGTTGATCTGACAAACAAAAAGTCTACAAATGGGAAATAATCAAGCGTCAACCAGGATAGATTAAAATAAGTCAGTTTAATATTTCACCTTTATTTACAAAAACAGATCCATCAGCTGAATATTACAAGGAAAACACCAGACAGCTACAGAAGAGACAACTTCATAAAACGACGTTTTAGACATCTGATGCTAATTGATGCACCGCTTCAGTCAAAGGTATAAAAAGCAAGAACTATTCATGATGGCGTAGAAGTGACCAGAGGCTTTGTTCTGTTAAAACTGATCATTGATCGAAAACGTCCCCATCAGCTGATTAGTTAGTTCCTTTTGTCCCTTTGGCGAGCCTTGTCGTGGGCTTTCTGCGGACGGCTCGACTCGCTCTGGCTGAGCGCGGTCCGTGTCACAGCAGACATCCCGTCAACAAACTTGGTCTTAAACAGGACGTTGGCGTTGGTGAACATGCCGTCTTTCAGGGACACGACCACAAACTAAAAGAGGAAAAGTGGAATTAAAATCTAGCTTTCGCCACAATCGGCTGCTGCTTGATGTCGACGCGTACCTGCGAGTGTCTGAAATGCGAGCGCAGCATCTGTCCGATGTTCTGTGTGTGAGACAGGTCCAGAGCAGCATCCACCTCATCCAGGATGTAGATGGGAGCGGGTTTGAAGAGCAGCATGGCCAGGATGAGAGACAACGCCACCAGTGACCTGGAAACAAAAACAATATGTTGGAAGAGATAACAAAAGAGGATAAGCAGCCGTGCGAAGGACTTAGCCGACCTCTGCCCACCACTGAGCTCTGTGAGGTTTTCCTTCCACGTGTCTCCCAGAGCTACCTTAAACTCCAGGCCATCCAAGACGCCACATCCCTGAGGAGGAGCCAGCTTTGCTGTGGCTCCAGGCAGGAGAGTGGAGAAGATGGATCCAAAGTCCTTGTTCACCTGTAGAGTGATGAGGATTTGAGTGAGGACTAAACTAAAACCCTTTAAAGAGCAAGTCACTCCAAATCAACATTTTTTTGCTGATAAACTACAGGTGCTGGCCAGTAAATTAGAATATCATCAAAAGGTTGAAAATATTTCAGTAATTCCATTCAAAACGTGAAACTTGTACATTATATTCATGCAATGCACACAGACCAATGTATTTCCGATGTTTATTACGTTTAATTTTGATATTTATAGGTGACAACCAATGAAAACATCAAATCTGGTATCTCAGAAAATTAGAATATTCTAAAGGCCAATGAAAAAATGTTTGTTTCTCTAATGTTGGCCAACTGAAAAGAATGAACATGAAAAGAATGTGCATGTATAGCACTCAATACTTAGTCGGGGCTCCTTTTGCCTCAATAACTGCAGTAATGCGGCGTGGCATGGACTCGATCAGTCTGTGGCACTGCTCAGGTGTTATGAGAGCCCAGGTTGCTCTGATAGTCGTCTTCAGCTCCTCTGCATTGTTGGGTCTAGCGTATTGCATCCTCCGCTTCACAATACCCCATAGATTTTCTATGGGGTTAAGGTCAGGCGAGTTTGCTGGCCAATCAAGGACAGGGATACCATGGTCCTTGAACCAGGTGCTGGTGGTTTTGGCACTGTGTGCAGGTGCCAAGTCTTGTTGAAAGGTGAAGTCTGCATCCCCATAAAGTTGGTCAGCAGCAGGAAGCATGAAGTGCTCTAAAACTTCCTGGTAGACGGCTGCATTGACCCTGGACCTCAGGAAACAGAGTGGGCCAACACCGGCAGATGACATGGCACCCCACACCATCACTGACGGTGGAAACTTTACACTGGACCTCATGCAACGTGGATTCTGTGCTTCTCCGCTCTTCCTCCAGACTCTGGGTCCTTGATTTCCAAAGGAAATGCAGAACTTGCTTTCATCAGAAAACATAACTTTGGACCACTCAGCATCAGTCCAGTCCTTTTTGTCCTTGGCCCAGGCGAGACGCTTCTTGCGCTGTTTCTTGTTCAAGAGTGGCTTGACACACGGAATGCGACACCTGAATCCCATGTCTTTCATGAGTCTCCTCGTGGTGGTTCTTGAAGCGCTGACTCCAGCTGCAGTCCACTCTTTGTGGATCTCCCCCACATTTTTGAATGGGTTTGTCGTCACAATTCTCTGCAGGGTGCGGTTATCCCTAGAGCTTGTACACTTTTTTCTACCACATTTTTTCCGTCCCTTCGCCTGTCTGTTAATGTGCTTGGACACAGAGCTCTGCGAACAGCCAGCTTCTTTAGCAATCACCTTTTGTGTCTTGCCCTCCTTGTGCAAGGTGTCAATGATTGTCTTTTGGACAGCTGTTAAGTCAGAAGTCTTCCCCATGATTGTGGTGCCTTCAAAACAAGACTGAGGGACCTTTTAAAGGCCTTTGCAGGTGTTTTGAGTAAATCAGCTGATTAGAGTGGCAGCAGGTGTCTTCTATATTCAGCCTTTTCAGAATATTCTAATTTTTTGAGATACCAAATTTGGAGTTTTCATTAGTTGTCACTTATGAATATCAAATTTAAATGTAATGAACATTGGAAATACATTGGTCTGTGTGCATTGCATGAATATAATGTACAAGTTTCACGTTTTGAATGGAATTACTGAAATATTTTCAACCTTTTGATGATATTCTAATTTACTGGCCAGCACCTGTATATAAATGAGTGTCTGATCGTGCTGTAGACACGTGTAGTCAATAATTCGGCATTTTAGTTCATCTTAGTTAAAATTTAAATATTCTCCCTAAAACTGTCAGTGATGCACCGTCGTCAGGTAAAAACTCAGCACTGCATTTGAATTTAAATCTGCCATCGCTATTGGCTAAGGGGTACACTATGATGTTAGATGGTACATTATGATGTCACAATATCGTTAGTGTGTGTATTTGTTAGTGGCTCCACCCTCTCGGTCTGCTAGGCAACAGCATTTGTTGCATTTTTCAAACAGGAAGTGGGAGTTGAGTAAGAATCTGGTAGGGGGTGACTTGCTCTTTAACGGTCTCTAAACCCAACAGAGAAAGCTTTAAAAAGCAGGACTGTCGGACTCTGTTCAGCTGACCTTCTGCCATGCCAAGTTCAGAGCCTCGTTCTTCTTCTGGTCCAGTTCCTTGATGGTCTGCAAGATTTTTGTTTTGTCATTCTCCACGATCCTCTTCTTTTTCATCAGGTCGTTATACTGCAGGAGGGGACAGAGAGGGGTAAATCAGCTGTGAAGCAGCAGCTAGCAGAGCGTCCAGCGGCAGCACTCCTCACCCTCTCCTCGGCTTCGTTCAGCATGTTCATGGCCCTGTTGTTGATGTTCCTCTCCAGCTTGGTGGTGGTTTCCTCCAGTTTCTTCAGACGCTGTCCAGCCTCACGGGGGTTGTTCGCCTTGAAGTCGTAGGAGCTGTTCGGCTGGCCGAAGAACTGGCGTTCCGAATGGATCCAGTCGTTCTCCTCCAGCATGCGAGTCACCTAGAGAAAAGACGGGATGACTTTAAACCTTCTAGATGAGGTGGAGCGGAGGAGAGTCGGACGATGGCCTTACCTTGTTAGCGGACTCCTTACTGTCTTTGTGGTGTTTACTGATGTTGTGTTCCAGCTCCTTGATCTTCAGCTGGACATCATTGTTCTGCTCCCTGATTTTATTGGCTTCTGTGCTTTTCACCTGGAACATTCAGAAGTCGGTGGAATTATTTCTGCTTCAGACACGAGAATGAGACAAAGCCTGATAAATGTCAGGAAGAGCCGACTGAAACCCCAAAACTTCAGAGACAAAACCAGAGTTCACCTTGAGCTCTTTATCTTGGGTCATGATCACCTCCTTCTGTTTGGCTAGCTCCTCCTGGGCTTTACGCACGGCCTCCTACATCCCAAAACACACGGAAAACAGAACAATACAAGTGTGACGAGGACACACTAGGATGGACCCTTCATTCATAAGATCAGACTAAAGGACAAGATGATCTTCTTGATCCCAGAATCGGAAAATTATTGGTCTGCAGCACAAAATACAAGATACAGACAATATGATCGACATAAACTACAAAATAAATTAAATAAATACAATTTTTAAAAACCATATGAATCAATTTTGCTTGCATTAAATAGAAAAAAGATGAATATGATCACATTGACAGATGAAAGTCTGTTTTACCTTAATTAGATGGGTTATGCCGTCGTGTTTCAGCACCAATGTTATAGAAGTGTTAGAATGTATTTTTATATCTAGAAAAGCTTAAAGAGCAAGTCACCCCCAAATCAACTTTTTTGGCTGATAAACTATATAAATGTGTGTCTAATTGTGCTGCAGACACGTGTCGTCAATAATTTGGCACTTCAGTGCATCTTAGTTAAAATTTAAATATTCTGCCTAAAACTGTCAGTGTTGCGCCGTTGTCAGGTAAAAACTCTGCACTGTATTAGAATTTAAATCTGCCACCGCTATTGGCTAAGAGGTATGCTATGATGTAAACTGGTACATTATGATGTCACAATGCCGTTGTGAGCCTGTGTGTGTATTGGTTAGTGGCTCCGCCCTCTCTGTCTGCCAGGCAACAGCATTTGTTGCATTTTTCAAACATGAAGAGGGAGTGAAGTAAGTTTCTTGTAGGGGGTGACTTACTCTTTAACTGGCTGTTCAGACAGAGCAGACACAAACGGCTAATCTGACTCATTTCTAGAGATTAAAGCTTTGGAACACAAACAACCTGAGCTGTGTGAAGAACAGACCAGTTTAACCTGGAATAGGGCTGGGACGATAACCAGTAAATCATACGGCAGATGAAAATGAAGTACTCAATTTTTCCAGCCTCATATATCGAGGTTAAGAAAACTATTATTATTATTGAAGTGCAGTTTTGGGTTGCTGACACATTGTATGTATTGTTTTGAGAGAAAAAAAAAACGGTCTATTTTCATGTTTTTGGTGCAATATTTTCTAACTGAGTGAAATGGCGATATGATACGTATCGCGATACAGGGGAGACGATACAATATATCACAATATATTGCGATACATTCAGTCAGACGTTATTATTGATTTATTTATTGTAAGAAGATTCAATCAACAGTCCAAACTAATACTTAACGTCTTTAACACGAGGTATCTGAACCATAACAGATTTGTATTTCAACAGTGGAAACTAATCCCATTGCACACCATTGCCCACTGGTGGTCGGTGTTTGAATTGCACCAAAAGAAAAAAAATACACAAACGTTTACATGTCAATTCTTCCAGAAATTTGATAAACGGCTTTAAATATCGATATAATATCGCTGGAAAAAATATCACAACATATTGTCATATCAATATTTTCTTACAGCCCTAATTATTATGATATATTAACATTAAATAAGTTGTTTTGGTCTTGATAATGTCTACAATAATATTGTTAATCGTCAAATTTCTTTTTTGGACAATACAGTAAATCATCAAGCAAAATTTGTTATCGTCCCAGGTCTAATCTGGAGATGTTTCAAGAAGATCCAACCCTAACTTTAAATAAAGCAGGAAGTAGAACATAAAGTTTTAAATAAAATAAAGTAAAAATACATAAGTAACAGCACCAAGTAATAAATTAGAAAGAGTAACAGGATGCTGAACCATTATTAATTTTAATCCTCATGCAGAAATTTCATTTTTGCTTGTTTATCTTATTCAAAAACTTTCACATTTATCTGTGAGACAAAATGTCTACAAAAGCTATCTGTTTTCTAAATAGGATTGCCATCAGGAAGTTGATGACTTATTTCAACATCCTGCTTTGCATTCAGATAAAACCTTGCAGCTAATGGGTGCAGGTTAGCTTGAACAGAAATGTTTGGCTAATGATAGTCAGAATATTTTCATTGTTGAAGTGATCTACTAACAAAAACAACTGAATATGTTCGCAGTCACTGTGGAGTCAGACACACACACACACACCTTGTTCTGCGACACGGTGCAGGCCATGCTGTCTATCTGCTCTTGGATGGCCTTCGTGGCCTCGTCTACAGCCTGGATCTGCTGCTCGTAACCCGCCTGCTCCCGCTGCAGCTCCTCCAGCTCCAGAGCCACAGCATCAGACTCCTGAGCAAGAACACAGATCAGAGAATACTCAACATGTATCAAGACACGATGGACACCAGATCCTTCAGATGAGACTTTTTAAATATTCCACCATCACACCTGCTGTTTCTGCTTTAACTTGGTACTGAAGGCATCAGCTTTGGTCTTGGCTGCGTTGAGTTTCTGCTGGGCGGCCTTCAGCTCCTTCTCCCTCTCAGCCTCGGCGTTTCTCATTTTGTTCTCCAGCACCTTGTATTTCTCCTCGGCCCGCTTCTGGACCTCTTTGGTGACTCGTAAGGTCTCTTCGCTCTCCTCTGGTCAGACAAACACACACACATTTCTTTAGCACAAAACCATCCAGAGTATTTCAGCCAAGGAGAAAACTGAGCGCTAACCGATGGCTTTGCGAAGCCTCTCCAGCTCCTCTTGCTGCTGGTGGAAGGAGCTCTGCTGCACTTTAGCCAGCAGGATCTGCTCCTCCTCCGCTTTGAGCTCGTGCTCCTGCTTCAGCTGTCGGTACCTGCAGGGAGCGCATTATGACGGAGAGAGAGGATTACATTAAAGAGAGGTGATCATCTTATTTTACAATTTAAATAAAAGTGAAGCGTCTTTGGTTGAATCTTCTCAACAACGTTATGTGCCGCCTCGTGCAATATCATCAGACCTCACAGCATCTGTGATGGGGGTGACTCCCAGCTTACTAACTTACCAGCTTGCTTCTCACACCAAACCTTCTGTCAGGAATCTTGGTGGGACCTTTGACCCAGCTCTCACCCTGGATTCTCATGTCAGTTCTCTTGTTCGCTCTTCCTTCTTGCATCTCAGGAACATTGCTAAGCTGAGTCCCATTCTGTCCCGCTCTGAACTTGAGACAGTTCTCCACACCTTCATCTCCTCACGCTTAGACTACTGTAACTCTCTTTTCACGTGTCTGAGCAGAACCTCCCTGAACCGTCTACAGGTGGTTCAGAATGCCTGTGCTCGGCTTCTGACCAAGTCCTCCAAACACACCCACATCACCCCGCTTCTCCTCCAGCTTCACTGGCTGCCAGTCAACTTCAGGGTTCACTTCAAGATCCTGGTTCTGGTCTATAGGGCCTTACATGGACAAGCACCATCTTACATTGGTGATCTTCTTAGTCCCTACACCCCCAGCAGGTCCCTGAGGTCCAGTGATCAAAGCCTACTGGTTGTGCAGAGCACCAGGCTAAAGACCAAAGGTGACAGATCATCTGCTGCTGTGGCCCCCAGTGTCTGGACCTCTCTCCCCCTGAGCCTGAGATCAGTGGACTCAGTGGTCTCCTTTAAAAAGCAGCTGAAGACTCACTTGTTCAAGCTGGTTTTTGTATGACCTTCTTCACCTCTCTCTCTTTATTCTGCTCTCCCCACCTATTCCACCTTCCTCAGGATCCACTGATCTCCCTCTTTCCTATTCACTCTCTCTCTTTCTTTACATTTTTTCTTTTAAATCCCAATTGCCTATTCTTGCTCATTTTAAATATATTTTTAAACATTTTCTAAATGCTTTTTTATATTTTAACATTTTTTTGTTTTTGTGAAGCGCCTCGTGATTTTTATCTTGAGAGGCGCTATAGAAATGATATTTTCGGGTGGGATGGAGGGGATTCTTGGGGTGGGGAAGGGGGTTGATGTATTTTGTTCTGTTTTAATCTGAAATTCATAATAAACATATTTGAAAAAAAAAAAAAAAGAAATGATATTTTCTTCTTCTTCTTCTTACGCACCGCATTTACAGTCAAAATCTGTAAACCTGACGCGAGTTGTAGCAGCTCGTGTGTTTGGTCAGCCGAGGCGACCGTCTAAATCTGCGTCGACTCCAAAAGTGAATCAGTCATAGATCCGTTAATTACGTCCTAAAAGTTTAATTTTCTAGGGGCTCGCGAGGTATTTTTGTACACACACACACGCACACACACCAAAAACATTGTCCCTTTCAGATATTCAGCGTACTTCTCAGCGGTTCCCTTAAGGCGGGCCAGTTCCTGCTCTGTTCCCTGGAGTTGAGCCTCTTTGTTGTTCAGGTTGTCCTGAACGTCCTTTACCTCCTGCAGGCTGGACAGAACCGACGCAGACTGAGAGCGAGCACCTGGACGACAAAACAGAGGAGTTGTTTTTACAGATGCACGTGAAGAAATACAAATCTGACCAACTAGAACTCTAAACATCATCTCTCCGCCATTTCGTCATTCTCACCTCCACTCAGAGTTCCCTGTGGGTCGAAGATGTCCCCTCCAAGGGTAACCGTCTTGGTCAGCACCTGCTTATCAAAAGCCACTTTTTTGGCGTTGTCCAAAGTGTCACAAACCAGCGTGGAGCCAAACACGTACTCCATGGCTTTACGCAGGTCAGACTCATAGCCAACGAGAGACAGAGCTGTGTGAACGTTATCAGCGCCAACCTGGTAGAAGAAAACAAACGATAGATTAGAGCATAGATTAGATAATCCCAGATTTCTCCGCTCACGCCAGTTGTCCCACCAGTTTCTTTGCTGTGGTGATGACTTTGTCATTGAGCGTCTTGGCAGAGATCTTGTTCAGGGGGATGATGGTGTACCGCCGCTGCAGCTCCCCTTTCTCCAGCAGCTTTTTACCCGTCACCTACAGAAAAAACCCAAATCGGAGTCAACCCCCAGCTCACACAGGGGCTCATCGTGACGCCGCATCAAACACAATCCCACCTCAGTGTCGACAATGATGTTATAGAGCCGTCCGCCTGCCACCACCTCCAGAGCCGTGGCGTAAGTGACGTCGCTGACGGAGATCAGGTTAGCGAGCAGACCTTTCACCTTAGCGCGGTCCCACCCTTGCTCTGGATCTCTGAGACAGCAGGCAGACATAAACGAACACTCAGCCACCTCTCACTGACATTCTCGTGCAAAGCCTAATCTCTGGTGATAACATAGTAATTTTAGAAAAATGAAGAACAACCCAAAACCCAGGAAATGGCCTTCTAAAGGACTTTTCCCAATGCAAGTAAAGTCTCTTCACATCTCTCTGCAAACAATCAGATTCACCTCTCCCTAAAAAAAGATGTTTACATGTAAATAAATGATGTAAATGCATGGATGGAACTGAACTTCATGAGGTTTAATCTGACATCTTCATCTCTTCTACCAGGTTGGCGCTGATAACGTTCACACGGCTCTGTCTCTCGTTGGCTATGAGTCTGACCTGCGTAAAGCCATGGAGTACGTGTTTGGCTCCACGCTGGTTTGTGACACTTTGGACAACGCCAAAAAAGTGGCTTTTGATAAGCAGGTGCCCATGCTGTCGAGAGCCCACCTGGAGCGGGTACTGCATGCCTTTGTTATTTCTAGGCTTGATTACTGCAGCTCTCTCTATGCAGGGTTGTGTCAGTCATCACTGCGTCGCCTACAGGTTGTGCAGAACAGCACAGCCAGGTTCCTGACTGGGACCAGGAAACTGGACCACATCAGTCCGGTTCTGGCCTCCCTGCACTGGCTTCCGGTTTGCTATCGTTCACAATTCAGACTCCTCGTCTTTGTTTTTAATTTCTTCCAGGGTGGTGCTCCCCCCTATCTGGCCACACTCCTGAACAGACATTCCCCATCACGCGCTCTGCGCTCCTCTGACCAAGGCCTGCTCGCTGTCCCTCGTTCTAGGTGTCGTACCCGTGGGGACCGGGCTTTCTCAGTCCTAGCACCGTCACTCTGGAACCAGCTGCCACCCTCAGTTAGGCTGTCCCCATCGCTGCCAGTCTTCAAGAGTCGCCTAAAAACACACCTCCTCCGCTTGGCGTTTCCTGAATGTATTTGAGTTAGGCCGTCATTTATGTTGATTTTATCTCAGTTTTCATTGGTTCAATTTTTCCCTTGTTTTACACATTTGTATTCTACTAGAATGTTTCACCTTTTTTGTAATTTGTAATTTGAATTGCTTTTATTTTCTGATTTATTCACTTTATTTAACTTTGTACTGTTCCATATTCAGCGCCTTGAGCTTCCTGACAGGGTTACGGAAGGCGCTTTATAAATAAAGCTTTGATTGACTGATTGATTAAAAAAAAACCCATGGAGTGCTAGCTAGGGCCCGAACTAAAAGTGAAGTTTGCTCACAGTTTAGCATCTCTGTTTATTTTTGTTGCACTTTAACAGCAGGACAACCTGGAGTCGGAGGAAACTCGACACAACTTCTTGCCTTTGGTATTTAAAGATGAAAGCTCTTACTTGTAGTCGAAGCGCAGGTTGGGGAAGCGTGACATGAGACGCTCGTACGTCTCTTTAAGCTGAGCCACCTCTCGGGACAGCTGTCTCCTTTTGTCCAACAGGCTTTCCTCTTTCCCATCTGCATTGAGACATTTGCTTTCATAAACACGTCTCAGAGTAAAAACGGTCGACTTACAGGTCTAAGGAACCAGAAAAGCACACATTACCTTCATAGCCGAGTTTAGTCATTTCTGCCTGAAGCTTCTCCCTGCATCTTCTCACTGCCTGAAGGCTCTCCTGGTCTTTCTTGTAGCCGCTGTCCATCTTTTTCACCTCTGCCTGTTTGGACTTCAACTCAGCCTGGGAGTGTTTCAGTGTCATCTGAGCCTGAGCAGTCAAACAGAAGTTTTACTGGAAAATGAAAGACTATGTGAACTGTATGTTTGTGACCAAAGACCCAGAAGCTGAAACGCTCCTCTGCTCACCTGCTTGGCCTCGGTGTCGGCCTTGCTCATGTCGTTCTTGCAGGTCATCATCTGCCCTGCGAGTGTGGCCTCCTCTCCATCCTCGTTGCTGGAAAGACCTGCAGAAACAGCCTTGAAGTGCTGCTCAGCCGCCTCCAGAGCCTTACTGTCCTTCTGTCCTTCCTCCTGGAGAGCCTGGAGCTGCTCAGCCAACTTTGAAACCTCCTTCTCCTTTACGACAAGCATTTTTTTGTCCTAGCGATTAAAAAGAGAAAGGTTTGGTTTAAGAATAACCTTTTCAGGCTCACCTTTATTGTGTGATTTGGTTTACGTAAACACATTTTTGACTGAGTTACCTCCTCCATGCTCTTTACAAGCTCCTTCCTCTTCTTGGTTTCATCTTTGAGGTTCTGTTTCTTCAGGTCCAGTGCACTCTGAGCTTTAGTATCGACACGCTGTACATCAGCTAGAGCATCCTCCAAGGATTTTAATACTCCATTCACTTCCTTTAAACAAACACAGCAAAGGTACAGTTATCCTGTTGAAAACTTAAAGACAAACAAATAGCCTCAGCCTGCAGATTCATACCTGATCTTTTTTCTTCTGCAGCTCTGCGATCTGAACCGAAAGCTCCTGAATTTTGCTCTCGTTCTCAGCTATGCTGGCCTGCATCTTGGTAAGGTTGTCCTGCATCACCTTCAGATTCTCTGCCGACTTCAGCTTGGTCTCCTCTGCGCACACAAACAGCCAGGCCACATAAAGCCGTGACAGATGCTGGATCTCACGCATCAGCTTCTGGTACTCCAAGAACGATGATCGTTCCTAAAACGAAGGGGGATCAGAGAGAACGAACGCAGGAAAGAAAACAGTAAAATCCATCACCATTCAACCGCTGCAGGAATCATGAGTTGGATTATTATGGTTGGCTTACCTCTTGCAGTTTTTGCATGGTTGGAGTAATTTCTTCCTTTAGAATCTAAAAGTAAACACAAGGTATAGTTAGCTACAGAAAACCCTCCACTATAAAGATTCAGTTAGACCTTGGATGACGTACAGTCTGAATCTCCTTGAGCTTGGCTTCCTTCTTCTCTATTGTCTTCTGGGCGCTGATCTTTTTACATTCATACATCCTGGTACCTGCTGCCTCTTCGATCATGGCGAGGATCTGAAGGAGGAGAACTTATAAAATCCAAAACGATATAAAATACGTGCTTCAGACGAGTTTTTCCGTGTACGGGTTTACCTCTGGAGGCTTCATATTTAGAACCTTGGTGATTCTTCCCTAAAGAAGTGAAACAAGACCGAGATCTACACGTCAGGTGTCTAAACGTGATCCGTTAGGGTTTAAAGGCTAAAGATGATGCGCAAAGCCGACCTGCATGATGAGGAAGTGTGGGTTGTTGACGTTGAGGCCAACAGAACAGAACAAGTCCTGCACCCTGGTGTTATTGGCATTCACGCCATTGATGAGGTACTTGTTCCTGCCACCTATCACCACCTGGAAGAAACAAACGGATCATATTCTAACGCTGCAATAAATAAATAAAATATAGCACATTATTTTGGCGTGCTTCTGTACTCACCTGTCTGGTCACCGTGATCTCATCGTGAGTTTCAAACCCCAAAGGACTCAGGCTTTTGTTGGAATTGTCAAAAGTAATAGAAACAGTGGCCTTAGTGATGCCACCCTGCCCATTTTTGTACACCAGGTCCTGAAGGTTGGAGGCTCGCACCTACCGCATAAAATTAAAACAAAAAATTTCACTGAACATTTTTTTGTTTGTTTAGCACACACTCACGCGACCTCTAAATTCATTCATATAAAAACAAAAGTAAAAACTCTTACGTGGGAGAGGTTCGAGATGCCTAAAAGGAAACAAATAGAGTCCAAAATATTGGACTTGCCGCTGCCGTTTAGCCCTGTGATGGCATTAAAAAGCGGGTCAAAGCCGTTAATCTCTGTCCTCTGCGCGTACGATTTGAACCCTTCGAGGATAATAGACTTGATGTGCATCTTTCCGTTCTCTTTCCGCTGATTCCAGGCGCAATATCTGTCTGAGTTACTAACTACAGAGTCAAAATGTGAGTCGCTCGTAGCCCAGTGTTTACAACCGATAGTCCTACTTGAATTTTGGCGGCAGACAAGCGTGGAGGAGCTGGAAGTGCACCCTTTACGAAGCCGGAACAAAACGGACAAAACAATATTAATACAACACCAAAAAAAAGTGGGAAAAACGTAATATTTTACAAATATGATTAGTTAATGATGGTTCTTTTAGAGGCTTAATTTAAAGTATCAGATGATTTAAAATTTATAATACCATCGATTGTTTTTGACAGGCATATTTTCAGACTACGAAAAGTGTCGAGCGCCTTCTGTCTGAAATATTGCCCTTGCACGCAGTTGAACATCGCCCTCGTGAGGCGATTTGGTGACATTTCATCCTGTGCCTTCCATAGAAATCTGCTGTGTACAAAAAAATCCCAGTAATGTCTCTGGAAGTGAAGCAGAGATAAAACCAGAGTGAACATTGGCTTGTTCTTACAGTAGTTTGAGGAAGCTGAAGGAGGCTACAAAATCACAGACTTGTAAGAAATAATACCTTTTGTCCAACAGTGTGGACGCTATTACTTTATGGTTTAATTAGCTCGTTGTTAGCACAAGTTACAGCAGGGTTGTTCCAGAACTGCGCTGCTCTAGGTGGCTGCATGTTGGAGTAGCTCTGTTGACTATATGTAAGTTTTGCCCTTTTTTGGACATTTTTTCTTCAAGTTTCTCAAGAAAAACTGTTTTTTTTTTTTTTGGACATTTTACTTTTCTGTTTCTGGTGCTGTGAAGCTTAGAGGATTTTTAGTGCTATTTTTTCACTTTTTGAGCATTTGTTACGCATCAGCGTAACCATGGCAACAAGCTGGTTACAGAGCAGCTAATTAACATTGGAAAGGCTGAAATAATACCTCAACTGAAGCCACAAATCCCAAATGAGCTAAAACGCAACCCTACTTATATAGTTTATCAGCAAAAAAAAAAAAAAAAGGTTGATTTGGGGGTGAGTTGCTCTTTAAGCTAGATCATTAACAATGATCTCAGAGATTGTTGGGTTAGAAAGTCGACAAGTTTTATATTTGACATCATTCTGCACTCTGCTGACCAAACATCACACTTGACCGTTTTGTGAAGCAGGTAGGTGGCGTATAGAGGGAGCTCTTTACCTGCATTCCCAAGAACGCGCCTAAAGACGCGTGGTGATAGGGCTTTTGCTGTGGCAGGTCCTAAGCTTTGGAATAAGATTCCTCTCAGCATAAGGGCCTCCACCTCTGTTGCGGTTTTTAAGGCAAGGCTAAAAACATATTTTTATGACCTGTCTTTTAACCTTTCTAACTAGTTTTATTGTTTTACTTATAGCGATTTTACTCACTGTAGTTTTATCTGTATTGTGTGATGCAATGTTTTATTTTCTGGACTTAGTGTTTTATGTTTTTATTTGATCAGTGTAGCGCCTTGGTGGCATCTTCTTGCCTGTAAGGCGCGATTTATAAATAAAGTTGAGTTGAGTTGAGTTGAGTTGCATTATGATTGTTAGCTGTAATGCTAGCGATTAGCATTTTCAGTTTGCATATCATCAATAAAAAGCACAAGAAGAAGAAAAAGACGAAGTTTGCATTTTCTGTTTGCACCGTAGCCGGAAGTAAAAGTAAGAGAGTAATGTCTTTGGAAGCGAAGCAAAGATAAAACCAGAGTGAACATTGGCATGTTCTTACAGTAGTTTGAGGAAGCTGAAGGAGGCTACAAAATCACAGACTGATGGTGACCTGTCTTTGTTGCTACCGGACTTGTAAGAAATAGTACCTTTTGTCCAACAGCGTGGATGCTATTACTTTATGGTTTTAATTAGCTTGTTGTTAGCACAAGTTACAGCAGGGTTGTTCCAGAACTGCGCTGCTCTGGCTGCATGTTGGAGTAGCTCTGTTGACTATATGTAAGTTTTGCCTTTTTTTGCACATTTTTTCTTCTAGTTTCTCAAGAAAAACTGTGTGTGTGTGTGTGTGTGGGGGGGGGGGGGGGGTACATTTTACTTTTCTGGTGCTGTGAAGCTTAGAGGATTTTTAGTGCTATTTTTTCACTTTTTGAGGATTTGTTATGATGTGTAACCATGGCAACAAGCTGGTTTACAATCGGGAGCAGCTGATTAACATTGGAAAGGCTGAAATAATACTTCAACTGAAGCCACAAATCCCAAATGAGCTAAAACGCAACCCTACTTATATAGTTTATCAGCAAAAAAAAAAAAAAAAAACGCCTGGGAACGCCTGGCAGAAGAACCTGTCAAGACGGTCTTCAACTCCCACCTCCGGCAGAGCTTTGACCACGTCCCGAGAGCAGTGGGGGACATTGAGTCCGAGTGGGCCTTGTTCCACTCTGCGATTGTCGAGGCGGCTGTTGCTAGCTGTGGTCGTAAGGTGGCCGGTGCCAGTCGTGGTGGCAACCCCCGTACCCGCTGGTGGACACCAGAGGTTCGGGGAGCCGTCAGGCTGAAGAAGGAGGCCTACAGGGCGTGGCTGGTCTGTGGGTCTCCGGAGGCAGCAGACAGGTACCGGATAGCCAAGCGGGGTGCAGCAGTGGCAGTTGCCGAGGCAAAATCTCGGGCGTGGGAGGAGTTTGGTGAGGCCATGGAGAAAGACTATCGATCGGCTCCAAAGAGGTTCTGGCAAACTGTCCGGCGCCTCAGGAGAGGAAGGCAGCAACTCGCTCACACTGTTTACAGTGGGGATGGGGAGCTGCTGACGTCAACTGAGGCTATAGTCGGACGGTGGAAGGAATACTTTGAGGAGCTCCTCAATCCCACCAATGCGCATTCCGAGGAGGAACCAGAGCTGGGAGGCCTGGGGATGGACTGTCCGATCTCGGGGGCAGAAGTTGCTGAGGTAGTCAAACAACTACACAGCGGCGGAGCCCCGGGGGCGGATGAGGTTCATCCTGGGTATCTCAAGGCTATGGATGTTGTAGGGCTGTCATGGTTGACACGTCTCTACAACATTGCGTGGTCATCGGGGGCAGTTCCTAGGGAGTGGCAGACCGGGGTGGTGGTCCCCATCTTTAAGAAGGGTGACCTGAGGGTGTGTTCCAACTATAGGGGGATCACACTCCTCAGCCTCCCTGGAAAGGTCTACGCCAAGGTACTGGAGAGGAGGGTCCGATCGATAGTTGAATCTCAGATAGAGGAGGAGCAATGTGGTTTTCGTCCTGGCCGTGGAACTGTGGACCAGCTCTATACCCTTGCAAGGGTGATGGAGGGGGCATGGGAGTTTGCCCAAGCAATCCACATGTGCTTTGTGGATTTGGAGAAGGCTTATGACCGTGTCCCCAGGGGCATCCTGTGGGGGACGCTCCAGGAGTATGGGGTGGGTGGCTTTCTGTTAAGGGCCATTCAGTCCCTTTACCAGAGGAGCGTGAGTTTGGTCCGCATAGCCGGTAGTAAGTCGGACCTGTTCCCAGTGAGGGTTGGACTCCGCCAGGGGTGCCCTTTGTCACCGGTTCTGTTCATCACTTTTATGGACAGAATTTCTAGACGCAGCCGTGGTGTGGAGTGTGTCGAGTTTGGTGGCAGGAGAATCTCGTCTCTGCTTTTTGCGGATGATGTGGTCCTCCTAGCTTCATCCAGCTCTGACCTTCAGCTCTTGCTGGGTAGGTTCGCGGCCGAATGTGAAGCGGCTGGGATGAGGATCAGCACCTCCAAATCTGAGACCATGGTTCTCGACCGGAAAAGGGTGGCTTGCCACCTCCGGGTCGGGGGAGAGGTCCTACCTCAAGTGGAGGAGTTTAAGTATCTCGGGGTCTTGTTCATGAGTGAGGGTAGGAGGGATCGGGAGATCGACAGGCGGATTGGTTCGGCGTCTGCAGTGATGCGGACGCTGAGCCGATCTGTCGTGGGGAAGAGGGAGCTGAGCCAGAAAGCCAGGCTCTCGATTTACCGGTCGATCTACGTCCCAATCCTCACCTATGGTCATGAGCTTTGGGTAATGACCGAAAGAACGAGATCGCGGATACAAGCGGCCGAAATGAGTTTCCTCCGTAGGGTGGCCGGGCTCAGCCTTAGAGATAGGGTGAGGAGCTCGGACATTCGGGAGGGACTCGGAGTAGAACCGCTGCTCCTCCGGATCGAAAGGAGCCAGTTGAGGTGGTTTGGGCATCTGGTCAGGATGCCTCCTGGACGCCTCCCCGGGGAGGTGTTTCGGGCATGTCCTGCCGGCAGAAGGCCCCCGGGTCGACCCAGGACACGTTGGAGAGGTTACATCTCCAATCTGGTCCGGGAACGCCTTGGGGTCCTGCTGGAGGAGCTGGTGGACAAGGCCGGGGAGAGGACGGCCTGGAGCTCCCTAATTGGGATGCTGCCCCCGCGACCCGGACCCGGATAAGCGGAGGAAGACGAAGACGAAGACGAAAAAAAAAAGAGGTTGATTTGGGGGTGAGTTGCTCTTTAAGCTAGATCATTAACAATGATCTCAGAGATTGTTGGGTTAGAAAGTCGACAAGTTTTATATTTGACATCATTCTGCACTCTGCAGACCAAACATCACACTTGACAGTTTTGTGAAGCAGGTAGGTGGCTCATAGAGGGAGCTCTTTACCTGCATTATGTTTGTTAGCTGTAATGCTAGCGATTAGCATTTTCAGTTTGCATATCATCAATAAAAAGCACAAGAAGAAGAAAAAGACGAAGTTTGCATTTTCTGTTTGCACCGTAGCAGAGCCCGGAAGTAAAAGTAAGAGAGTTTCTTTGGAAGCGAAGCAGAGATAAAACCAGAGTGAACATTGGCATGTTCTTACAGTAGTTTGAGGAAGCTGAAGGAGGCTACTAAATCACAGACTGATGGTGACCTGTCTTTGTTGCTACTGGACTTGTAAGAAATAATACCTTTTGTCCAACAGTGTGGATGCTATTACTTTATGGTTTAATTAGCTTCGAGTACTTTTCAATAAAAAGCACAAGAAGAAGAAAAAGACGAAGTTTGCATTTTCTGTTTGCACCGTAGCAGAGCCCGGAAGTAAAAGCAAGAGGGAGGCCATGATTTACTAAAATACGTTAAAACGTTGTGCTCTTGAAAAGCATGCCGTTTTACACCAAGGCAGTAAAGAAAATGTTATTTTAAACCAAGGTTGTAGATATTAAGAACAACTGAGACTGTTTTTAATTTAATCAAGTACAAAACAGCATTACAATGTTAGAAAAAAAAAACAAGTCAAGTGATGATAAATATTTTATTTAGGTTTGTTTTTTGGTTAAAAGGAACCAAAAACCACAACTTCAATGTTTTAAAATGCAAAGAACGATTTACTGTGGCACCTGCCTTGCATGCAAGCATACATAAATGCTAAATAACACAATATTCTTCATCTAAGAAAAGAAAATAATACCAGTATTCACAATTTTCAAATGGTCTTCTACAATTTCTTTGATTTTACAGTGAAATTCAAATCGGTGTACACAAAAGCATGCTCATTGCAGTTGGAAAACAAAGGTGAAAAAGGTAGAAAACACAGTTATTAAGAAATGCCGATCTGTTTAAAACCTGTATATGTCACACACACACACACACACACACACACACACACACACACACACACACACGCACGCACGCACGCACGCACGCACGCACACACACACACACACACACATTTAGCAGGATATTATTGCAAAACATCAATAATGCTCTAATAAAGCCCTCCCTTATAACAACTTCCATCGACCCGAGATATTTACAATGCATCAGCTACGGGACACATAGACAGGCAAACCAAGTTGCAGGCATAGAGGCATATCTTTGACAGAACTATACAGTCCCCTCTGTTGTAGTAGTAGGTGGTGGGCTTGATGTAGGCATAGTCAAAGTTCTGCAGATTCAATGAGCTCTGACAGTACTGGTCACTAAGGGCAACCAGGGCACGCACCATGGTGTATTTAGCTGAGCAGCTCACAGCCGTTATCGGGCGCACCTCATCAAAGTGCAGCAGGAAACAGGGGTCATCCTGAGGGCAAAAAAACCTTCCTGTTAGCATCTGTTTGGTTTTTAGGTTAGATGTTGTTTGATTTCATGACATTTAGAGTTATTTTACATTTCTTGTAGTTCCTTGTTGCTTAGCTTGTTGTTGTGTCTCATCTGATAATTAGCTCACCTGTCTCACCTTAGGAACCGCCCACCCCAGTACCCGCAGTTTCAGATTTATTGGATGCTTGCTGGGTTTTCTCTTTGCAAGTTTCACCTTGTACCTAAATATTAAAGTCTCTTATCCTAACCGTATAACCTGAGAGGGAGCTTGGCGAGGGGTGTGAGATATTAATTGTAGAAAAAATGTTTTTGAAACAAAATGTTTCTTTTAAAACCCAGACGCAAAGCTGAACAAAGCCACTTCAAAACTCCAGCATGAACCTAAAAATGGTGATTTCACAGATTTACTCATAGTATTAGAGATGACTAGTTGAGATTTATGGGATTATTTTTTACCTCAAAACAACAAAAAGGTGCTGTTTCCTACAAAATACATACTTACGATCTCATATTTGGCATGAATTTAGCAGAAAAGTGAATGTTTTCTGTAACTTTCAGTCCAGCGGAGCAACTTCAACCCTAGAAGTGATAGTTAAATCACTATAGAGCATATTTTACACCCTATAATCTTTTGAAGTGTGCATTAAACTAAAATGTGAATACTTATTGAACTAAAACAATTCTTAAATATAAAGGGATGTTTGAATAAAAGTTTAATTAAAATTAATACTATTTTCACACTGATATTACCAACATTACATCACAACCTTCATCGCCCAAACTGAAAATAAGACACTTCAAAAGATATTTTCAGTGTGTGAAAGTCAGAGATAAGATATCATCACATGAATCTAATTTAAACGGTCAAATGATTTCTAATCAGATTATTTTACCACATCAGGGTCTCGTCCATCAACGAGGGTCAAGTCCTGCAGGGACCAGGTCTCCATCTTCTTGTAGCAGTCCTGGATGCTGGAGCGTTGGGTCTGGGACTTCTTGGAGCCAGACTTTTGGGCTGTCACAAACACCTGGCACTGCACCACGCTTACCTGCACTACCTTCTTGGGTCCAACTACAAAACAGGAAATACCTTTTTCTTAATAAATGAAATCCAGCTCCACTGGGCGGTGCCAACAACAAAACAAAACAGTCAAATTCCAGTTTATTTACCCGAGACACACAGAAAATGCCGTCCCAACGTCGGCTCTTCGATCTCGATAAACTCCACAAGTCTGTGTTTAGCAGGTCGGAATAAAACCCTCTGCATCTCTTCTCTTAACAGAGAAGACATGATGAAAAGTTCCACCAAAAAATAAAAAAATAAAGAAAGAAATATTAATAGGAGGAGAAAAAAAAGCCAAGTAAGAAAGGAGATGTGGAAAATAATCTGTTGATGGTGACTGGAGGAGCCTGGGGTCTGGCAGTGGAAAGGAGGGAGGGTGGTGATGTTTCCTCTGATCAGATGGTGAGAAAATCTGTGGTTATGGTGTGTGTGTGTGTGTGTGTGTGTGTATCTAGCCACATTTGACAACCCTTATTTGATTGAGTTAATGTTTTCATATCAGCTCACTCACAGGGGGGGGGGGGGGGGGGGAATAAGTGCCAAAGAAGGCAATTAAAGGCCAACCCCTTCATCTGTTTACCTTTTTATTGCTCCAGTTATGATCCATTAGGATTTTAGGAAGGTATCCAGCAAAGGCTTCCCATAAACATGTATTTTTTTCAGCAAGACAACACAAACCATTGTTTTGTGTTTTGGGGGTTGGGTACGCTCACTTGTAGCGCACACAGACGGCGTCCTGCAGTCACTCTGTCTCCATCTCTCACTTACATATAGACACCTGATATATAACGTGGCACGGTGCCCGCTGTTTGCCTGTGATTAAACGGTTGTTGTGTGGGAAAAGGATGTCCCACAGCACTCTACATGGCGTCCATTACTCTGTTGTAATTCAATCTCTTAGAATGGATACTAGTGAGGTGAAGCACTTAGGTGAGCAGGTGGTAGAAGTGGAGAAGTTGTTTTTTTACAAGCTCACAAAAGTTGCAATGCTTCTTCAGTGGCTCCATAAACTCCCGTCACTACAAAAACACCGTAGAAAAAAGGTATTTTAGGCGTGGCTTTGTGAAAAGATTCTCAAAACAGGATTCTTCTTTAAGCAAATCCACGCCGACACAAACCAGAGCCTCGCACTGATCTGATTTCTTTGCTGGAAAGAGGCTCCATTGGATATGTCACATTTGGGAGAACAAAGATCAGTTTTTTTTTGTCTCCACCGCTAAGTGCTTTCTTGTTGTTGTTATTGTCGGTGGGTTTTGTGGATGTTCACTTGAAAAGCTTTTTGTCTCTGAGATGGAAAGACGAGCGGATGGGCAGGAAGCAGAGAGGAAAAGAAAACATACAAGTGTTGAAACCTATGAATAACACATGAGGTTTATTGTACTTACCTATCGTCTCAGAATAACAGCAGAGTGGCTTTAGTAATGTATACTGGCATGCACGAGAATAAAAGTCACAACGATTTCTTATTTATGATAGGAACTATAAAAGATAATGGAGATCCCTTTGGTGAGTTACTCGATTACAAGCTCATTTCCTGTAAGTTGTGACATCATGTAAAATATCCAAATAATCATGCAAGTTTTGGATTTATTTGACAGCATAACAAGTTCTAAAAGGGGAGGGGTCCAACGCAGACAAGGGATGAATAAACTGAAGGCGGTCAGGAAGAGCTGCATTAACACCCAACCACATCGTGGAGGAGAAGACGCTCTCTGGGTCCAAGAACACTTAAAAACCATCATCAAGAAGCACATTCAGGCACCAAACCCACAAATGCACAGTAAAGGTCAAGTCGAAGTTGTGCAACGACAGCAAAAATAATCAATTTAGAAATTCTGCAAGTTGTTCTGAGTGAAAATAAAAAGACTGAATTGTTAAAAAAAAGATCAAAATTGTTTTGGAGATCATGGACAGTGTGTCTCCTGGACCATCTTGTTATATTCTGCACACTTTAAGTTTAATTAGACATGAAACATGAAGAGTACAGATGGGTGTGAGAGGAAAAAATAACAACAGAAAGAGTAAAAACAAAACAGAAAATGTTAGGATTAACATACGTGGAAGGAAAAATGACAGAAAAAATAACAAAACTGAGAGAATAATTTAATTCACTATAGGGGACAGGAGATTACTTATAAGACACGATTTTAAAAATAAACGAGATCCCTGTCATCATTTGGAAAAAGTGCAGATTGAAATCTCATCCTAACCATTTTCCTCCAGGAGGGGGCGGTATTGTCCCAAACAAATAAAATATGCAAACAAACTAAGATTTCTGATCCTGATGCACATGATCTGTTTTCTAAATCTGGTGACTACCTCCAGCGGTCAATGGGACACCCTGGACAGAGAGCCAGTCCATCTCAGGATATAGACTACAATTAATTTTAAATTTTATGTTGATTTTATCTCACAGTTTTCATTGGTTCACTTTTTCCCTTGTTTTACACATTTGTCTTCTACTATAATGTTTCACCTTTTTTTAAATTTGTAAATCTGTAATTTGAATTGCTTTTATTTTCTGATTTATTCACTTTCTTTAACTTTGTACTGTACCATGTTCAGCGCCTTGGGCTTCCTGACAGGGTTGCGGAAGGCGTTTTATAAATAAAGCTTTGATTGATTGATTGATTGATTGAAATGAAGTCAGCTTCAAGCCAGAGCTCAGTGTCACCATTAGCTTTTATGCTAAAACAGTGAGCAGTCCTGACAACGAACTTGTATGGCAAGCTAATAAATTATTTAATAGTTGCATAGGATATTAAAAACCTTCATTAATCATCGTCAGGGGCTTCCTTTCGAGTCACAATCACGATAACATTATATGTTTGTGTTCGTATATCAACCAAAACTTTGTTTTCATACAGAATGAACACATGTGAAATAAGTCTTGAGAATACTTTTTAGACGTGTTCTGTGATGATGATAACAAGATTCACTAAATTACTGAAAACTCCAGAAGACACGAACTGAAACAACTTGTCCCACTAGGAAGCATGAGGGCTGATATATGTAAAAAAGGTTGTTTTAATTTTACATTTCTGCTAAGTTTATTCTAATTAGATGCACCAATTTTGATTTTGAGACAGAATACGGATTAAAGTACAGCTCTGACATATCTGACAAATTCCAATTAAACTGAAATAACCAATTAATACAGTTTGATTTTCATAACCAAGATCTAAGTTGAAAATTAGGACTGAGAAATTTAAAAATTGTCCTCGTACGGAAGAGGATTGGGGAAAAAATTCTGACTTTTTGACTTCTGAGAAAAAAGTCAGAAAACGTCACAATTCTTAGAATAAAGTCAAAATTATGTTATTTAATTTCTATCCACTGGCCCTAATCCTCTTCTGTATGCATTCAATGAACAGATAAAACCTGATTTTAGTGATTCAGACAAGTCAATCAATACAAAAGTCAGTCGTGTTGAGATGGCAATAAATAAATAATTACATAAGTAAATGTTGAGTACTTTAATCTTATTTTTTCTGTTTTTTTTAAACAATTACGTTTTAAATCATTTTACTTTCTATTGTGCTTGTGAAGCGCCAGGAGACTTTTATACACAGATGTTTTGTAAAAACATTTCTCTTCTACTATGCAAATTTTTCCACAGTCAGTCTAACCACAGGAGCGTGTCCAGGGAGTGGCAAATGCCACCCTTGAAATCTGATTGGCCACCCCAGGTGCCACCACACTGAATTCCCTTTAAATAGGCTTTTCATTGTCCACAAAAGGCTTGGGGTAAAAAAAAAAGCATAACCATTGGTGCCACCCATGCACAAAGTGGTGCCTCACCTGGGCCACCCCATTTTAAAGATCTGGACACGCCACTGTCTAACGAACATCTACATCTTGGAAATCAGCCTTAGATGTCGTTGTGGAGATCTATAAAATTATTTACTTTTAAACTATAACAATGTTAAATTAAATATACATTCAATATAATTTATGACGAGAGGATATGTGGTTGTAATAGAGATGTTGTTACTCATTCAAAAAAAAGACCCTATCTGAATGGGAAGGGCGCTAAAACGCGGAGTCATTTCCCCTTCGGAGATCACTCAGCGGTTCCCTCCGATCCAGGCTACTGTACTAGTAAACTAGTGCGCCCTACTGTCTCCATTGCGCATGACTGTACGTCGTATAATATGAAGTAGGCCTCCTGTTTTTCCTCCTCAGCCCGAAGTCCTCCCCGGCCCCCTCCACCTCGATGTAACGCTCTAGTAAGCAAAACACGGAGACTGCAGTCGAGAACCGGCGAAGGTAAGGGTTTTTATTGTAAATATGACGCTTTAGCTGTGGTTTGGTGTTGGAATATGGCACAGTTGCAGTTTGAGAGCGGTGTTGTTGTTTTTAGCGTGCGGAAGCGGTCGGACTGCAGAGCAGGCTTCGGGACTGTTTCGGCACGCTCGAAGGCCCAGTGACCCACATTCGGAGCTGCCAGTTTGTGTGTGTGTGTTCGAGTGCGCGTGCGCCTACCCTCCTCCTCGGTGTGTGTGTGTGTGTGTGTGTGTGTGTGCGCGCGCGACCGTGTTCTCTCGTGTGTGTATGTGTGTGTGTGTGTATATACCTACATCTGCCGCGAAAAATGTTTCCACAATCGCTGGTTTTGGGCATTTCGCGGCCGCTGGTGCTTTTTTTGTTGTCGGTTTGCTGTTGAGGACGTCCTCTCGTGCGAGTACATCTTGTCTCGCGGCGTTTGTGGCGCTACGGTTATAATTCAGAAGATTATATTGTCTTCAATGTCAGTTCAGTTGTTGCGTGACAGCTCCAGGCGCGGCGCCAGCCTGCAATGATTGAGACTCATTTTCCTGTTTCTTCCACAAACGTGTCTCCGTGGCCGTCACCGCATCGAGTGTTGCGGGAGGAAACGCCACAGCGCTAAATCTCCAAGTTAAATGGACACTTGGGTAGCCAGCTCAGTTAGCCTGCTAGCCTGCTAAATGGGTTGCTCTCTCTTTGTGGTTGTATAACAACACCTGTGGCACTAAAAGGTACGTTAAATCATCTCTTAGCGAATGGCTGTTTGTGATAGGCAGCACCGCTGCGGACAAATTAATATTTATTCATTCGTTTCTGTAGCTACGTGAAGAAACGGCTTCACTTGTTGGCCATCAGTTCCTGACTAGGTCAGCATCCCAAAAAACTCTACAGTGGTTTAATGAACTATGAATGCTGAAAATGAAGGTGGTATAATATTTGAGTGTTATCAGTAGGGGTTTAAGTCAACGTGACCTTCCTGTCTAGTTTTTTTTATTTCATCTTAATGTTTTCAAAGCTTTTGCTGAGCGGGATTCTTTGGTGAATGATGGATTCATTTTTTTCTGTCTGCGTCCTCGTAAATCGCCATGAATTAGGTTGATAATTTAGGGAACTTCTCCCTCCTTTTTTAATTTATGTTTTGAGTCTCTCAGCTCATGTGATAAGGTTTGTGTTGAGTGTAGTAGACCTGGGCAATTGATTGCATTTGTATTTCAGTTTCAATTTTGGCTCCAAACCATCACAAAATAACGAAACCAACTAAAGCAAGTATTATTGAAAAGGTTTTGTGACTTCTACTTTGCAAATTTGTTATTTTACCAAGCCCCTTCCCCGTCCGAGGGCAAGATTTGCATGCAAATTGATGTTTGAAAAAATGAAGATGGCAGAATGAAGGCAAAATACACTGGCGAGTCCATAGTCGGTTATGACTCGGTTATGACTCCCACACAATCTGTGATGCTGAATTCTGTACAATGTGTCTACACTGTTCTACTAACAAGCCTAGATGCTTCAGAAAAACATATTTAATTGGCCTTGCCACCTGACGCGAAACGTCCACAAAACATAGTATGCTGCACTTGGGCAAAGTAGCTTTACTTGTATAGCACATTTCTTGAGCAGAAACAATTCAATGTGCTTTACAGGTGCACAAATGTAAAACATTAACAACAACAGCAGCTTTTAAAATCAAATTTAAAATACACAAACCAACATTAGATTAAATATAAATACACAAATAAATTAGATGTAAGATTTAAATAAAAAGGCAAAGTTCGAGGTTGAGCAGTTATAATGCAGGTGCAGCATGAGAAACAGATAAATACATGAAAGTTTTCCATTTTAATTTAAAAGTTGCTAGAGTTGGGACACATTTGAGGTCATGTGGAAGCTGATTCCATTTGTGTGCAGCATAGTAGCTGAAATAGCTTTACCCTGTTTGGTTCTGACCCAGGGTTCTACCGGCTGACTGCTTCCTAAGGATCTCAGCGCCCTGCTGGCTGTATATACTGCAAGGAGATCCAAAATATATTTTGGCCCCATGCCACTGAGTGGTTTATAAGCTGGAAGAAGCACTTTGAAATGGACTGTGTCGTTTACCGGTAGAGAGTTAAGAACAGGAGTGATGTGCTCAGTTCTCTTGGTTCTTGTTTAGACTCTACCAGCAGAATTCTTAATAAGTTACAGTTGCTTCAAAGCTTTTTTGGACAGACCAGGCAAATTAGCCTCTTTTATAGTGGGTGGGTGCGTTTAAACTGCTGCAAAGTGTCACCTTTTGGACGTGTCCCAGAGGCGTTGGGACTAGGGTTGTCACGGTAACCGGTGCAAATGATAATGAATGACCCGCACCTGTATAGCGCCTCTCAGAGTAAGGACTCCAAAGCGCTTTACACTACAGTGTATCATTCACCCATTCACACACACATTCACACACTGGTGATGATGAGCTATGATGTGGCCACAGCTGCCCTGGGGCACACTGACAGAGGCGAGGCTGCCGAGCACAGGTGCCACCGGTCCCTCCGACCACCATCAGCAGGCAAGGTGGGTTAAGTGTCTTGCCCAAGGACACAACAGCAGAATTCTCTTTGAACCTGCAACCTTCCGATTACTGGACAACCCGCTCAACCTGTTGAGCTACTGCTGCCCAAGTATGTAGCGGGAAACCCCGGTAAAAAGAGTTGACAATAATAATAATAACGGTCTTGTTTTTTAAAACATATATTATCTTGTTGGATTAGCGTGGCTGCGGTGTAGGCGCGGTGACCCTTACCAGCCACTGTATCATCTGCTGAAGTTGCCGGCGGCACATGCGCACTTTGCTGTTTACAGCCAAAACTTTCTTGAAGCTAAAGCTGAAATAATGGCCAAAGGAGGAGACGGCAGCGCTCAGGACATTTATTATCCCTCAAAGAAGACAAAGTGGGAAGTACGGGCGTTTTTTGGATATTTGAAGAATGCCGAGGGACAGCTGATAGAAGACGGCTATCCTGTTTGCAGCACGTGCAGAAAAAGTGTCTGTGAAAGGCAGCAATGCTTCAAATCTCATGACACATCTGCGTGACCATCACCCACAACTCTACAGTCAACTCAAGGCAAGCTAACGTTAGCGTTTTAGCTAAAATGCGTGATCCGAGGATTTGGGTTGAGGGAGAATGCAACGAGTCGCTATATAAAGCAGCCGCAGCGCCGCTACCTGCATATAAACCGTGTCGCGGACACCCCCATGTTGAAATGACGCTATGCATTACGGGGCTTCCAGGGGCAGATAAGAGCTGGTCTCTCCGAGAATAATTATGAATTTAACAATGATTACTGCCTGATGACATTTCCCCACATCTGCAAAGCTCACTGGAAGGACACAAACCGAGGACAATATTTTCCTGATATAGGGTTTATTACTCAAGTAAGGGTAAAAAAGTATCTGATTAGAAGGCTACTTGAGTACTGAGTATCATCTGATCTAATATTTTTAAAATGATGACATCAAACAGACAAAAAATAAGAAGTTATGGGCAAATATTGGTATTTTAAAGACTAAAGGGGAAAAATGTAAACAAATAAATAAACAACATAATTACAAAATAACAAATTTTAGGTAAAATTTAGACACAAACTGAGGACAATATTTTCCTGATATACAGGGTTTATTTAGTTGTCTGAAAATGTAGCACGTTTAAAAAAAATACCGCGATAATACCGAAAACCGTGATAATTTTGGTCACAATAACCATGAGGTTAAATTTTCACACCGTGACAACCCTAGTTGGGACATTTCACATGCTAGGCTTCCACAATGCATCAAGCACAGCAGCTGAGATCAAACCAGACAGTAAGTGAAACATCAACATGCGTATAACATCCGGAAACTTCAAAATAAAAGTCTTGTGCGGATTTCCAGTTGCTTTACCATTTTAAAAAGTACGTCATTACTTGTTGTGAGTTTTTTGTAGCTGCGGTAGAACAGAAAATAAACCACAAACCTGTTTGGATACATGCTACTGTGTTTTTTGCGTGAATTGCTTGCCCATTTCCTCATGGTGTTGCAGTTCTCTGGTGATTTTGCGACCTCAAAAAAGTAGCTGCATGAAACGCTTTTGCAGCTGTGTCACATGTAAAACACTCTCAGTGGGAAGGGAGCTCCCCCGCAAAACACGTCTATTATGTTAGCGTGTCTTACACATCCAGTGGAAAGGCTCTGTCTGCTTGGATTTCCAGGCTGCCATAGCAGCTCCTCTCTGCTTTTATAGCAGCACTCTGTCCATGTTTCTTTTTTCATGTGACTGATTGATCAAATAGAAGATTGCGTTTAATTATTTGGTGTTTTGATGTGTTTTGTCTCATAAATTATACTTTTAAAATTCAATCACCACTCTGGAGAAAGGACACAATGAAAAAATCTGCCATTAAAAATGTTCTGCTTCTAAGAGTCTTTGAGGATTTAAGACTACACATTTCTGATGGTATTGATTTGAAAATATGGGAAATTTTAGTAAAGTCTACAATCTAGAGTACTAGTGGATCATGCAAAGTGATGCTGTCATTCTCATATTTGAGAATGAGAAAATAGTGTATGCACAGTTGATGAAACATCTAAATGAATTTCAGGTAATGGACACCTGTCAGTCTGGTTTTAGAAAACAGCACAGCACTGAAACTGCTCACGTTCGGGTGTTTAATGACATTTTTCTGGCTTTAGTTTCAGGTTTCCATGTGGTTCTGGTACTTTTGGATCTATCTGCAGCATTCGACACGATCGATCATGACATTTTGATCACAAGACTTCACACTTGGGCTGGCATTTCAGGCACAGCCCTAGATTGGTTTAGGTCATACTTTTGTAACAGGTCTGCTAGGGTCATGTTGGACGGCTGTTCATCCGAGTCACAGCCTCTACGTTGGGGTGTCCCACAAGGTTCAATTCTCGGCCCGTTACTGTTCAACCTCTTTATACTGCCCTTAGGAGCCATTTTCAGAAAGCACGCTGTCTCATACCATCGTTATGCTGACGACTGTCAAATCTATTTTTCATTTAAGCCAACTCAATCAACGAAAGTTCTGTCTGATTGTATCCTTGAGGTCAAGCAATGGCTAGCTGATAACTTCCTCCATCTTAATGACTCCAAAACTAGGGCTGCTCGATTATGGCAAAAATAATAATCACGATTATGGTGACTGAAATTGAGATCACGATTATTTAGGACGATTTTTCAATTTATGTTGATTTTATTTGTTTTTATTCAGTCATAAAATTGCTCAGGGCACAATCAGGGCAAAAATAAATAAGAAACAAGATGATCACTAAAATAACTCCTGATTCCCAGTATAAAAAGACCAATATACTTACAGCAAATGACCCAAGGGCTATAGACCTTGGTTTAACTCATTTAAGTCTAACCAGTACAGACCCAAATACCAATATTTTGCAAATACTGACAGCAAGAATTATACAGTGGCATTTATAACAAATAAATGCAAATAAATTGATGTTCACAAAATGTTGCATAACATGTATTGAGTCGTGTCAAGGTGCTGTAGGAGAGTGCACTAGCACCGTGTCCTCAGAGAGATTAGTTATCAGCGTGAGGAACTTATTTCTACCTTATTTATAAACTATTTATTTACAAGTCCATCAGTTAATGTAATAATTGTCCCAACCACAGCTGCACCCCCCACCCCCCAACCCGGTCTCAGCAATCCGGGGCAAGCTGCACGTGTGTTTAGCACGCGCACATTTAGCCGTTTTTAGTGGCTCAGGAGTCCGCAGGTATGGTGTGTGTGTCACTCACTCTGGTTAATCCAACAAGGAGCTGGCTCCGAGAGCCGTTTCTGTAGCGACCGACACATCACTACATCATTCCCTTTCCTAATGTCCTGAAGAACGGTCCGGAGCGCAGGTGGAGTGTTTAGCTAACCTGCAGGAAATGTCAACGACAGTTATCCAGAAAGTAGCTAAGGGTTACCAGAGATGTTTCTGAGGTGTTCGCTAGGTACTTTCAGGATTAAAAAGTCAAGAAGGGGGTCTGAAAAGCTGCTAGAAATAGCGTCAAAGTCGCTAAGTTGGCAACACTGTGAGGAGCGCTTCATTTGCTACTCAGGGCAGCGCAAGCGGGAGGAGCAAATAATCGGCTTGTTTTGATTTTTATAATCGTTCAAAACTCAGATCGTAATCGTGATTTAAATTCGATTAATTGAGCAGCCCTATCCAAAACTGACTTAATCGTTTTCAGTCCTTACAGTACCATGGCTACTCATCAACCTGACCTCAACTATCTCTCACCTAATGTATCCTCTGTAATCTCCAACCTTGGAGTAAAAATGGACCAGGCTCTGAAGATGGATGCCCAGGTCAATAACACAGTTAAATCATGTTTTTACCAACTAAGACGCATCTCGAAACTAAAGCACATCCTGAGTGTCCGTCTTCTGAAATCCGTGGTCCACACTTTCATCACTTCAAGGCTGGATTACTCTAACTCCTGCTTATATGGCATCAGTAAAGCAGCTCTTTCTAGACTTCAGCTGGTCCAGAATTCAGCAGCTAGGTTGCTGACTGGAGCTGACAGAAGACAACACATTTCACCAATTCTGAAATCTCTCCACTGGTTGCCCGTGCAGTTCAGGATAAACTTCAAAATTATGCTTCTGACTTACAAATCCTTGAACCATCAAGCTCCTCCATATCTGTGTGAACTTGTCCATTACTACAACCCGCCGCGTGCTCTCAGGTCTGAAGATAAGCTCCTCCTAGCTGTTCCAAATGCACGTTTAAAAAGCCGTGGAGAAAGGGCTTTCTCTGTCTGTGCACCAAAGCTGTGGAACGCATTACCACTGCTAGTGAGGCAAGCACCAACAGCTAGCATTTTTAAATCACGCTTGAAAACTCACTACTTCAACCTAGCTTATACAACATAATTATGAACCTCACTCACATCTGCATTGTTTAAAAATGGACTTCACAATATCAACTTCCGTACTATTGAGGTTCTTTTTAAAAATGTTTTTCTAATTTTTTTATTCTCCCTGTGTCTTATTGATTTTTAGCTGTTAGTTTTGGGAATTTTGTTGTATTTCCTTTTTATCTTCTATCTGTGTTCGACATGTTTGTATAACGCCGGTTTAATTAACTAACATTTTTAGTGTACAGCGCCTTGTCTGGTTGTAAAGCCTTGTGAATGCGCTTATAAATAAAATTGGATTGGATTGGATATTTGGATGAGCTGCACTGATGTCAAACGAGTTTTACGCCGAAGAGGAGAAATAATTGCATTGTGTTTCACATTTCAAATGTGCTAAATAAATGTTATTTCAATGTTGACCAAAATAATCCTATGAGCTTTTCAAAAATCTAGCATCTCAAAGGTGTAGCATTCATCATCATCATTCTATAGGCATGCAGTAAGTTGGCGAAATAGTCTAGTCCAAATATTATCTGAGACTTTGAACTTTACTGTCTAACAGCGAAAAATTCCCAGATAGGGATAATTTGTTAATAGTTTGTGACATTATCAGTGATTTACTGTCTTTGCTGGTGAATTGTCAGTGTCTGAACTCTTTCTGAGTTTTTCTCTAAAACTATGTAGTTTTTTCAGTTTATTCAGTCACCTCTTGGGTTTTGTGTTTGTTTTTTATGTAAAATACTTTGTGTGCCTGCTTCTTTATTATGTAAATGTTATGCTTGTGTGTCTGTGAAGGTTCTCATGCTTGTGTGTGTTTCTGTGTGTCACAGTTACATTGAAGTGGGGAAATATTGAATCACTAGTTATAGATTCTCAACAATGCAGTTCTTACTAGGGATGGGTACCGAATTCGGTACTTTTTAAGGTACCGACCGAATTCCATAGTACCGGCCGAGCACCAATTCACGTCATTTCGAACGGTGCCTCGTTTCGGTACCCGTCCATCATAACGAGAACTTGCCAAGACAGCTGCGCATGCGCAAGAGCGTTATGTCGTCGGTCGCTGCGAGCAAGTTGTAAACAGAGCAGCATGGTAGAAAGAACGCACGCTAAAGCTTGGGTCCACTTCACTAAATGTGATGGGTAACTGGGTGATGATGAAACCAGCGACAACGATCTAAGTGAGACATCCTCATCTTAATCTGCTCTGGTAGGTGAATAAAATGTTTAAGATAACGTTAGCTTGATTTGTTAGCTTCCGTTCTGCTAATGGTGCGTTTGCTTTCTCCTCGGAACTCCAAATTTCTGATTAGAAGAACATGAACGAGCTCTAAAGTTTGGCTTCACTTTACTAAATGCGACGGGTGATTGGGTGAAGACGAAACCAGTGACAACGATCTAAGTGTGAGGCATCATTGTTTTAATCTGCTCCAGCAGCTAAATAAACTGTTTAAGATAACGTTAGCTTGATATGTTAGCTTCCATTGCCACCATTGTTATCAGCTAATGGTGCGTTCGCTTTCTCCTCGGAAATTCTAACTTCCCAGTAGGAAAAATCAAATGAAAAAAGACGGCAAAAGGAATGAAGATACACAGTAAATTTAGTTCACAGTAAAGATGTTTGCTTCAGTTTAATTATCAGCTTATAAAACTACAAGGATGATGTTAAAATACAAACAGTTGAATGTTATTTATCGTGATATTTATCAAATATTGTTATATAATGAGAAAAATATATATTTAATTATTAAAGAGAATGAAAATAATAAACACTCAAAAGTATCGAAAATTGGTACCGTTAAGTACCGGTATCGATTCGTAGGTACCGGGAATTAGTACCGAATCGATTCAAATGTCAAAGGTACCCATCCCTAGTTCTTACCTACTTGTGAAGAAAAAGCCACTCAGGACTGCGGTCATCTGCTCTCGTTCAACATGCACTCTTTGTGTAATTGTTGCACATTTGATTATTGATTGAAATGAGTTTGGTTGGTTTTGAAAATCTGCTTGCTTGTGGAAACATGAATGACCCGTAGTGTGTTTGTGAATGAGTCAGGACTTTTGTGTGTTGCAGGTCAGGTCAGGTGTGGTGCTGTCTCTGCCTCTAAGGACAAAAACTAAAGATTTGCCTACAAGAGACATTCCAGATGAGGGTAAGTTTAAAAAAGAGATAATTCAGATGTTGAAGGCCCATTAGGATGTATTTAGAAATTTCTAAATTCATTATTTTTTTGGTTCATCAGACCTGAATAAGTAAAATTACAAACTAGGTCATGTAAAGACTTTAGAAAATGCTTGTGTCTATTTGAAGTGATATTGTTGTGCAGATTAATAATTAAACAATTATTTTATACAAGAATTCTAATGTTTTTTGTTTTGATTTGACATTTTTCTCAGATCAAAACAAATCTTGTGGTAACAAAGATGATTAACTAATGAAAATCATAACTTATTTGGTTCCAGGTCGGATGTATAAACATGGAAATTTACTAAAACTTTATCTCTGCAACCTTTTCCTCATACTCTGGTTTGTTTCTACAGATTTGGGCAGCCACCGTGTTTTTCCTGTGGTTTGGTGTCCTTTCCTAACCCTGATGACCTCAGCATCTATTTTGACCACAGAGTCGGCTCCATCCCCAGACCGTTTCTACCATTCCTGAGAAAATTAACAAAACAAGAAACGTTGAATTTGTGCAAAAGCTGTCGTGGGGTGAGGAGGAACCACACGTGCAAACACACTTGTGTTGTGATACATTACCAGTGAAAAGTTTTTTTCCCCCCACTTTTATCTTCTCAGATTATTAAATTGAAGTATTTAGTATTTCTTTAGCATATCTATATTCATTGATTTAACAGTTTTTTAGTAGATTAGTTGTTGCTTTTTGTATTAATCAACAATGAGTTTGAAACAATCCTTTCTGGTTTAGAAGAAATGGATTTGCCCCTTTTCCTTAGCCTGGCAAGTCATCCTATATCTGGTCACGACTCGGACACAGAACTCAGTCAGAGGGCAAAATCTACAGTTGTCTTTAAAACTGTCTCTGCATGCAGTTGGGAAGCACTAGGACCAATCGGAGCAACAACGTGATATTCATCACTACGGAAATCAGTCAATAGGGCAGTCTGTCATACACCTTCATTACAGAAGAAGCAAATACATCCTTTTTGTAGAAATCCTGAACTTAAGTACCTCTACCTGCTCTTGGCTCAGAGAAAAGCCCAAGTGTAAATTGTCCAAAGCTGATGCCAAAGTAGGAATGGGCGATATGGCCTAAAATCTATATCACGACAAGTTCTGAAGCACACGCGGTAACGATAAATATCACGATACATTCTTCTACATGTCTTAATGACACACAATAATTCTAGAAGTACAGAATGCCATGTAAGTAACATATATTGTTCAAGTCTTATTTAAAGGGACTTTACGGAGTTTTGAATTTTTATGCTCGCGATTGCCCCCTCAGGCCAAAAGCGTAACGGCAGCTTCAATAGTAGGCTCGTGCACGAGGCGCACATGCTGTACGTGCACACTCCTTAACGAAAATAACAGCTGAGACAGTCCCGTGTGTGTGTGTGTGTGTGTGTGGCCTGGAGGACAGAGGACAGGAGAACGCGCAGCTAATTAATTAAATAATTTGGTTCTGTACCTTTCTCTTCAGCACAGCCGACAAAGGTTTAAGATGGGTCAGTCCTCCTGCATGCTCAGATCATTCCCTTCCCTTGCTTGAAAAATTGTTCCAAAATGAAAGTTGAACCCACATCTTTTTATCTGTCAATTCAATGCCGTTCGGCGAGTCTCAAATAAAAATTTGGGCATCTTACTGTAAAAAAATATACAATTAATGTAAAAAATAAACTCTAAATGAACTAAGTTCACATCCAGAATCGAACCCGGGTCTTCTGTACGAGAGTCCGACGTGTAACCATGTGAGCTAAAGCACCAATGATGTATTTTGTATCTGTAAAATTTATATCCTTGATGACAGCTGAAACAACGTTCAAAGAACGGTTCGGAGCGAAAATGGCTATTTTGTTGCTAATTTGCAGGAAATATCTAGAGGAAAGTAGCTAAGGGTCCTCAGAGATGTAGCTAGGTTCATCACTAGGCGTTAGGAACAGCGACAAAGTCGCTGAGTTGGCACTACCTCACTCTCTGCTGCTAAAGCTACTGATAGCAAATGCTACGGGCTATGCCTGAGCGTGAACGCGCATGAAGCAGCCTGCTCGACCCGAGCTTCTCTCTTTTTCTGTGATTTTACAGAAAAACAGGCAATCACAGTAAAAATGCCAGGGCTCATTCTACAGGACCAGGGCATTGCAGGAGAATGTATGAAGAAGACATTTATTATTTCTATACATGTTTTGGCTGTCAGACTTCCATAATGTCTCTTTAAATAAATACAAAATATCACAAATAGTTTTTATGTTATAAGGTCAAATGAATAAAGGGGATATTTTAAATAAGATACAAGATAAATCTGTTGAACTAAGGTGAAATTTTTTAAAGAAAGAAATAACATTTCTTCCTGTTTTCCTGATTCATTTATTCAGATTTCAAGTTTTTTGCTGGTAGAAATTGTTTCGGGGTGAATAACTGCAGGTAAAATGGTGTTAGTTAGAAGCTGCATGGTGGCGCAGTTGTTAGCACTGTCGCAGCAAGAAGGTTGTAGGTTTGAAACTCGGCTGCAGCCTTTCTGCGTGGAGTTGGATGTTTTCCCCATGCATGCGTGGGTTTCCTCCAGGTACTCCGGTGTCCCCGACAGATCACAACATGCCCTATAGGTTAACAATTATACGTCGCTTTGGATAAAAGCATCATAAACATAAATTAATCCATTTTCATTCACTTTTGTCCGCGCTGGTTTGACCCACCGCGATGCGCACCTGCAGCACAGAGCGAGAAAGAGGGAGGAGCTGGTTCCAGACATCTTTTTATTTAATGGGACAAACAGCTGAAACTAAGAAGGACTGTGAGGGAAAACTGTTCAAACTAAACTACAGGAGATGTCCAAAATATCTGGAAGACTGTGTGTTAATCATGTGGTAACAAACAAACGGCATTTAAGAGAATTAACATTACCAAGCTGTTAACGCAGAAACATTACTCACCGGCATATTTTACTCAAGATGTTTTTCTGCTCACCGTCCGACTCCTTAAGCTTAGTTTATGCTTGACGCATTCACTTTCCGCTTGGTGATGCGGCTCGCGGATGGAACGCGCTTCACAACTCGCAGCGTTTATGGTTCGTGCGGCTCGTCTCTGCGGTGAGCCAATATTCTCCCAAACTGTAGGGGGCAGCATGGAGCTCTACGGCATGCATCCAACACTACACCACAGTAGAAGTAAAAATGACTGTTTACAACATGGCATTTCAGCATTTTTTAACAGCGTTCTCGTCTTTTCCGACAGTGCGAGCTATTTCTCTCCAAGAATTATTAACTACATGTTGATCACGGTGATCTCTGAGAGCTGAATCATACAAATGTCTGTATTTACGAACCTCTGCCATACTAGATCTTGCCGGTCCGCCATGTTTTTCCGCGTCCGACCGTCCGCGTGGTTAGAAAATTTCCTAGGTGCGCGTTGCGGAAATTTTGGGCCGTGCGGAGACGCGGTGGAGGGGCGTGGTTGTTAAAATGACGTAATTTCGCCGCGCAGAGCCGTGCGGACCTCGCGGACGCGTCAAGCATAAACCAACCTTTAAACCCAAACCAGGTCCGTATAACCAACGTAACCCCTTTACAAGCACGTCTTCACCCACACACTCTGCTCGGCGGCAGCAGCTGCGTTTCCTCTAGAGCAGATGGACAACATTCATGCAAAAACATGAGGAGTGCACTCTCAGCCATGTTGCTCTATTGAAGCTCGCGCCCCTCTGTGACATCATCAGCGAACACATCTGGTTAGCCGGTAGTAAACAACTCTGTATCATAGGCCAAAATCATACTGGTCATATTGTGCATTACTATGCCAAAGCCATTTCAAACCAGCGCCATTCTTGAAACATGTCTTTGTAGTGTTTCTTTGTCGTATCGCCGGCGCTAAGCCCACCCAATGTTTCTCTACAAACTGAAAGCGCTGTGATTGGACAGACCAAACATCGTTTGAGGCAATGGTAGGCCTGCTGAGGCTACAAGGGGGTGTGGCTAAACCACCCTCTTGCTACTGCTATGGTTTGTCTAGATTTCCAGGCTAGCTTTTCCTCGAATGTTGATACAATTATTTCACATCCACAGAATGTCAGTAACAGGATTTTTTTACAACCTGCTTTCAAGCATGAATTTACACCTCTGTCTATGGACAACGGTTCTAGACTCCACCAGGGGCGGATTTAGGACTGAAGAAGATCCGGGGCTTAACACACACGCGCGCACACACACACGAGCGCGCACACACACACACACACACACGCACGCGCGCGCACACACGTGACACGCACTAGTCAACATCACATATGCCTTGTACCACATAATTTTTAATCTGAAGCTACATATTAAGCATTTTCAGGGCAGACTATTGTTCCTGTTCCTGTTAGTGTTTAGTGTGAGGTGATAGTAAATATTCCCTTTCTTTCTCCAACAACTTTACCTGATAGTAAGCTAACTTTAGGCAAACCAGCAGCACAACAAATATTTTCAAATAAGACTCACAAACCTGAGTCAACACCAGTCTCATCAAAGCTGGGGTTCTGTTGTTGTACATTTGGTCTAAAAAACGTCCTTATGTCCATCTTCACTCATGCGTTTCAGGCAGAGAGTGTAGAAGAAGCCGGCTGCTGAAGGGCCTCTTCTTCAGTGGTGGAGGCTCAGGCAGGCTGTATACAAACTACTGCCAGCTGCTCCCTCTCTGTTGGACTTTGGTACTGCATGTTACTGCTGCGATTTAGATCCGGGGCTTTTCATGAAACATCCGGGGCTTCAGCCCAAGTAGCCGGGCCTAACGCCGCCCCTGGACGCCACCCGTCTCTCTTTGAGATTGGTTGTACTCAGCAACTCTCCATTAACATTACTACCGTATCAGAGGTCATGCTGTAAATAGCTTCTCACAATAAACATTGCGTGACTGGCAGTTTTATTGTTTGTCAAATTGAGTGTGTCTCTGCAAGTGACGTGTTCCAGTAAAAGCAGCAAATGAGAGGTGTGACTCTTTCACTAGTAGTTGAGATTTTTAATAATTCACTAACGGCAATACGAAGCAAAACAGTGGAACGTTTAAAATAATGGTTTTAATTTATCTTTTTGATCTCTCCAGGTGCTCTTCCAAATGCCTACCTCACGCCTAAAGAACAAATCACTGCATCTACAGCCCTGATCAGCAGCCACCATGACATCAAGTATAGGGTATGCTGACTCACACTGCAGAGCGTACGACGTATCTAAATGTCACGCTCATGATGGAAACACTCAGTCTGGATCAAGCTGGGGATGTTTGCAAAAACACAATTAGAATTTTCTAGTAATCAAACTCTCAAGGGTTTACCCGTAATAAATTATTTTAGATCTTTTTCTCTTATTATTTTGTTTTCTGAATGATTACATTCAAAAGTTAAATGTGTGTCTCAGAGAATACGCTGTAGTGCAAATGAAAGTGCTGTTAGAGGAACACCCTTCTACCTAAACATGGTTTTGGCAAGCAAAACACATTCCTTTCTCTTTCTCTTTTTTTCTTCTTCTAAGTGACCTAAATATAAACTTGCTTCTGGCATTTATGTTAGGAATCTTCTTCTCATTAGTCATCATTCATCATCTGCTAATACTAACTATTCATTTCTGCATTTAAAAGCTGCCGACAAACAAACTCACACAGGGACGAATGGGCGTTGGGAAAAACTCTGAATGCCAAACATTTCTCCCCTCCTGTAGGGATAGCCTCTTTGATGGGTCGATGGAAGAAGATGAGAAGGACAAGGCAAAACGGTACACTTGGCCTACGTTTTAATAAGATTTTACCTGAAGATGAGTGTTTTTTTTTTTTAGCCAGTGCTGCACAGCGTTTGCAGCATGTGTGCTGTTTTTGACGAGCACTATTAACCGTACCTGGTCTCTTGGATTGCAGTGTTTCCCGTAACAAGTCAGAGAAGAAACGTAGAGATCAGTTCAATGTCCTCATCAAGGAGCTTGGCACGATGTTGCCAGGCAACACCAGGAAGATGGACAAGTCCACCATCCTGCAGAAAAGCATCGACTTCCTGTGTAAACACAAAGGTCATCATCCCCATCCTTGTGTTTATGTGTTCTCTGTTAGATTTCTGCTGCTATATTTATGTTTAATTATTCACCTGCACACACACACACACACACACACACACACACACACACACACACACACACACACACACACACACACACACACACACACACACACACACACACACACACACACACACACCAGCACTTGTTCATCCTTATCACCTACGCTTAGTAAAAACAGGTGTTATTGTGCCTTTTATCAGACATGGGTGTTGGTAAAATGTCGAGCGCTGTTTGTTTTTAATCTTTTGACTCCTTATTGATGATTTACTGACTTGATCAATGTGAGATTTACTATTTAGGTTAAATTTAATTTGAATCACTATTAAAATCAACTTTTTCTGTTTTAAATACTAAACCATGTTTGCCCCTGCTGTGTAGTTCTTATGTGCTGTGACCACAAAAGTTTCTCCTTTTATTATTTTTAATGAGAGCTTTAAATTTAAAAAGTAATTTTCTCCTTCACCAGAAATTGCTGCTCAGTCGGAGTCCAGTGAGATCAGACAGGACTGGAAACCTCCATTTCTTAGCAACGAGGAGTTCACTCAGCTTATGCTGGAGGTTAGAAGTGCCACGCTCTGATTTATTTCACCTGTTAGGTTTCTACACAAGTGTTTCAACCTCATTGTATCAGTATTGTGGATAGATGTTCATATATAAGCCTGAATCTTTCATTTGAATGTTTTTATCATTTAAAAAGAAGCGACCATACACGGTTTTGATGTGCTGAATCATAATTTTAAATGTTTTGTGAATCATTATTAAAACCCACTTCATTTCTTTATTCTTGTAATTGAGAGCAACATCCCATAATGATATTTGAACTTGTTTTATCAGGCTCTGGATGGGTTCTTTATAGCAATAATGACTGATGGAAACATCCTGTATGTCTCTGAGAGTGTCACCTCATTACTAGAACACCTACCAGTAAGTAATTAAACATGTTAGGACGACCTGGGTGTGAAAAGAGAACTTGTCTCCACACCTGAATGTGTGGTTTTCCAGGCCGACTTGGTGGACCAGAACCTGTTAAACTTCCTGCCTGTTGGGGAACACTCCGAAGTTTACAAAGCTTTGTCCACACACCCCTCCGACCCAGAGAGCCTCAGTACTGATTATTTGAAAAGTCAGTAGCACCTTACAGCTTGTTTGAAATATGTTGAACAGTTCTTATAAGCAATTTTTTTTAATCACTATGTTGAATGACTTATTTTTGTTTGGATTTATTTTTGTCTGCAGCTAAGAATCATCTGGAGTTCTGCTGCCACATGCTGCGAGGGGCTATCGACCCTAAGGAACCTCCCGTTTACGAGTATGTCAAGTTCATCGGCAATTTCAAGTCTCTCAACAATGGTGAGTCATCCATGTTACTTAAAAAAAATGTCATCTGTTCATTTGGTTTTTTAGAGGAACAATGTTTTATATACCATGTCATATAATTTTTAAATCACAGAACTTTTTGTTTGTGCTCCAGTTCCCAACATTACAAGAAACGGCCTGGCGGGGGTGTTACAGCGATCGCTGCAACCTGCCTTCGATGACCAGGTGTGCTTTGTAGCCACAGTTCGGTTGGCCAAACCACAATTTATCAAGGTAGTGTTTAGACTCAAACTTACCTGAAATACAATTGAGTCAGCTTTATTTAAAAGAAAAACATACAACTCAAAGGTCTTTGTTTTCATGCTTGTAGGAAATGTGTACAGTAGAGGAACCTAATGAGGAATTTACCTCAAGGCACAGTCTAGAGTGGAAATTCCTCTTCCTAGACCACAGGTGAGACACAAGCAGAGGCAGTTATGTGTTCACATCTTCACACACAAACACACTTTTGCACCTGGAGGGGTTTTGTGTAATGCCGAGACATATCTGTGTCATTACATTCACCAGTAATAAGTATGACTTCATAGCTTTTGTTGTAAACGACTCACATTTTTCTTATTTTCATCAGTGCCTGCTGTCGGACACAAACGAGGATGTAAATGTTATGGAGGGTGCCGATTCACCATTTAATCGATGCACAATGATGTGACACGTGCCGTTCAAAATAGACGTCTAAACGTTCATAAACGATTCTAAATAAATGCCAAAAGACAGCCGCGAAGCATGGCGGGAACATAAAAGTTACGCAAGCCGCCCGGACACTTTAGGAAGACGGACCAGTGAGAAAACAATTGTTGTTTCTCAGCTTCAGCCACTGAGTGTGAGATTTACTCGTCAGGATTAGAGAAGTTCCTTAAAACTAAAATAAATACAATAGCAACACCACCAACCTGAGACAACTCAGTGCACTTTTCCATCCTGAGTTAGATGAAGAGAAGAAGTCTGGTTGTTCCTCCTAACTAGCCAGCAATCAAAGAAGGATTAATACAACTAAAACCCGCGACTCCATCCTTCTACATGAAACTACGGCAGCACCAGGGAGCCTCTGGTTGTTTATAAGTGGTCAGCCTGTGGCGGTGACGTGGTGCGATCTTGTGTTTTTCACTAATGATTATGCGATGATGCAGATAATACAAATGTATTTTATAGCAGTGACAATTATCCAAATCTTATTAAAAAATAAATGAAGAGTTGATTGTTGTTAAAAGATGGATGGACAGCAATAAGTTGTCATCAAATTTAAACAAGACTAAAGCAATAACATTTGGTAATCAAGAAACAAAGTTTGAGTTGCCAATAAATATAGATGGTTTTCAAATTGAAATGGTACAAGAAAGCATATTTTTGGGAGTAAACTCATGGAAACCTCACATCAGACACACAAAACAAAAAAATCCCAAAAAGTCTTTCGATAATCAAATCAAATCAACTTTATTTATAAAGCACTTTTCATACAAAAAATGCAACTCAGAGTGCTTTACAGATTAAAATGGCCCCATAGATCCCATATTCCCATCCCAGCCCCCCTCCCCAAGTATAAAACAATTAACAATTACGGTTCCCCTCCCGCACCCAACTTCCAAAGTGGACATACAATCACCCGCACACATAATAAAGCTGTCATTTCTTGATTGCAACACACATCGTGTATTGTATTGCTCCTTAGTTCTCCCTTATTTTACTTATGGCACTGAGGTATGGGGGAATAATTATCAATGCTCCTTACAGCCTCTTTATATATTGCAAAAAAGAGCGGTCCGTATCATAAATAAGGTTGGATTCTTAGAACACACAAATTAACTTTTTTTACAATCTAAATTATTAAAATTACAGGATATAATTAAATATCAAACAGTTCAAGTTCTTTTCAAAGCATTTAATAAACTTCTACCAAATAATTTACAAAAGCTATTTATAATTAAAGAGCTGTCACATAGCCTAAGGAGAGATAAAATATTTAAATTACCACTGGTGCTAACAACACGTAAAAGCTTCTGTGTGTCTGTGTGTGGGATAAAAATATGGAATAACTTAAAGACGGATCACAAACAATGTCAAAATATTCAGATTTTTAAAGCACACTACAGAAGAACAGTTTGGTTAAAATACTTTACTAATGAGAATGGGCGATGATGTGAGTAAAGGTGTATGGGAATATATAATTAATGATATTGACAAGAATTGTTAAATTGTCTAGACTACCATTATTATTATTGTTATGATTCTGATTTTCTTTGGTCATAAGGTTGTTGAATTTGAGTTTTTTCTACATATTGAATGTTAAACTATTAGTGAAAAATAGGGGTGGGCTTGAATAAGCTTGGCTTCCGCCCACTCTCTTTCGAACATGCCTACAACAACTTGATTTATTATTGATTTATCTTGTGAGGTCTATTATTGATTTATATCCTGTTGTTAATTGTGATGTTATTGGCATGTTTGAAATAAATAAATGATGATGATGGTTTAAAGTGGGAGCGGAGGCAGTCTCCTCGCCGTCACGGACTTAAGTTGAACATAACTTCTTTTATGCCGATGGCATAAAGCTCCTAGGTGTTTTCACGAGCCGCTCCAGAAGCTGTCTGTCTTTCACAGTCCCACGTGAACTGTCTGGTGATCTGAGCTTCAGATCTAAAGACCAGAAGCTCACAGATTTCTGCATCGCTCCAGTTTGCCGTCTCAGCTGATTTTGTTAACAAAAGCGAAACTGACTGCCGTGTTTACTTTGATTTTTTTAGAGGAAGAAAATATCATTTCTATAACGCCTCTCAAGATAAAAATGACGAGGCGCTTCACAAAAACAAAAAATGTAAAAATATAAAAAAGAATTTAGAAAATGGTTAAAAATATATTTAAAATGAGCAAAAAATAGACATTTGTGATTAAAAAATGTTAAGAAAGAGAGAGAGTGAATAGGAAAGAGGGAGATCAGTGGATCCTGAGGAAGGTGGAATAGGTGGGGAGAGCAGAATAAAGAGAGAGTGGTGAAGAAGGTCATACAAAAGCCAGCTTGAACAAGTGAGTCTTCAGCTGCTTTTTAAAGGAGACCACTGAGTCCACTGATCTCAGGCTCAGGGGGAGAGAGGTCCAGAGTCTGGGGGCCACAGCAACAAATGATCTGTCACCTTTGACCTTTAGCCTGGTGCTGCACAACCAGTAGGCTTTGATCACTGGACCTCAGGGACCTGCTGGGGGTGTAGGGACTGAGAAGATCACCAATGTAAGATGGTGCTTGTCCATGTAAGGCCCTATAGACCAGTACCAGGATCTTGAAATGAACCCTGAAGTTGACTGGCAGCCAGTGAAGCTGGAGGAGAAGCGGGGTGATGTGGGTGTGTTTGGAGGACTTGGTCAGAAGCCGAGCACAGGCATTCTGAACCACCTGTAGACGGTTCAGGGAGGTTCTGCTCAGACACGTGAAAAGAGAGTTACAGTAGTCTAAGCGTGAGGAGATGAAGGTGTGGAGAACTGTCTCAAGTTCAGAGCAGGACAGAATGGGACTCAGCTTAGCAATGTTCCTGAGATGGAAGAAGGAAGGGCGAACAACAGAACTGACATGAGAATCCAGGGTGAGAGCTGGGTCAAAGGTCACACCAAGATTTCTGATGGAAGGCTTGGTGTGAGAAGCAAGCTGACCAAGAGAGTCTCTGACTTTGGGAACCAGCTTGTCTGGGGCACAGATGAGGATCTCAGTCTTATCTTCATTCAGCTGAAGAAAGCTCCCAGCCATCCAGGTTTTGATAGAGTCTAAGCAGGTGTGTAACAGCTGCAGCTTAGACATCTCATGGAGCTTAAAGGAGATGTACAGTTGGATGTCATCTGCATAAAGATGGTAGGAGATTCCTTTGAAGGAGCTCAGGATGTGCTGAAGAGGAAGCAGATAGAGGAGGAAGAGCGGATCCCCAGCACAGAACCCTGTGGGACACCATGGGTAAGAGAGGTGGTGGAGGAACTAAACTTGGAGACAGCCACAGAAAAGGAGCACTCAGAGAGATAGATGAGAACCACTCCAGAGCAGATCCTGATAGGCCTACCCAGTCTCTCAGCCTGTCCAGTAGCAGGTGGTGGTCAACAGTGTCAAAGGCTGTAATCAGGTCCAACAGGACCAGAACAGAACAGTCCCCTGCATCACTGTGAGTCAGAAGGTCATTAGAGACCCTAAGAAGAGCTGTTTCAGTAGAATGAGCTCTACGAAAACCTGACTGGAAGCTATCATAGATGTTATGTTCATCAAGAGCAGCTGTGAGTTGTTAAGCCACAACCTTTTCTAAGATCTTGGAGATGAACGTAAGTTTAGAGATGGGTCTGAAGCTGCTATGGAGAGAGGGGTCAAGACTCGGTTTTTTAAGAAGTAGGTGGATTACAGCGTTTTTAAAGTAAGCAGGGACCTGACCAGAAACCAGAGAAGCATTAATTATAGAGAGTACGCTGGGACCGATGGACTGAAAAGCACTTTTAAACAAAGATGAGGGTAAGATGTCGAGGGGGCATGCAGAGGTCTTCATAGAGTTAACTAGTTTGGTTAACTCAGGCAAAGAAACAGGAGCAAAGCTATCTACGATGATGGGCCTGGTTGGAGCCGGGAGAGGCAGCGATAAGGCTGAAGGAGAGATGCTAGATCTAACCTTATTGACTTTGTCCACAAAGAAAGAGAAAGTTCTCACAGTCTGCAACAGAGTGGATGGAGGCTGTAGGAGAGGCAGGAGAGACAATGCTGCTGATGGTATTAAACAGCACCTTGGGGTTCCCTTTGCTCTGGGACACCAGGTTGGAGAAATAGGAAACCCTCGCATCTCTGACTGCAGAGTTAAAGGAAGTCTGAAGATCCTTTAGGTGCAGCAGATGGACGTGGAGATGGGTTTTCTTCCACAAACGCTCAATTTTTCTGCATTGGCGCTTTAGGCTGCGAAGGCTGTCATTAAACCAGGGAGTAGGGTTCACCGCAGGAACTGATCTGGTTCTGACAGGACAGATGTTGTCCAGAATGGAGAGGCAGTGCTCATTAAACTGAGAAGTTAAGGAATCTGGGTCGTTATCAGAAGAACAGGGTGGATCAAAAGCAGCAGAAAAATTGCTAGCTGTACTCCCATTAAGAAAATTTGAACTAACCATACGGAGAGAAGGAGGTGGGGCCACAGAAACTGACAAGTTAAAAGAAAATGCAATGGTGATGTGAAATATAAACGTCCTCAGGACAAACACTGTCAGCATTTAGACTCAGGGTAAAAACAAGGTCCAGAGTGTGCCCGCCTGGTGTGTGTGGGGCCAGAAACATGCTGGGTAAAGCTGAAGGAGTCCATAAGGCTGGAGAAATTCATGGCAAAGTGATCAGAGGGATCATCAACGTGGATGTTAAAGTCACCAACAATCACCAGTCTGGACAGCTTCACAGTGGAGGATAGAAAGTCACTAAACTCCTGAAGGAAAGAACTGTTTGGACCAGGTGGACGATAGACCACAGCACAGTAGAACGGGTCCTTACGCCCGACTTTAATCAGCTGCAGTTCAAAGGAAGCAAAGTGACCAGAGGTTGTAGAGCTACATGAAAGATGGTCTCTGAAAACAACAGCTAGATCTCCACCACGACCAAAACCCCGAGGCTGGCTAAGAAAACAATAACCACTTGGGCAGAGTTCAATCAGACCAGAATAATCAGATGTTTGCTGCCAAACTTCAGTCAGAAAGAGAAAATCCAGGTTTTTAGAGAGAATTAGATCATTGAGCAGGAAGGACTTATTGTTAACATAGCGGGTATTTAATAGAGCCATGCTGAGTGAGGTGGAGGAATCAGAAACTACAGAAACAGCTGGAGTTAGTGGACGTAAATTAGCAGGGTTAGATCCACGGTGTTAATAAAAACCACTTATGGAGGGAACAGGAGGAGAAACCACTGAGGAATGAGGATAAACTGACCTTAAAAAACTTGGATGGAGAAACGCGGCCTGGCGGGAATGTGGAAGTTGCGCTCAAGTCGCCAAACAAAGGAAAAGAAGCTAGAAGATCATGCCGATGTTTACTAGATAAACCAGGCTTTTATATACATTTTTGCTGTAGATTTAATGCAAAAGTATGGTGGGTATGTGCTCAGTCTTACATGCATTAGATAGTGAGGTTAAAGGTATTTGTTAACGTGAATTAATGTGTGCTGAATTAATTTGAAAGTACGAAAAAGCTATGATGTGAGAAAAAAACCTAAACAGTGAAAAAACGCATAAAAATGTTTGCAATCACAATAATCGGTTAATAATCGGATCGTAGGACCCTGAATCAAAATTGAATTGAATGCTGAGGCACACCTCTACTAGCATTGCACCAAGTTGGGAGGGTAAAAGCGGACATTCAGAATCTCAAAAACCCAAAACAACATTTTTCATTTCACATGCAGATTGCAGACAGCTAACTCGTGGTTATCCAACAAGGCAACGTGCCAATCTGTTTTCAGTTTACTCATCTTAGGCGACACCAACATCCACCATCCCTGATCTACTCATTTAAGCTCGAATCGAAGTGCCAACTTATACTAAATTTGGCAATAAAGACAGCTGAAGTCCTCAAGTCGCTGATCACAGCAGACTTTCATTTCAACACTACTCTTTTCATTCTGCCTCAACCTGTGAAACCTGTTTCAGCTGCTCCGCCACTCTGATCCTCCCTCAGTGTTTTTCTCCTTTTTTATCAGTGATGCCATCTTTTCTGTGTGATTTGTACCTGGTCCTCACCCATCTCCAACATTAATAACTAAGAGTGTAACGGTACCAAAACTCATATTTGGTTCGGTTCAGTGTTTTGAAGGGCTCGGTTTGATTAATTTCGGTATATTATTATTATATTTATTTATTTAATATCTGAAGCGGCTCCTATAGTGAGTAGAACCAGGTGTCATCACAGGCTGCTAATCTAGCATGATGTCTTTAATTATTTCATAGGGTATTTGCGCCACAGACATATATATATAGATGCCCCATCGATTGGCATTGTCTATTGGAGATGCCGTAGTGGCCGACCGCCATTTTAGATAGATTAGCCCCCTCATCTCTACTGAGGAAGGTGCTTACCCAACTAAAAAAAAAACGTTTATCAAGCTTTTTCACAAAATCAAACACAAGGTACGGCATGATAAATAAAATATAAATATTAAATATAAAATCCTATCAGGTCGGCTAGAAAAGGCACTAGTAATCTCATGTGATCTGTTTTGAATTGCACGCTGGTTGTTGTAACCGTAGGCTGCACAGAAACGGGCATAGTTGCTCACTCTGCAGCGACTTTGGAGAGCGAGGAGACCCATTCAGCATGGCGCGGTTACACTCTCCAGCACCCTTCATGTCTATGATTTGCGCAGCGCACTCTCATACAGACGAGTGTTGTGTTTGACGTGTTTTTATTTCTTAAAAACTCACCTCACACCGCCCAAAGTTTCTTCTTTAAAACTGGTATTAAATAACGAGCTTCCTCCGCGATGCTCCGTTCAGAGTCTCTACACAGACTCCACATTAACCGCTACAGCCAGCTGGTTTGATCCGCTCTGAAAGACGTGGATCAGAATTTGCAGATCACATTTTTTAAACAGAGATCGGGCGCGTGCAGCCATCACGCATCACTCAATACAGCGTCCGTGTGGAAACTGGCCAAGGAACTTTTAGCCGCTGCACTTGAATCACACAAATGCGTGAAAAATTCATTATTTAACGGAAAAAATAAACCGAAACAGTACGCAGGTGGACCACACCGAACTGCCCGAACCGACACGGTTCAAATAACCCCTGTGAACTGTTACACCCCTATTAATAACTAATACTGTTAAAAACGTACAGAAAGATAATCAAATCAGTCCTTCCTGTTGGCCACATGGGGACATTTTCTGTCACAGCTGTTGGCTTTAAACGCTTTTTTGACTGTTTTACTTAGGGATGGATACCTTTGACATTTGAATCGATCCGGTACTAATTCCCGGTACCTAGGAATTGATACCGGTACTTAACGGTACCAGTTTTCGATACTTTTGAGTGTTTAATATTTTAATTCTCTTTTATAATTAAATATATTTTTTTCTTAATGTATAACCATGTTTGATAAATATCACTATAAATAACATTCAACTGTTTGTATTTTAACATTGTCCTTGTAGTTTTATAAGCTGATAATTAAACTGAAGCAAACATCTTTACTGTGAACTAAATTTACTGTGTATCTTCATTCCTTTTGCCGTCTTTTGTCATTTGATTTTTCCTACTGGGAAGTTAGAATTTCCGAGGAGAAAGCGAACGCACCATTAGCTGATAACATCCGTGGCAATGGAAGCTAACATATCACGCTAACGTTATCTTAAACAGTTTATTTAGCTGCTGGAGCAGATTAAAACGATGATGCCTCACACTTAGATCGTTGTCACTGGTTTCATCTTCACCCAATCACCCGTCGCATTTAGTAAAGTGAAGCCAAACTTTAGAGCGCGTTCATGTTCTTCTAGTCGGAAAATCGGAGTTCCGAGGAGAAAGCGAATGCACCATTAGTGAAACAGAAGCTAACAAATCAAGCTAATTATATTTATCTACCGGAGCAGATTAAGATGAGGATGTCTCACTTAGATCGTTGTCGCTGGTTTCATCATAACACTCTTGCGCATGCGCAGCTGTCTAGGCAAGTTCTCGTTGTGAAGGACGGTACCGAAACGAGGCACTGTTTCAAATGAAGTGAATCGGTGCTCGGTCAGCACTGTGGAATTCGGTCGGTACCTTAAAAAGTACAGAATTCGGTACCCATCCCTGGATCAACAACAGCTGAGTTTGCACCTTTTCTTTTCAGGGCTCCACCAATCATAGGCTACCTGCCTTTTGAGGTTCTGGGAACATCAGGGTATGACTATTACCACGTGGATGACCTGGAGACACTAGCCAAATGTCACGAACACTGTGAGCCTCACATTTTCTTTCAGTCACGATTCTTCAAAAGGATTTTTCCCATCGTTGTGAAGTGTTCACCTTTGTCCCTTCTGCCCTTCTTTTTCTCAGTGATGCAGTATGGAAAAGGGAAGTCGTGCTACTATCGTTTCCTGACGAAAGGTCAACAGTGGATCTGGCTGCAGACACACTACTACATCACCTACCATCAGTGGAACTCTCGACCTGAGTTTATTGTCTGCACACACACAGTAGTCAGGTACAATCAGCTTAATGCCTTTTGCAAATAGAACATTTATCAGAGTTTTTTTTTTTTTTCATTTTGTATTATTTTCAGCTCAGTTAATCTGTCCCATTTTTCACAGAGCTTTACTGATTGTTATTTTTTTAATCCAGCTATGCAGAAGTCAGGGCTGAACAACGCAGAGAGTTGGGGATTGAAGAGACGAATCCAGAGGCGACTGTTGATAAAGTAAGACTAATTCTAAATCATATGATGTTTTTTCAACCAAAAGTGGTACAACATGGGAAAACTTATTAAGATTAAGTGTATTTGTTATTTTAGGGTAAATTATTGCACTTATGTGCTGGAAGCATATCATACAAATAAATGTGACCTCTGCAAACAGTTTCACATAGTAGAGTTAAACACTGGAAGTTGACATTAACTAGTCAAATTCTATTGATAACAGTGATTACTGCTCAGTGCAGTGACAAACATGCACAGTAATGAAGATGCAGAGGTTCTGCTTGTTTGCAGGTTTACAGGATAGCCAGTAGAGGTGTGACATCGTAGATATCTCACCAATCGATTTCGATTCAGGGTCCTTTGATTCAATTATTACACATTTCAAGTCAAGTCAAAGTTTATTTGTATAACACATAAATGGCAACGGCTGTTACCCTAAAGTGCTGAACATTGGCAGAAAATATAAAGATTAATATCATAAAAGCTAACTAAAACTTAAAAAAGCTAAAATCACAACCAAGACGAAATGCAAAGCATGAATTAAAAGTTAAAAACATCAATTATGCTCATAAAATAAATTGAATCATTTAAAAGGATTAAAAACCAAAAATAAAATGAAGAAGAAAGCCTGCAGCTACGAGTCATCGATGAAATGCCAAGGCATACAGATGCTTTTTTTAGACATGCTTTAAAAGAGAACAAGGAATCAGTGGTCTTCACATCCAAGGGTAGACTATTCCACAGGACAGGAGCAATTGCAGAGAAAGCTCTAGCACTCTTCGTTTTTAAGTGAAATCTAGATATAATCAGGTATATAAGATCAGGTCATACAAATAAGAGGGAGCTAAACCATGCAAACATTTAAAATCTAGCAGCAATATCTTAAAGTCAGTCCCAAACTTAACAGGAAGCCAGTGAAGATCTGCCAGTACGGAGGTGATATGATCATATTTACTTGCCCCTGTGAGAAGGCGTGCTGCCGCATTTTGAACATTCTGTAGGCGACCTAGCCCTGACTAAGGCAGGCCAGCGTATAGCGCATTACAATAGTCCAGCCTTGAAGGAATCATGACATGGATAAAAGAAGTAAAAAACATCCATAGGAACATAGGCCTTAATCCTACTGAGCAGCCTCAATTGGACTTAACCACTGCACTGATCTGATCTACAAAAGTTAGGTTTGAATCCAAAATAACCTCCAGATTCCCGACTGTGTGATGACAATGCGAGGAAAGGTCTCCAAGGCTACAATTTTGGTTAGACAGTGCAGTAGAGGAGCCAAAAACGACGATCTCCGCCTTTTTTTTTTTTGTTTATCATGATTACCAAGATTACCACTATTTTTAATGCATTTTTTCACCATTTAGGTTTTTTTTCACATCATAACTTTCTCATACTTTCAAATTAGGGCAATCTAGGGCATTTGCATTTTTCCTGAAGCCCAGTAAATCATGAAGTAAGAAAAATCACCTTTCATTTCAAATCTGGACCAATGCAGTAAATGTGTTAGTGTTTTTGCTTTTGCCCACATCTGCAGAGTGAAGCTCCTTATCCCCTTTGATGTTTGAGTCTGCTTGAAAGTGACCTCTAGCCCTGAAGTGAATACATAAAGATATTTGATGCTTTGCTCATTTACACATCAAGCAGTTCCTTTTCCTCAGCACTCAATACATTTTATGTACATGAGTGGTGTATAAACGGAGTATTGGCTTATCTTTACTCTTTTGTTGTTTGTTTTTGTTTTTAGAGCCAGGACTCTGGCTCAGAATCACAGCTCAACACCTCCAGCCTGAAGGAGGCTCTGGAACGATTTGACCACAGCCGAACACCTTCAACGTCTTCACGTAGTTCCCGCAAGTCCTCCTCACATGTCTCTGACAACACTTGCACTTGTAAGAGCATACATGTGTTTTCTGTACACACAACCTAATGTAAAGTTGATTAAAGACTATAATAGCTAATTGCCTTTGTATTTCGGGAGAATAGATTATTTTATTTTCTTTCTATCCATCTATCTATCCATCCATTATCATCTGCTTATCCGCAGTCGGGCCGCGGTGGCAGCAGCCTAGGCAGGGAAGCCCAGACTTCCCTCTCCCCAACCACTTGTGCCAGCTCCTCTGGGGTAATCCCAAGATGTTCTCTGGCCAACCGAGAGACATAGTCCCTCCAACACATCCTGGGTCTTCCTTTAGGTCTCACCCCGGTTGGATGTGCTTGGAAAATCTTACCAGGAAAGCGTCCAGGAGGCATCCTAAACGGATGGCCGAGCCACCTCAACTGGCTCTTCTTGATGTGGAGGAGCAGTGGGTCTACTCAGAGTCCCTTCTGGATGACTCAGCTTCTTACCCTCTATCATTAAGGGAGCCAGCCACCTTTTGGCGAAAACTAATTTCGGCCGCTTGTATCTGTGATCTCTTCTAAGTGAGGGACCAAAGTGGTCGGGTGGGAGCCGAAGGCAGTCTAATCCTCTGCTACAAAGCTAGCTCTTGGTACGTGGAATATCACCCCTCACGTGGAGAAAGAGCCAGAGTTTGTGTATGACGATGAGCGGTTCCGGCTAGATATAGTCGGAATCAACTCTGGCTCTGGAACCAGTTTCCACAAGAGGATGTACCGTAATTTCTGGACTAAAGAGCGCACCTCAATATAAGCCGCACCAACCCAAAAAAAAAGGTTTTCTACACACACACGCCACACTCAAATACAAGCCGCGGTGCAGCAGCCACATGCAGGTCTCCGGCACACAGCACATGTATGGCCATAACATAAGATAATTAGACAGAAAGACGCTACACGGAGGTTTTTCGTTGTGGTTTTAATTCAACAAAACACATTTTAAACACGGGTGAGCACTGATAGCATTCACATTTCTGGATGGTTATAAAATAGAAACAGAACTGACACGTTAATACCGGTAATTTACATGTTTAGAAGAAAAGAACAGCGCTGACACAGCATTAATAACTTGTGGATCAGTGGGCAGAGTACTTCAAAGACCTCCTCAGTCCCGCTGGCACGTCTTCCAGTGAGGAAGCAGAGTCTGGGGACTTTGGGATGGACTCTTCAATCGCTGGGGCCAAAGTAACTGAGGGGGTCAAAAAAGCTCTTCGGTGGCAAGACCCCAGAGGTGGATGAGATCCGCCTGGAGTTCCTTAAGGTTCTGGATATTGTGGGGCTGTGTCGGTTCACACAGTTATCACAGAGGGCAGTTGTCCTGAATTGGCAGACCGGGGTAGTGGTCCTCCTTTTTAAAAAGGGGCACATCAGGGTGTTCTGTTCTGTTCTATACCATTCTACTCTAAAATAAAGAGTCTCTCGTTTATTCGTAATTCTGTCTCCGCAGCAACGGCCCCCAAGCTTCACATGGAGATGGCCACGCCTCCTCGGCAGTCACTAGCTTCCACCATGGAGATGACATCACAACGTCGCTCATCCATCAGCAGCCAGGTGGGACAGGATTGGCTGAGTAGCAAACCACGACACCTTTTTTTACTTTTTTCCTGTTTGAAGAAACAAATTCAAAGACTTCACAAAATCCATGACTTAGCTATCATTTTTTAGAAGAGATTAGTATATACTAATACTGATCTCGTATTTTTACAGTCTATGAACTCTCAGACCACAGGTCAGAGTTTAAATCCTACCATGATGCAGCAACAGCAGCAGCAACAACAACTACAACAACAGCAACAACAACAACTACAACAACAACAGCAACAACAACAGCAACAACAACAGCAACAACAACAACAGCAGCAGCAGCAGCAACAGCTTCAGACAAATGTACAGGTGAGAATAGTTTGACACACGTGTTAGGTGCCACAGGCCCTAAACAATCTTCACTTGAATCTTTTTAGTGTGAGACTAAAAAGGTTGTTGTCTAATTAATTTTTGTAAATAAAAATTTGACTAATTGATCTCCAAATGTGTTGCAAATTTGTAACAAAGTAAAAAGAAATAGAAAAACCGTTTGAAAAAATATGTACTCCACTGTGTGTCTAGTCCCATCTAAAGGCTCAATGTGTGACTTTTCCTCTCTTCCTGTCTGCCTCAAGCCGGTGATGGAGTTCTCAGCACAGGTGAACGCCATGCAGCACCTTAAAGAGCAGCTGGAGGACCGGACCAGGAGGATCCAGGCTAACATCCAGAGGCAGCAGGACGAGCTACGACACATCCAGGAGCAGCTGCAGAGGGTCCAGGACCAGGGCATACAGGTGAGCTGTAGACAGGAACTCATTCAGGTGTTTAGTACGAGAAACCTGAAACTCTAACCGCTATGTATTCAGTCTCTCTTTAATGTAGTTTTTCAACAGCCGTTTAAATGGATACTAAGCAGATTTGAGTTGCTCTAAGCACCCCTTAGCATCTGTTAGTAAAAACTAAAATAGTAATAATAGCCTTTGACCATCTAAATGTGCCCTTTGTGGAGACAATTTAGGTTTATGGAATGTTCTTTTGTTACTATGAAAAGCTTTTACATGTATGAAATACAATAGAAGCACCTTGTAGTGTAAATGTGGGTGCTTTGACCTTGGATGTCTCTAACAGATGATGCTGCAGCAGCAGGGTGGACCCATGAGCGTGCAGCTCCCTCAGGTGGGCTCAGTCCAGCAAACGCCCACCATGACAGGTCAGGTCCAGCAAACAACAATCAACCCTGTGCATGCGGGAACTCAGCAACTCACCATTCAGCAGCAGACGGCGCCCCCCCAACAAAACCTACAGCAGCAGACCAACACACTCACACAGGTGGGATTCACACTCTCACTGTTTGAGTTTATTAGGAGACTTGTTTTTTCCTAATGAGGCTGTGCAGTGGTGCAGTGGTTAGAGCTGTTGCCTTGCAGCAAGAAGGTCCTGGGTTCGCTTCCCAGCCTGGGATCTTTCTGCATGGAGTTTGCATGTTCTCCCTGTGCATGCGTGGGTTCTCTCCGGGTACTCCGGCTTCCTCCCACATTCCAAAAACATGACTGTTAGGTTGATTGGTCTGTCTAGATTGTCCTTAGGTGTGTGTGTGTCTCTGTGTTGCCCTGCGATGGACTGGCTCTCTGTCCAGGGTGTACCCCGCCTGATTGCCCATTGACCGCTGGAGATAGCCCCCCCCCCCCCCCCCCCCGACCCTACGGGTTCAGACAATGGATGGACTACATCAGTATGAATTATTTTGAATGAATAATTATCACATCCCACTGTCTTCCTCAGCGTCAGCCACAACAGCAGGTTCAGGCTCAGCCCCAGCCCCCGGGATCTGTATCTGCCCCCATGTACAACACCATGATGATCTCCCAACCAGGGCAGCCCAACGTGCTGCAGATCAGCACCAGCCTGCCTCAGAACAACCCACAGCAAGGCACAACTGTGGCTACCTTCACACAGGACCGACAGATACGGCAAGTACAGGACAAAATACCCTCTTTTTTCTTTTAATTAGAGCCTCATAGAAAATGTGAAGAGTCCACACAAGGTGTGATGCTTGAACATGAATTTCTTTTCTCCAGATTTCCAGCAGGGCAGCAGCTGGTGACCAAACTTGTGACAACTCCAATGCATGCATGTGGTGCAGTCATGGTTCCCACCTCTATGTTCATGGGGCAGGTGGTTACTGCGTACAACCCCTTTGGTGGTCAGCAGGTGGGTAAACAAACGGGCTAAAACTGATTAAAATTTGCTGTTTTGAATGCAAAATGGGTCACCTACGTGATTTGTGTAGATGCGATGAGGAAAATATAAGGGGGGTAGATGGTTTTATACATGAGGGCGAGGGTGACATAGATTAACCAGTCTGTTAAAGAGCAAGTCACCCCCTACCAGAGTCTTAACTCCACTCCCACTTCCTGTTTAAAAATGCAACAAAAGCTGTTGCCTGGCTGACTGAGAGGGTGGAGCTGCTAACAAATACACACACACAGGCTCACAACGGCATTGTGACATCATATGGTACCAGCTGACGTCATAGGGTGCCTCTTAGCAAATAGTGACAGTAGATTTAAATTCCAGTGCAGAGTTTTTACCTGAAGACAGCGCAACACTAGCAGTTTTTGGCAGACTATTTAAATTTGAACTAAGATACACTAAAGTGCCAAATTATTTGCTACACATGTCTGCAGCACGATTAGACACACATTTATATAGTTTATCAGCAAAAAAAGTCTATTTGGGGTAACTTGCTCTTTAACCACGGGGTGAGGTTTTGCACCCTTTTCACCCTTGCCTCGTTTTCACGTCTGGAGGAGTGTGTAGTCATTTCCACTTTATAATTGACTTCCAAGAAGCCAGAATTTAATCCATACTTGATTAACAGTTTTCAAAACTTTCAGGGTTTTTTTGTTATGTTTTGTTTCTTCCAAGACTTGAATTTTTTTTGCACAATTTTGTGGATTTGTGGTACGTTCAGAAAAAAGGGAAACTGGACTTTTCTGTCTAGCTAGAGCAGGGGTTGGCAACCTTTTCCCATCAAAGAGCCATTATTACCCATTTCCCACAGTAAAGAAAACACTGGGAGCCACAGCAGCCACGGCACTGTGGGCGGGGCCTACCCTCAGACAGCAGAGAGCTGCTTTAACCAATCACAACAGGTGACAGCAACCAATACCAGTCGCTCATGTACCTCAAAGTTATCTTTCAACAGAAGATAATTAAAGGGGCGTTATGGAAGTTTGACAGCCGAAACATGTATAGAAATAATAAATGTCTTCTTCATACATTCTCCTGCAATGCCCTGGTCCTGTAGAATGAGCCCTGGCATTTTTACTGTGATTGCCTGTTTTCCTGTAAAATCACAGAAAAAGAGAGATGCTCGGGTCGAGCAGGCTGCTTCATGCGCGTTCACGCTCAGGCATAGCCCGTAGCATTTGCTATCGGTAGCTTTAGCAGCAGAGAGAGAGGTAGTGCCAACTCAGCGACTTTGTCGCTGTTCCTAACGCCTAGTGATGAACCTAGCTACATTTCTGAGGACCCTTAGCTACTTTCTGTAGAACTTTCTTCTAGATATTTCCTGCAAATTAGCAACAAAATATCCATTTTCGCTCCGAACCGTTCTTTGGTTTGACGTTGTTTCAGGTGTCATTAAGGATATAAAAGTTACAGATACTGTAAATGTAGCTAGTGTGTAGCTCACCTAGTAAGATGTCTGACTCCCGTGCAGAAGACCTGGGTTCAATTCTGGGTGTGAACTTAGTTCATTTAGAGATTCTTTTTTACATTAATAATATTTTTTTTACAGTAAGATGCCCAAATTTTTATTTGAGACTCGCCGAACGGCATTGAATTGACAGATAAAAAAGATGTGGGTTCAACTTTCATTTTGGAACAATTTTTCAAGCAAGGGAAGGGAATGATCTGAGCATGCAGGAGGACTGACCCATCTTAAACCGTTGTCGGCTGTGCTGAAGAGAAAGGTACAGAACCAAATTATTTAATTAATTAGCTGCATGTTCTCCTGTCCTCTGTCCTCCGGGCCACACACACACACACACACACACACACACACACACACACACACACACTCACACTCACACACACACACACACACACACACACACACACACACACACACACACACACACACACACACACACACACACACACACAGGACTGTCTCAGCTGTTATTTTCGTTTAGGAGTGTGCACGTACAGCATGCGCGCCTTGTGCACGAGCCTACTATTGAAGCTGCCGTTACGCTTTTGGCCTGAGGGGGCAATCGCGAGCATAAAAATTCAAAATTCCGTAAAGTCCCTTTAATAAAACTGTTTGTATAAAATTGATCCAAAAGTTGTAGCCCGTCTGCTACAATATTTCGATATTTTTCACCCTGCTAGTGGTTTTAATAGTCAAGCAGGTGACGCTTTTTAAGGCGTGACACATAACTGTTCAGAATACAAATCCAGGCTCTGTCCCGTTGGACTGTTGTAATTAAACTTTGTACTGAACTAAACTTTGCATTAAACATTGTTGAAAAGGTAAGAAAAGGATCCAATCAATTAGTTTTTTTTCCTTCGTTTACACTGATGGAGATCACGGCGCAGTGTGCGTGGCTCTGGTGTTAATCATGTTTAATGTTTCTGTTTGCAACAATCTTCACAAGAGTGTAAAATAGTTAAATGACAGGGTTCACACTGACTGGATATTTCCCATATTTGATTGTGTAAAGGGTTAATTTACATGTTATTTAATGAACCATGAGACATGAGATTCCATAGTGACTATGGAATCAGTCTGATGGACCTTTGGGTACTTTTAACCAGAAGATTGGAACTTTTTAGTGCAGGGATTATGTAACACTTTGTATTGACTGAGAGACAACAGAAGAGAGAGTCAAGTTTTAAAAGTTTAAAGATTTATTACTAAACAAATTAAACTAGACTAATTTAACACTAAATGTATGGTGTAACTAAGACCTAGTCCACACGTAGCCTTTTTTTTTTTTTAAACGAATATCCACCCCTCCAAAAACTTGCATCCACACCACCTCATTTAAAAAAACTCTGTCCACACGTACCCGGATAAATACGTTGTTAAGGACATGCCAGACCTGTAGGCGGCAGTACTTCCCCCGTTCTTAACCTCGTCCTTCGTCTGTGGTCTTCCGCAAGGAGCAGTAATTCCGCTTGCAAAAACAAACAAGCAGAAAGCGCTTGGACAATTGATGGATCGGGTAGTGACAGAGCGCAGCTCTGAAGGCTTCCATGATGCCGGCTAGTGTAAACACAGGTCGCACACGTGATGTCAGCATTTTTTTGTCGCGGAAAGTGACGTTGCGGACCTTAAAACTCCAGTTTTGTCCGTCCACACGCAGACACCCAAAACTGAGAAAACGCAGATCTTCACTTTGGCCGGAGTTTTTAAAAAGATCCGTTTTCGTGTGAAAAAACTCCGTTTTCGTGTGAATGACAGGCCAAAACGTAGAAAAATATCTACGTTTTGGCAGATCCCCGGCTACGTGTGGACAGGGCCTAAGATGAAGTGAGACGGAAAATGGTGTAGTGTAGAATGTTGTTCAGAACCAGCAAATCCGAAGAAACGCTTAGTTCTGGTGGGAACTGAAGGTGATGTCTTCGCGCTAAGCTTTGATTAGGAGATTCATAAACACATTCGACGCCATCCTGTCAGTCTACGTACCATTAGCGGAAGTCCCCGTCTAGATCAGGAGGTGTAGAGGTCCAGCTTGGACCTTTGAAGCCGAAGCTTGTAGAAACAGCCGCGGCAGCCGACCAGTCCAGTCTTGAGATACTTCCGGGTCACCGCAGTTTATCGGCATCTAACAAGACCCAAACCTGGGTCGTGATGGTTCAGCTTTTATTCTGAAAGGAACCGTTGCAGCAGTTGAAACAGCAACAGATTCATCCAGCTTGTCGTTGGTTCTTTTGGCTGAAGAGGAAAGTTACGCCACTCCGTCAACTTCTCTAGAACGCTTTGAGCTGGCGTTAAAGATGACGTGGGCATAGTTTTATACTTCAGATGTTTTGGTTTATGGTCGAATGAAAAGATGGCAGATTTACCAAACACCACCAAAACCACGCCTCCGTCAGATCTGGAAGATTCTGATTGGATCAGTAAAGCAATGTGTCGTCTCTTAACGCTACGTGACATCAGTCCCTAGTGGAAACATTTAAAGTCATATTACTTATTATATTCTATAGGATTATAATAAAGTAATTAATATTTTCATTTCACAGATTGGTCACATCTCATTATTGACTAACACTTTGTTTGATTAGCTTTATTAAAATAGAGTTCTTTGATTATTAAAAGGAGAGAGTCCATTCTTCATTCTTCTCTTGAGCTGAAAAGAAGCAGTTTATAGCAAATGCATGAGACCTTGAGGCCATATCTCATGCAGACTAGTTCTTGTTGAGGAGAGGGAGAAAATGACTTTTAGGTGGAAAACAGTCATTTCATTCCGTTACAATTGTTTATTGACGGAGAAATCTCAAGCCTGCAGACGCGCTGACATTTTAATCGTTACACACATCGTGGAGGTAGCTACAACAATCAAGAAAAGATCCCCATCAGAACATCTGAGATGGACACTGAGCTCAGCGCAGCTCGCTGTCAGCGCATGCGTAAGGTGGACAACGAGCTGAAGATGTGTAGATCGGGGGCTTGGAGCGCATCGCAGAACCAGAACTATTGTGGCGTATGTTTGAAAACTTATTCAACACGCCACGGCAGGCTAAAACAAGGTTTTTTTGACTGATGATGCACAGGCGGAACAGCTGCACAGCTGATCATTTATTGTCCAGGTCGTATTATCATCTGAAACAGGCACTTACTTAGAGTGATGGTGATTAGATGCCAAACAATACCTCACAGACAGTGCAGATCTTTCAGGTGTAAGTTGATGGGACAACGGTCAACAGAAATTTCTCCCCAAGTTCACCCCGTCACCATAATGCAGGCCAGCACAAACAACCAAATATCCCGAACAATAGGTGCGCGCTCATATTTATAACCACACCCACGGTGCAACCAATCACATGAGGTGCAGAAGCGTGTGCACATACCAGCTGATTCACAAAAGGAAAACTACTAAACATGAATGGCTCCTACAAGAAACATGCAGGAAGATTCTGTGTTTTCTAAACCCGGTCTCTCAGAGACTCGTCACTTAAAAAATGTTCCCTGATTGTGAATCTTTGGCTGAATAGCGCTTGTTCCTGTCTCCAACACTGCAACGCATCCATGAGCCTGTCTGAGGAGAAGTCCAGAATCTCATATCCTCTTCAGCTCAGAAAGCTTCTACAGAGACATTTGATTACGCTCAAGCAGGTGACCTGTTCAGGTTTACGCAGACAATCTTCAAATTTAGAATTGGCTACAGATAAAAATGAATGCAGCAAAATAAAATACATTGTAATTAAATATTCATGAATTGGTTTACAAGCAGAAAGCCGCATCAGATGGATGAAAGAGCTGCGGGTTGCCGACCTCTGAGCTAGAGGATGCTTTGCTTCTTGTGTGAGAAGCTTTAGCAACAATAAGTGGAAAGTGCAGAGACATATTGAGAGCTGTGCAGATTTCCCCGATCCTCCCTCCTGAGGGTTCTTAGGACCTTCGTTGTCCTGGTCCACCATTTGGTCAAACTCTTTAAGCCACCTGGATATTAAGTTCTGGGCTTCATTGCGGCTGTTAAAGAGATGAACTCTGAGACCTCCTCCTCTTTTAATGTTGGACAACAGGCACAAAACATGGTCCTTCCACACATTACAGGAGTTTTTTGTTTTTTTTGCCAAACCCAACCACCCAGTGACCTTAAAACCTAAAAGTCGTGTGGTTCAGTGTAGTGAGGAGTGTTTGGATCTCGACCAAGATGATCGATGGTTTGAGAATTATTTTTCTTTGTCCAAATAGAAGAATTTACATTAAGCAGAGGAAATGTTCTCAGGTTACAACCCTCCAACACCTAAAGTCCAGCCCTGAACCTGATCCCCACACATTTTCACAACAATTCACACCTTCAGGAACGTGAGCATAACATCTCCCAGGTGGACCTGAACAGCAAAGACCCTTGTGGGCTTTAAAAAGCATTCTTCACAGTTTTAAAAACTTGAGGCTCTTCATCTGAACTGAGAAGAAAAACAAAATGTTCTAAAATGGACAAGTCCAGTTAGCTTCTTTCTGAGCCTACCAAGATGACTCGAGTTTCACATGGATGCTAAATGTGAAAATGGGCTTCTACTTCAATTTCCTGCAATAGCCTCCAATAGAAAATAGATCAGGAAAGCCGGTCACAAAGCCACTCAGATCTACATCACACTGTAAACGAGTATTTGTGGACGCATCTTGGCTCACAACGGGGAAGGCTGTTGTTGGTTTAGCATCCAGGAAACAGTAGAGAACATCTTGGCTAGTAGAAGCCAACTGTTAGCATTAGGAGCTCCACCACGCAGCAGAACTCCTCCAGACTTGTGCTTTTTGTGGAGATAATAATAATAATAATAATGCATTTTATTTCAAGTGCCCTTCAAGACTCTCAAGGTCACTTTAAAGTCCCATTAGTTGTCACACACACAGGTGTATGTGCGAAATTTATTCTCCGCATTTGGCCCATCCCCTGGGGGAGCGGTGAGCTGCAGACACAGCCGCGCTCGGGAACTATTTGGTGGTTTAACCCCCCCAATCCAACCCCTTAATGCTGAGTGTCAAGCAGGGAGGCATTGGGTCCCATTTTTTTCAAAGTCTTTGGTATGACCCGACCAGGAATCGAACCCTGATCTCCCAGCCTCAGGGCGGACACTCTACCACTAGGCCACTGAGCAGGGTACAAGTGCAGGTAGATACAAGAAGAAAAAAAACACCAATACAAATAAATACATAAAATTATCAAGATAAAATAAAGGAGCTAAGACTAGATAAAAATGTAGGAATGGAGTATTTCGGTTGCTAGGCTTGAGAAGGGTAGAAGAAGGAGCATAGTTATGGTGGATAGACCAAGCAGAACTTATGAGTTGTGATTTGGGACTTAAAGGTTGAGAATGAGTTGATATTGCGGATGTCAGACGGGAGAGTGTTCCAGAGTTTAGGGCCTGAGTAACTGAAGGCTCTGGCTCCAGTGTTACTGAGGCGAATACGGGGAACAGATAAGGAAACGGAGGATGATGATCGAAGCGAGCGAGTGGGAGTGACGGCATGGATGAGATTAGAAATATATGGAGGAGCGAGATTGTGGATGGCTTTGAAAGTGTACAGAAGAATTTTAAAGTCAATTTGGTATTTAATAGGGAGCCAGTGGTGCAAAGCAGGAGAGATGTGATTGTAGATGGAGGTCTTGGTGATTATACGGGCGGCGGAAGTCAGCTGAAGTTTATTGAGTGACTTTAGGGGGAGACCGGAGAGGAGGGCGTTACAGTAGTCGATGCGGATGGTGACAAGACTGTGAATCAAAATAGCAGCAGAATGTTGGCTGAGGGAGGGGCGGAGTTGATTGATATTGAGGAGATGGAAGAAAGCAGTTTTTGTAATATTGTTGATGTGAGGTATGAATGATAAGGTGTTGTCCAAAATGACGCCTAAGCTCTTGGCTTAATGCTAGGGGAAAGTGTGGTGTTATCGAAACTAAGTGAGAATGAACTGATCTTGGAGAGGGAGGACTTGGTGCCGGTGAGGAGAATTCCTGACTTGTCACTGTTAAGCTGGATGAAGTTGGAAGAGAACAGGATTTAACTTCAGAGAGACAACTGAGAAGAGAGGAAAGAGGGAGCGGAGTGTTGGGTTTGGTAGAGAAATAGAGCTGGGTATTGTCGGCATAGCAGTGGAAACTGATGTTGAATTTATGGAAGTTATTGCCGAGTGGAAGTAAGTAAATTATGAAGAGAAGGGGGGCCTAAGACTTAGCCTTGAGGAACACCAGATGTGACTGGGGAGGGGTTGGAGCGGAAGGTGCGTAGTTGGATAAATTGAGTGCGATCTGATAGATATGATTTGAACCAGGTTAGGGGAGTTTTAGAAATGCCGATTGCAGAGAGTCTATGGAGTAAGACTGGATGTGAAATGGTGTCAAATGCTGCGCTAAGATCAAGTAGGATGAGAATGAAGATTTGGCCAGAATCAGCTGCTAGAAGGAGATCGTCAGTGATTTTTAGCAGAGCTGTCTCAGTGCTATGGTGAGGGCGAAAACCAGACTGGAAGACTTCATACAGATAATTTCAGGATAAATGAGAATGAAGTTGGTTGGCGACAACTTTCTCAAGAATTTTGGAAATGAATGGTAGGTTGGAGATGGGGCGGGGGTTATTGAAATTGTTAGGATCTGAACCAGGCTTTTTGAGAAATGGAGTGACAGCTGCGGTTTTAAAGGCTGAGGGTACGATTCCGGTCTGGAGGGAGGCGTGGATGATGGAGCCGATCAAGGGTAGCAAGGATGGGAGGCAAGATTTAACCAGATAAAACGTCAACGTTGCAGAGCAAACTTGTGGTAGAGTCGTGTTGCTGTTAGGCAGTCAGGCGAGTTGTCAGAATATCATGAATGATGATAAGACTCCAAATTTTGCAGTTCTGCCTTCCGATTAGCATCTACTTCCTGAAACAGGACTACCTTTTCCCACAGAGCTTCACTCACAAGGCATTCATTTATAATAGAGACCGATGCAAATGTACAAATGAGTGAACTTGCTCCTTTGAATTCCTTTGACCATATATTTTTGTTCTTTTGTACCACTGTGTACCTCAGCAGGGTGGGCAGACCCAGACTCTAACTCTGCAACCCGCCCAACCACCTCCAGGTCAGCCTGACGGCCAAAACCAAACAACTGTAGTTACACAGGGCAGCCAGCAGGGGCAGCAGCAGCAACAGCAATTCCTACAAGTGAGTGAACAGAAAATAAAAAATAATAATTATGTTTTAGATCTGAAAACAGAGTAGTTGTCCTACTGAGAGATTTATTTTCTAAAATAATTGTTCTGTTTACCCTTCAGGGTACTCGGCTTCTCCACAGTAACCAGTCTACCCAGCTGATCCTGCAGGCAGCTTTCCCTCTCCAACAGCAGGGAACTTTCACTCAGGCAACACTTCCACAGCAATCTCAGCAGCAGCAGCAACAACAACAACAACAACAGCAGCAGCGACAACAACAGCAGCAACAACAATCTCACCACCAGAGACACCAGCAGCAGCTGAAGCCGCAGCCCCAGAAACAGCAGAAAGTCCCGTCGTCTCACAGGACCGACAACGTTAGCAACCAGCCGCAGTAAAGTCTGGAGGATCACGTGTGACTGCTGCATATGTTTGTGACTGTCACAAACATTTGTTTCCTCCAGAAACCATCGCCTTCCCTCGACTGGTCTGAAAGGAAATGAGTTGTAGAAAAGAGGAAAGGCCGTGAGTTCGTAAAGTCCCCGTTTCCCCTCTTAGAGGTGGAAGCATGAGCGAGCTTCAGTGTCCGGGGAGCCCTGAACAGATACACTTCACTGCTACAGACTGTTGACTGACCGTGTACAGATTTACTGTATAATAAAAAGAAAATGTGTAAATATTCAGTACAGCCTAACAGAAAACAGGAACGTAGTATTTTATATGACTGCATGGAAAAAATAACTGTGTAAGCTTTTAATAGTAGCTTTGGAAACATTTTTACTTTTAAGTGTTATTTGTTCAAAGACAGAGCAGCGATATTGCTCTTTAAGCTTCCCCCCCCCCCAACCCCCAACCTAAATCTCTAAAAAACAAGAAAGTAGTCCCAGGACGAGACTTTAAAGTCAGTCAGTGTGTTTAAAACCGACCGGGCTCGGGTGTTTTTGTGGAAGCTGCTTATGAACACTGTGTCTCCAGGACAAAAACCATTTTTCAAAAAAATCTTTGTAATTATAAGTTTGGAGAAAACCAGATTACAGTTAAACTGAATTATTTGCAGGGTGATTACTGTACGTATAACGGGTTTAGTGATTCCAAGTGCCAACGACATAGTGAAATATGATTATTTTTTTCTCCAGATTATTCAAAGTCGTAAATATTTTCCATCATATTACCCCTAATAAGAGTTTTCTTGTGTATATAGTAGGAATTATTTTTTAACAGTCGAAGAGCCCTAGCTAACAGTATATCCTCAACCTCCTGACAACTTCAGCACTTAATGTGGTCGTGTAACGAAAAATCACTGTTGAAACCTAGTTTTTGTAATCCGTGGTGTGATTCTGTGAGCTAACGTGTACTTTTTGAGAATACAATCCTTGTGTGCATGGCTGGGCACCAGTGGGTGTGTGTGTGTGTGTGTGTGCGCGCGCGCTTGTGTTGCCCCTTGTGTCTTACAAATATTTGACTTAGTAAAGGTTTGAAGTTGCTGGATGGTACTTGTCCTCTCAGGAATGTGGGAAGATGTTTTTGCTTCTGCCTCAGTCTGGAACCAGACCAGGAAGGATCAGACAGTGATGCTGCAAAGACCAAAGGAGTTAGTGGTGTCTTGAGTGGAGAATTTGACCCAGATGTAAAAAAAAACCCTCCCTTGTTTCCTTATCAACACAGAGTTGTGCAGATGCTGCAGTAAAACCCTCTTTACTCTCACCGATTGACTTTATTGAGTAAGAAAGTCTGGATTTCTACCAAACATCTACTGGTCTTCTTTGTCATTGGTGTTTCATCCTTCTGTCTCTTCCTAGGCCTCAGAAACCCTCATGCAGTTTAGTTTGCTTGTCTCAGTTTTCAAACAGCAGTTTAAAGCAGGACTGGGTCCACGTCCATCTGTAGGAGACAGCAATGGATCTTGGCTCAGTGTGTTCAGTGATAAGCCATATCAAACAGAAAAGCCTTGGAGCGGAGGAGTGGAATCTCTGGCAAAGGAGCATTCTGAATGTGTTGTTTTGTCTGAGTAGAAAAGTGTGTGTGTGTGTGTGTGTGTGCCTGCTCTGTCTTCTCGATCCCCAGTGAGTCGTGGAGGGTGGCTGCTTATACTGAGCCGTGTGTGTGTGTGTGTGTGTGTGTGTGTGTGTGTGTGTGTGTGTGTGTGTGTGTGTGTGTGTGTGTGTGTGTGTGTGTGTGTGTGTGAGGGAGGGAGAGAGAGTATAGCATCTCCTTTCCTTGATCTTGTATCACTTGGGGGTCCAGTATTGGTTTCCCCTGGAGATAGCCAATCAGTTCTTGCGTTGCAGTATAAAGAAGTCGTTTTTGAAACCCGCCCTCCTCGGTTGGGTTGTGTGTGTTTTGTGCAAACCTGTTGATTACATGGTTGTGTAAGACACGATGTATGCATGGCATCTGTCACTGTAACTCATTATATTTTAATATGAAAACGTGTGTGTGTGTGTGAGAGAGACTGGAAAAGAATGGATGTTGGGCAATGCAGAGCACTGGTTTACTATCAGGTTATAAAGTAGTGAAGAGTCCTATAAACAAATGTATCATTAAAGATTTAGACAACTCCTAATTACTAACATGAGGACAACAATAACTAAAGGTAGAATAAACAGCTACTTCTCTTCTTGAGTTTGTCCTCAACTATGAAACTTTAACAGCAAAGGTCTTCCACCTGTCCTACAGAGTAATAATGAACAGATGATTATATTTTGTGCCACTGATACCCAGCCCAAAGAATGTAAAGGTGATTTAAAGACAAATGGATGTTGTAACTTCCAGTCATGGGGAACCTCTTGACTGGATTGACATGAAGGACAAAGGAGCGGTGTGAAAGGAAATCATTTATTTGCACCAAAAGATTCCACACGTAGAATCTAAAATACAATCGGTTTATTTGTTTAGCAGGTTTTGTATTGTTAGAAGAGATTCTGGATGTTTCACAGTCAGCAAAGGTTTCATTTTTCCCAGGACTGTGTGTTCGACATCTGCTTGGGGAGACAAAGAGAAAGGGTTTGGAAGCTGTTGAATAGAGAAATATTGAATATTTGATATGGGACCGCATTGACAAGACAGCCATCCCCACCCACCCTCCTCCCACAGATACACAAATCACTTTGTTTTTGTTTGTTTTCTTTACCACCGTTCTGTTATGGAGTCTAGTTCTAGTATAATTCTGTACACAAACACAAAGCTAAAACACCAGTATTCAGTGTAAAACGGTGCTATGCTTACCTGTACTGTACGTATGTATATCCCTTCTTCTGCTCTTGAACTATGCTCCTTTATCTACCCCAAAGTCAAATGTCATAATAATCGATATTTTCAAGCAAAATGTTTGCAATTATTATAACCCCCCCTGCCCCTTCTTGGTCAACTTGAAAATAAAAAAAAAACTGTTGCAAATATCAAACACGGCTCCTCTGCGTGAACTGATTCAAGATGGCTGACACGGCTAACCTGGGCTAAAAATGAACAGTTACTACCTAATTAACTTCACAAATACTGGTCTCAGAGTTGTGTCAGCCGAGGCTCATAGCCAACACGTACTTCAATCTCTACACGTTGCATGAGACACAAACCAATAAACTGATTCGAATTAAAATAAAGTAGTATCTGAGCGATTGGCTGCATGGCGGCACAGTTGGAAGGTCACCGGCTACAGCCTTTCTGGGTGGATGCATGGGTTTCTCCTGGCGCTTTGATTTCCTCCTACAGACCAACAGCATGCATGTTGAAGTAATTTGGAGACTTTAAATTGTCCTTAAGTGTGAGTGTGACTGGTCATGTGTCCTATGATGGACTGATGACTTGTCCAGGATGTCTCCCACCTTGACTGCTCCCTTTGACCTATTACTCAACAATAAGCAGTAGCTGAGTCATTCGCAACACACTCCCCACGGCCAGAGCCGTGTCCAGGACTTTTAAAATGGGGTGGCCCATGTGGGGCACTTGTTTATGCATGGGTGGCACCAATGGTTATGCTCATTTATTTATTTATTTACACAATTCGTTTATTTATTTATTTACTTTCTAGTGAATTTTGGAGTTTCACATTGCACAGTCACCATTTTTTTCTATTCATCTTCTAGTTTTGTGGTGGTTAGCAAGTCACTTCTTGTTGCATTATTGCCACCAACTGGAGTTGATTGGGACTCAATACTATTTATGTGAATATGAAAAATAATAAATAATATTAATACTACAGAAATGTTCTGTAGGCCTGGGCTAGAAGACATTGTTAAAGGTACATGCTACCACACACTATTTTTGGAGTTTACAACTCAAGCCTTTTGTCGACAATGTAAAGTCAATTTAAACTGGAACTTAGTAGGGTGGCACCTGGGGTGGCCAATCAGATTCTAAGGGTGGCATGTGCTACCCCAGGCCACTCCCTGGACACGCCCCTGCTCTGAGTAACTTTAGTTACAGTTACTTTAAACCATCAACTGCTTTTATAAATATAGACAGGCCCACTATAACATAATAAGGTTTAAGCAGCTTTTCTAAGTTTTCGCTGAATATTTGTGCCGACTTTCCACAACAGAATGACAGTAAAAGTACCGGAAACATCTTTAGATATTTATTTACCTCATTGAGAACAGATCCATACGCGTTTGCAAGTGTTTTTCTTCTTAATTTCAAATCTCTTATGTAACATATGTAGGGGAAACGTGCCTAAAGCGCTTGTATGAATCTGAAACAACAATCAATCTTCTTTGGGTTACGACGGACCTGTCTAATTCCTGGGAAACCTGTTTTTGACCAACACTTGAACTACACCCCAAAAGAACACAAGCCTCGGGAAACATCAGTGAAGGCTGAAACTGAAAGGAGACAAAGCTGCTGTAGTTCTTGACAGAAAACGGTGGTATCTGGAGGGAACTTTGATGATTTTACGAACTTTACGCTCCAACCGCTGCGAAATGTTGAAGCAACTGTAGTAGCGGCGCAGCGATACCGGCTACCGCAGCGTTTTTGACTAGCTGTCTCCGTGACTGCGATTGGTCAAATGACGACTTGTGAGAGTAGGACTTCCGGCGAAGGCAATGACCCGAAGTCTTGTTTTTCCGGATACGTCATTTCCTGTCACGGCAAAGACGCCAGCTGATGTCTGCAGCCAGATGCTCTTGACTTGTGACCCACTAACAAAGATGGTTTGCGAAGCACAACCAGTGTGTTTGTTTCTGACCACAACCAAAGTCTGGAAGAAGCCTCTGGGATGAGAGGCTAAATGTCTCCAACATATCCAGAAACGTCCAGCTGTTTTTAGCTAAAACTCTCAGGATGATCATGTCCAGGATGACTGAGAACTACACCTCCATGCTGCAGCAGCATTCAGTCAGAACAGGAACCTAAACGTAGCTGCTGTCAGTAACAATCTAACAGATTTAAACATTAAAACTCTCAACAGAAATAGTTCAGAAAGGAAATTTAAAATGTTATTATTATTATTTATTTATTTATTGCGGCAGAAGCTGGTGTGGTCCAGCACAGAGAAGCTGCTCTAGCTTGATGACTTTAATTATTCTACAGGTTATTGTTCAGCCTTCTGATGCTCACACACACACACATGCGCGCTTACACACACACACACACACACACACAAGTGTTGGTGAGCGGCTGCGTCTGACTGCTGACGCTCCGTGTGTGTTTTTATTTCTGCAGTGAGACAGACTCACCTCACACCGTCCAGAGTTTGTTCTTTAAAGCTTCTATTAAATCCACCGTGTTGACGTATTTAACACGTTTCCTCTACGCTGCAGGAGTTAAAGTTTACGTTACGGAGTAAAAGTTCGGCAGACGCGTTTGTTTATATCTGGGTGGGGGGGATGGGGGACTCGGTGCTGCACACAGACAGCTGCTGGGATCAGCTCTGAAAAGCGTTGATCACAATTTGCAGATCACGTTTATTTTTCACGGAGATCGGCCGCGGATTCCTCTTCCGTCGGCATTCTAGGAATCGAAATAAAAAACTTTGAACGATTCCGAGAAAACTACTGGACATTCAACATGCTGGGAAGACTTTCGCTTTCGGCTGTTCCCTTCAGTCATCAACAAAGTAAATCACTGGTCTCCATTATTTCCCAGTTGGCCAGTAGCCGTCCCAGTTTACAGTGTAGTCAGACAAAAGCGCGAATCGCCAGCCAACATAGAAAGATATGCTAATAGAGGTTATGCAGGGTGAAGTTAGCCTGCCGGCCGAGGCATCGCCTGCCTGCTCCGTCCCGGGAAAAGCGTTGCTAGCAGCTGCATACTGAGGGAGTAAACAACGTAAAATAAGAGCAACGCTGCTACTTTTAAATATATTCATGATATAAACATGTTTATTCATCAGTGTGCTTCCTAAACTAGGGAAAGTGAAACTTAAAAGGCCAACTTGAATGTGTTTTCTTATTTTAATGCTATTTTTATTTTATTTTAATGAAGTATTGGATCGGGACTCGGTATCGGCAGATGCTCTAAATCACGATCAGGAGCAGGAAAACGCGATCGGAACATCCCTAATTATCCTCACTCCATCTTGACTTTTGGATGTCCGTAACTTCACAGATTATCAGACACAAATCCTCTCAAGCCTGTTTATTCTCAGCACCGCTTCTTAAACATTTTACAGGATTCTTCTACAAAATGCCAGTCCACAGCTCTGAGTGGGGGAAGAATGCTGTAATCCACCCGCTTCTTAAAAAAACCGAGTCTCGACTAGGGCTGGGCGATATGGCAAAAATAGAATATCACGATTTTTCCAATATTTTATCACGATTTCGATTTTATCACGATTTTTTATCCATGAATAGCATAACTTCAATTGCGTATTAAAGAAGAGAAACATTGAATAAATAAACATTTATTCATATTAGGGATAATCAACACAGTGCTAACACACTTATATTTTAAACTCACACCAGAGATGATAAAAGCCCTGAACAATTACAAAAATCTGTTTTTCAAGTAACTTAACATAAATTAAAATCGTAAACATATTTAAAGTGCAAACATGTCAATTGCAAACGTATTGTGCAAACATTAACTTGTTCAAAATACTATGTAGCTCCCAGTTGCTCATGTAGTGGATAGTTAAGCTCAAATACGGCTCTGATGTGCGGCTGGACCAGAGATCGCTTGTGGTAGCAAAAAACTGCGCATTCTGAATATTTTCTGCAACTCTCTCTTTGCATTCAGCGTACATGCATGGAATGGCGATGTTCGAAAAATACTTGTGGCTGGAAAACTCGTAGCGCGGATCCAATGTTTTTATCATTTTCTTAAATCCCGCTCCTACTGTTCGCACGGGACTCAAATCTTTAACCAAGTGGTACGTCACTGCATCTGTCACGCTGTTCCATCGTCTGCTGTCTCTGTCGTAAGGAGTGAGTTTTGTGTGTTTCTGTTAGCGTTTGCTGCCTGGAAGAAGCGCTAGCCACTGCCGCTGTCGCTGCAGGCTTTTTAGCTTTAGCTGCCAGCTGGCTCTCATTGTACTGTTTGGGATGCTTTCTTTTCAAGTGATTAAACAAGTTTGTGGTGTTGCCATCACTTGCCTTGACGCTCTCCTTGCAAACTTTGCAAATGACGTTTCGCTGCTCTTTGTCATCTGGTGAAAAACCAAACCAGTTCTATACAACGGACGAGGCATTCTTCTTCTGAACGAAAACCTCGCTGTCGCTCTCAGCCGCGGCCGAAGCCATGTTTGTTCACACACAGGTGAAAACAAGCGGGGCACTAATTACTATGACTCACTCTGATTGGTTAAGGGTCAAACAAAGGCGTGGCTTTCGCCTGGGGTAAGTTCACTTTTCATTCAGAGGCAAAATTTCAACAGCAGAGCTGTGAATCGTGATAAAGAGGTCTCTCAAAAATGACGGACCGTCAGATGTGTAGATCGTAAAACGGTCTAAAATCGTCATATCGCCCAGCCCTAGTCTCGACGCCTCTCTCCATAGCAGCTTCAGACCCATCTCTAAACTTCTGTTCATCTCCAAGATCTTGGAAAAGGTTGTGGTTAAACAACTCACACCTGCTCTTGATGAACATAACATCTATGATAGCTTCCGGTGAGGTTTCCGTAGAGCTCATTCTACTGAAACAGCTCTTCTTAGGGTCTCTAATGACCTTCTGACTCACAGTGACGCAGGGGACTGTTCTGTTCTGGTCCTGCTGGACCTGATTACAGCCTTTGACATTGTTGACCATCACCTTCTACTGGAGAGGCTGAGAGACTGGGTAGGACTATCAGGATCTGCTCTGGGGTGGTTCTCGTCTTATCTCTCTGAGCGCTCCTTTTCTGTGGCCGTCTCCAAGTTTAGGTCCTCCACCACCTCTCTTACCCATGGTGTCCCACAAGGTTCTGTGCTGGGGCCTCTGCTCTTCCTCCTCTATCTGCTTCCTCTTCAGCACATCCTAAGCTCCTTCAAAATAATCTCCTACCATCTTTATGCAGATGACATCCAACTGTACATCTCCTTTAAGCCTCATGAGATGTCTAAGCTACAGCTGTTACACACCTGCTTAGACTCTATCAAAACCTGGATGGCTGGGAGCTTTCTTCAGCTGAATGAAGATAAGACTGAGATCCTCATCTGTGACCCAGACAAGCTGGTTCCCAAAGTCAGAGACTCTCTTGGTCAGCTTGCTTCTCACACCAAACCTTCTGTCAGGAATCTTGGCGTGACCTTTGACCCAGCTCTCACCCTGGATTCTCATGTCAGTTCTCTTGTTCGCTCTTCCTTCTTCCATCTCAGGAACATTGCTAAGCTGAGTCCCATTCTGTCCCGCTCTGAACTTGAGACAGTTCTCCACACCTTCATCTCCTCACGCTTAGACTACTGTAACTCTCTTTTCACGTGTCTGAGCAGAACCTCCCTGAACCATCTACAGGTGGTTCAGAATGCCTGTGCTCGGTTTCTGACCAAGTCCTCCAAACACACCCACATCACCCCGCTTCTCCTCCAGCTTCACTGGCTGCCAGTCAACTTCAGGGTCAAGATCCTGGTTCTGGTCTATAGGGCCTTACATGGACAAGCACCATCTTACATTCGTGATCTTCTTAGTCCCTACACCCCCAGCAGGTTCCTGAGGTCCAGTGATCAAAGCCTATTGGTTGTGCAGCACCAGGCTAAAGACCAAAGGTGACAGACCATTTCCTGCTGTGGCCCCCAGACTCTGGAACTCTCTCCCCCTGAGCCTGAGATCAGTGGACTCAGTGGTCTCCTTCAAAAAGCAGCTGAAGACTCACTTGTTCAAGCTGGCTTTTGGATGACCTTCTTCACCATTCTCTCTTTATTCTGCTCTCCCCAACTATTCCACCTTCCTCAGGATCCACTGATTTCCCTCTTTCCTGTTCACTCTCTCTCTTTCTTAACATTTTTTTAATCACAATTGTCTATTTTTGCTAATTTTAAATACATTTTTAAAAATTTTCTAAATGCTTTTTTATGTTTTTACTTTTTTAGTTTTTGTGAAGCGCCTCGTGATTTTTATCTTGAGAGGCGCTATAGAAATGATACTTTCTTCTTCTTCTTCTTAAGAAGCAGCTGAAGACTCAGCTGTTCAGGCTGGCTTTGAGAACAGTCTCTCCTGCTTCCTATAGCTCTTTATTTTATTTAGGATCTGAACTAATCTTATCTATTTAAGAGCATTATAACTTGTTGTATTTCTGTCTTGCTCTCTCTTTCACACTGGAAGCTTTTAAAGAATATGGTCTGTTAATCTGTTCTATTTTGTTTTAATAAACCTTCGCTCCCCTGCATTCCAGCCTTCCTGTTTTTGATTCTCAGTGTCCATCAGCTGTGCAGCACCATTTTGTAAGTGGGTGATGCACAGAGTTCTCTGCTCTGTAAGATGAACACAACAAGCTCCTGGCTGATGGTAGTCTCTGTCTTTGTGTCCAATGATGAAGCCTGTCTCCATTGTCCTATCACTAACCCATGGTGCTCTGGAGACAACCTGTCCATAAACACCTCAGAAACTGAAGACATGATTCTGGACTTGAGTGAAAAACACAACCAATTCAATTCCAATTCCAATTTTATTTATAAAGCGCATTCAACAAGGCATTACAACCAAACAAGGCGCTGTACACTAAAAATGTTAGTTAATGTTAGTAATGTGTAACAACAGTTACACATGTATTATATCTTTATACTGAGTATTTATTATATTATATTACATATGAGGAATATTTATTCCAAATAGAAACTTATTTTTTACTTTTGCCCATCAGAGCTCAGTGAGTGGAGAAAACAAGAGCGTCGCCCTCTGGTGGCCTTATTAAGCATTACATGAAGCTATAATGACTAAATCAGCACCTTCCCAACACTTTTTATTTGCTTCTCAGAGCTGCTAAAAATAAAAGTAACAACATCAAAAGTTTCTATCACATTCTTTATAGAAAGTAAGATTTTTTAGTTTGAAGTTCATAAAGAATAAAACTGGTCAGATTTAGATTAAAAACATAATTAAGAAAAACGTATTTTGCTTGTTTTTCGTGGCTTTTGAAGAGACCACCTAAAATAATAAAAATATATCACATATGTGTGTTTTATTAGTCCCATTCTGAACACACAGGTGTGTTTTATTCTGCTCCAGCAGGTGGCGCTAGTGCACCTTTACGCTAGTCACCGACCACCAGATGAAGCAGAAACCGAAAGCTACTAGCAGAGCTAGCTTGTTGTTGTTCTGGTGTGTGAGGAGAATATTTGAGGCTCTGCAGTAAAAATGTCTTCACTTCAGTGTCTGCGAGAGTTGATCAGCTAAAGCGACTAACTGCTGCTGCTGCAGAAATCTTCTCACCAGGCTGTGGAAACTTTCTTCTCCTCCTCAACAACTTGCTGGAGTTCTTTCCATAACCAGAGAAGATATTCTGCGGTCTTCGTGACAATCGGAGCTCCAGAATCAGGTTGTGGGTGAGAAAAGCTTTTCTCTAGACTTCCTGCCCTCTGGATCTGCTGCTGTTCCTTTGGCCAGAACCAAAGCGTTGGATCTTTAATGTCCTGCGTTGTTCTGAAGCAGCATCTTAATCAGCTCTCCTGCTTTGTTTCTATTGCAGCTGTTAGCTAAACACGGCTAAAGGAAACCTGCTACCACTTCAGGATCATCCATCAGCTGGGACTGATTCATTGTGTGTTCTTCACCACCTGGACCTGGACAGCATGCACACAGGTAGGGCTGCCACCTTTCAGATATGTAAATAAGTAAATGAGTTGGAGAAGTGGTTTTTCTCTCAGACAGCTGTGTTATTCATACAGGTGTGAAACATCTGTAAAAGCCAGATCTGGTGCAGGAAAATAGCTCAACAGGGAGTGGGGACTAGGGTTGTCACAGTGTGAAAATTTAACCTCATGGTTATTGTGACCAAAATTACCACGGTTTTCGGTATTATCGCGGCATTTTTTTTAAACGTGCTACATTTTCACACAATTAAATAAACCCTGTATGTCAGGAAATATTGTCCTCAGTTTGTGTCTAAATTTTGCCTAAAATGTGTTATTTTGTCATTATGTTGTTTATTTGTTTACATTTTTTCCCTTTAGTTTTTAAAATACCAATATTTGCCCATAACTTCTTATTTTTTGTCTGTTTGATGTCATCATTTTAAAAATATTAGATCAGATGATACGCAGTAATCAAGTAGCCTTCTAATCAGATGCTGCACCCCCATGTTGAAATGACGCTATGCATTACGGGGCTCCCAGGGGCAGATAAGGGTTGATCTCTCTCCGAGAATAATTATGAATTTAACAATGATTACTGCCTGATGACATTTCCCCACATCTGCAAAGCTCACTGGAAGGACACAAACCGAGGACGATATTTTCCTGATATAGGGTTTATTACTCAAGTAAGGGTAAAAAAGTATCTGATTAGAAGGCTACTTGAGTACTGAGTATCATCTGATCTAATATTTTTAAAATGATGACATCAAACAGACAAAAAATAAGAAGTTATGGGCAAATGTTGGTATTTTAAAAACTAAAGGGAAAAAATTTAAACAAATAACATAATTACAAAATAACACATTTTAGGCAAAATTTAGACACAAACTGAGGACAATATTTCCTGACATACAGGGTTTATTTAATTGTGTGAAAATGTAACACGTTTAAAAAAAATACCGCGATAATACCGAAAACCGTGGTAATTTTGGTCACAATAACCGTGAGGTTACATTTTCACACCGTGACAACCCTAATACAGACCATTTTAGATTAGGTTACATTTCCTTTATTCCCAGATTATGTAGTTTGTAGCACTCATTATAATGTTGTAGAAAATTTCTGGCCAATCCACGTGATCGGTATCGGTGATCAGCATTCTTTGATATCGGTATCGGTGATCGGCAGTGTTGGGTATTTTAATTTATACTATTGTTCTTATATTACCTTAAACTTAAAGTACCTTAAAGGAAGTCAGAACACACACACAGAGGAATTAGATTCTTAATTTGATAAATTGTAACAAACCTTAAACAGACAACAAACTCTGCAAAGGGTGAGAAAGAATTAGACCATACAACACGGAAGCCATTTTCCTCTCACAAAGGAGCCAAAGCTCATGGAGGGATTTATTTCACAAAATGTTCACACCCACAAATTCCACAATCACAAGAGAAGTTTCTAGAGTTGAGCTAATGGAAAAACACCTTGGTCTTAGAATGCACAGGACAAAGGAATTCTTCAGATACTAGAACTACAAGTTTCTTGGTCTGGCAGAAAACTCCCTGGTTTAGCTGGTTTGGACTTTTCCTAAAAGTGGGGTAACTTCACAATCAAAGATGAACAATATAAAAAATACCTAACAGGCAACAAAAAACCTGATCGGTGCATCCTTAGTGTCCGCGACACGGTTTATATGCAGGTAGCGGGCGCTGCGGCTGCTTCATATAGCGACTCGTTGCGTTCTCCCTCAACCCAGATCCTCGGATCACGCATTTTAGCTAAAACGCTAACGTTAGCTTGCCTTGCGTTGACTGTAGAGTTGTGGGTGATGGTCACGCAGATGTGTCATGAGATTTGAAGCGTTGCTGCCTTTCACAGACACTTTTTCTGCACGTGCTGCAAACAGGATAGCCGTCTTCTATCAACTGTCCCTCGGCATTCTTCAGATATCCAAAAGATGCCCGTACTTCCCACTTTGTCTTCTTTGAGGGATAAAAAATGTCCTCCTGAGCACTGCCGTCTCCTCCTTTGGCCATTATTTCAGCTTTAGCTTCAAGAAAGTTTTGGCTGTAAACAGCAAAGTGCGCATGTGCCGCCGGCAACTTCAGCAGATGATACGGTGGCTGGTAAGGGTCACCGCGCCTACACCGCAGCCACGGTAAACCCACCCAGATAATATAGTTTTTTCTAAAACAAGACTGTTATCATTATTGTCAACTTTTTTACCGGGGTTTACCGCTACACCGGTTACCGTGACAACCCTTGTGGGGACACACTTTTCCTTCTGCGGTTGTAAGTGATAATAATAATAATAGTGACTGGGGGTGCTGGGTTGATCTTAAGAGAAGGCCAATTTAAAGAAGTGGGTTTTAAGCAGTGACTTAAAAGTAGAAAGAGAGAGACGGCATTCCTGATGTTTAGTGGGAGAGAGTTCCAAAGTGTGGGGCAGCGGCTGCAAAGGCTCCATCCCCCATGGTGCCATGTTTTGTTCTGAAAGGGGAAAGGAGGTTGGAGTCAGCAGAACGGAGGTGCCGGTGTTCTGATAAAACGTCCTACTTTGACAAAACGTCCTACCCGTAGGATAATTTTACGGTGTCCTCTGATAAAACGTCCTACTTGACAAAACGTCCTACCCATAGGATAATTTTACGCTGCCTCATGACAAACTGCCCTACTTTGGACAAATGTCCTACTGTACGTAATTTATGCACATTTCTGCTGCCAAACAATAATTCCAGCACAAATTTAAGTAGGTATGACAGTTTACCACTTAACTTTGCCAGTCAGAGTATGTTTGTAGCTGATATTCATGAAGCCAGTACGGTTTGACACTTCTTTTTACCCATTAAAGTGTGCTTGTAGGTCATATTCACAAAGGTAGCATGCTTTGGCACGTAATTTTTATGCTTGTAGTTTATAATAACAAAGGTAGCATGCTTTGGCACATAATTCTTATGCTTGTAGTTTATAATAACAAAGGTAACATGTTTTGGCACATAATTCTTATGCTTGTAGTTTATAATAACAAAGGTAGCATGGTTTGGCACATAATTCTTATGCTTGTAGTTTATAATAACAAAGGTAACATGTTTTGGCACATAATTCTTATGCTTGTAGTTTATAATAACAAAGGTAGCATGCTTTGGCACATAATTCTTATGCTTGTAGTTTATAATAACAAAGGTAACATGTTTTGGCACATAATTCTTATGCTTGTAGTTTATAATAACAAAGGTAGCATGTTTTGGCACATAATTCTTATGCTTGTAGTTTATAATAACAAAGGTAGCATGGTTTGGCACATAATTCTTATGCTTGTAGTTTATAATAACAAAGGTAACATGTTTTGGCACATAATTCTTATGCTTGTAGTTTATAATAACAAAGGTAGCATGCTTTGGCACATAATTCTTATGCTTGTAGTTTATAATAACAAAGGTAGCATGCTTTGGCACATAATTCTTATGCTTGTAGTTTATAATAACGAAGGTAGCATGCTTTGGCACATAATTCTTATGCTTGTAGTTTATAATAACGAAGGTAGCATGCTTTGGCACATAATTCTTATGCTTGTAGTTTATAATAACGAAGGTAGCATGGTTTGGCACATAATTCTATGCTTCTAGTTCATAATAACGAAGGTAGCATGCTTTGGCACGTAATTCTTATGCTTCTGGTGTATAATAACGAAGGTAGCATGCTTTGGCACGTAATTCTTATGCTTCTAGTGTATAATAACGAAGGTAGCATGTTTTGGCACGTAATTCTTATGCTTCTAGTTTATAATAACGAAGGTAGCATGTTTTGGCACGTAATTCTTATGCTTCTAGTTTATAATAACGAAGGTAGCATGTTTTGGCACGTAATTCTTATGCTTCTAGTTTATAATAACGAAGGTAGCATGTTTTGGCACGTAATTCTTATGCTTCTAGTTTATAATAACGAAGGTAGCATGTTTTGGCACGTAATTCTTATGCTTCTAGTGTATAATAACGAAGGTAGCATGCTTTGGCACGTAATTCTTATGCTTCTAGTGTATAATAATGAAGGTAGCATGCTTTGGCACGTAATTCTTATGCTTCTAGTTTATAATAACGAAGGTAGCATGTTTTGGCACGTAATTTTTATGCTTGTAGTTTATAATAACGAAGGTAGCATGTTTTGGCACGTAATTTTTATGCTTGTAGTTTATAATAACAAAGGTAGCATGTTTTGGCACATAATTCTTATGCTTGTAGTTTATAATAACAAAGGTAGCATGTTTTGGCACATAATTCTTATGCTTGTAGTTTATAATAACAAAGGTAGCATGCTTTGGCACATAATTCTTATGCTTGTAGTTTATAATAACAAAGGTAGCATGCTTTGGCACATAATTCTTATGCTTGTAGTTTATAATAACGAAGGTAGCATGTTTTGGCACATAATTCTTATGCTTGTAGTTTATAATAACAAAGGTAGCATGCTTTGGCACATAATTCTTATGCTTGTAGTTTATAATAACAAAGGTAGCATGTTTTGGCACATAATTTTTATGCTTGTAGTTTATAATAACAAAGGTAGCATGCTTTGGCACATAATTCTTATGCTTGTAGTTTATAATAATGAAGATAGCATGGTTTGGCACTTAATTCTATGCTTCTAGTTCATAATAACGAAGGTAGCATGCTTTGGCACGTAATTCTTATGCTTCTAGTTTATAATAACGAAGGTAGCATGTTTTGGCACGTAATTCTTATGCTTCTGGTGTATAATAACGAAGGTAGCATGTTTTGCCACGTAATTCTTATGCTTCTAGTTTATAATAACGAAGGTAGCATGTTTTGGCACGTAATTCTTATGCTTCTAGTTCATAATAACGAAGGTAGCATGCTTTGGCACGTAATTCTTATGCTTCTAGTGTATAATAACGAAGGTAGCATGTTTTGGCACGTAATTCTTATGCTTCTAGTTTATAATAACGAAGGTAGCATGTTTTGGCACGTAATTCTTATGCTTCTAGTT